CCTATATGGATGAACAATAGTATCGTGTAGAAATATTTATTTAATGGTTTACATTTTTACTTTCTATGCCAAAACTCGAAATTGAGATAATATATTTTTTCGATGTTATGTGACATGTATGTCACGAAAAACCATGTCACCCATTTCCGTCGGTCTGTCTTTCTGCTTGCCTATCAGCTAATTTTATGACCGCCTACAACTTGATCTCGGATTTTGATAAAATTTTCACACAAGGTTACTTTCATGCCATCGACGCAAGAGCTTTGCAGTTTTTAAAAATCGTAGAGGGAAAAAAACTTGAGATTGTAAGGGGGTATGGAGGGTTTATCTCAATTTTTGGACTCACAGGTATTTCTTCCGAGCAACATCATAGTGCTTCTATGCTCTGACTGCGTTGCCACGGTGGATTGCTCGAGTTAGGTATCGGGGAAAGGCGACGTTTTTAGATGCACTACCGGTAGGTCAGGGAAATTATGTCAATGGACTAATTGTATGGACCTGTTTGACTGAATTGTTATCTCGGAGGGTCTGGTTTGTGCTAAACATGTTCCTTTATGTTTTGATAAGGGCGTTGTATGAGAAGTGCAGAGTCAACCTACTTGAAGCCATTTTTCGAACAGCAATATGTCTTTACACTGACTAATGAATTTGTGTCAATTTTTGCTTATATTTAGAAGAAGTATAACCTGCCACCAACAGATACACTGCCGTCATTTTGAATAAAAGTTGAAATATGTTTAAACTGTTACAAAGGAGAGAAGGTTTGTATGTATAATGTTTACATGCAACTTGGAATTTCCTATCCAATCGCATTTTCTGCGAGATTAGATATTTTTTCAAATTTTTCGGAATTACCCAGATGTAGAAGTACTTCGTCTGTGTTGATAATATATACGGTCTGATAATGATAACTTTTTATTTATATGGTGCAAGGACGTCGGTAGATACTAGCTGAGTGGAAAAGTAGGTGGCCTCCTGCGCACAAATCTTTTTTGAAGATTTCAGTGGGTAATCTTATTTACTTTCCAACTGTCTCTAGTGTAGGGCTGATTATGTATAAAAATCATAATTTTTTTCCATAGAAAATAAATGACTTTGTAGTTTTTGAAAATCGGCCTGATGGTTGCGGAGAAAATGACCAACAACAAAAAAATAAAAAACCGCTCAAACTTTAGAGGGTCCTGATCTTTCTCTTGATTATGAAGTCCAAACTTTTATAGGCTTTGCAAGCACCAGCATCAATATGCAAACCAAATGTAAGTCTGGTATCAAATAATATACCTAAGTTATTAAACTCTTTACACATGTACATGTTCAAGTGGCGAATTATCAGTGTTATATTATACGAATCTGATTGGAACAAGTTTGCGTGTAATATGTGTAGCATTTATCAGCATTAAGGTACGGTGACACCAGTTATTTAGGTTGCTCAAATCGTTTTGCAATGTATTCCAGCCGTCCATGGTTTCAATTTTAGAAAAAAATTCAAGTCGTCTACATAGAGACAGCTACTGTGTGGCTCCCCAACGACGTCATCAATGAAAATTTGTACAAGCAAAGGGCCAAGAGCAGACCTTTGAGGTATGCCGGATGGAGGTATAATCTGAATGTAAGTGAAGCCCCTGAATTCAACTTTTAAGCATCTGCTTGTAAGAGTTGAAAAAACTCCAGAATTGATGGGTCAACTCTCGCATAACTAATTTCTATAACAAAATAAAGTTTATCAAAAGCAATTGAAAAGTCAACATAAGCAAAATATGCTTGCCTCCTTCATCAACAACCTCAGAGCAAAACTGTTCAAAAGACGCTAGAGTAGTTTATTTAATTCTATCCTGAAAAAAACCATGTTGATTTGGAGAAATTTCGTGCTTAACATGAGAGAAAATTACATATATATATTGTGACAAGAATAAATAGTACTGTTGGCGCCATCTGTTGGGAGACTCTCCTACTCGCCAGATCTTCATGGACGATTTCTGTTGGGGACCGTGCCAGTGACTCGCCTTCTAGATCGACGCGAAGTGACGTCGAATATTCTAGATCTCCGTTTTGTGGCTTGTCGGACTTCGACCCACGATGCGGACTATATAACTGGACGGCCGGGAGATGGAAGCAGAGTGCAGTAGAGTAGAGCGGAGTGGAGTATAGTTTAGTCAATGGCACGACATAAGAATTAGCCAGACATAAACAGTGGTGTACATAAATGTTCTATAAGTTAAATAAATTGGTGCATTTCTTTTTGTGGAATCCAGTGTATTAATCCACAGCCAAAAGAACCCAGGAAAACGCTACAATATATATTGTATCATTGAGAATTATAGAGGTGTTGTGATTATAAGCAACGTTGGTAAGGTTTTTGAATATATATATATATATATATATATATATATATATATATATATATATATATATATATATATATATATATATATATATATATATCTAACAACAAGTAGGAAAATAATGGGCAAAATCCGCAAAAAGGAAGAAAGTGGATTCGAGCAGATAGGTAACCCGAGCGATACGTATTTCTGCTGGTTGGCTTCATCAGGCCCGAAATAATAATAATGTTTATTGTCACAAAATACAGGTAAATATCAAATATTGTGCACAATAAACATAAAGCACCCAAAAAAAGTTTGCACTTGTGTTTGGGTTTGTACAAAATAAAAACTAATAGTACAGTCAGTGTATGAAAAAAAAACTCGTTAATACTGTATAATTTGGTTTATTATTATGGTAATGTCAGGAAAAATATCCAGACAATTAGAACTAAAGTAAAAGTATGGATGTTAGTGTAAGTAAAATATTATTGATTTTGATAATGATTTTTCAGATCTACAATTTCGTGGATGGAGTACCTTGGTTGTTGTAAAATCCATTTTTTTAGTTCTTTTTTAAATGATTTATTTGATTTAATTACTTTTAATGACTCTGGTATGAAGTTATAGAATTTTGGTTCCAAGAAAAACAGAGATCGTTGTGTAATGGTTTTTGATGTTTGTAGAATACACATTGAATTTTGATTGAATCTTGTTGGGTAGTTATGAATGGTACGATTAAAGTATTTTGAATATTTGAAATAATGTATTAGACCACAATGAAAATAAATTTGTCTGCAATCTAATAGCTGAGCCTCCACATATAGAAAATCACTTGAATAAGTAATCTCCCTATGGAGGATCAATTTTAGAATTAATTTTTGGATTACATCAACCTTTTTGTAATTATTGCATGCACATATGAAACTACAAAAGTAGATACACATGCCCACACATCCGGATACGGGTGTAACCTGAGGAAACAAAGTTGGAGGGGGAAAAAACGTCACACGAAGTCCACAACAAGAGCCAACCTACACATTGTAGTATACTTGTTGTTATATACCTTTCTCCGCATGATCATATTCTCTTTATATATATATATATATATATATATATATATATATATATATATATATATATATATGCATATCATTGAGAATTATTGAGGTGTTGTGATTATAAGCAACGTTGGTAAGGTTTTCGAATGTATATTGCATATAATCACAACACCTCTATAATTCTCAATGATACAATGTTCGCCTTTTTTAAATATATAGTATTTATGTAGTATTTTATATACTAAGTGACATATAAATCCGAACACCCAGTTTAAATGGTTTTATTTTAATAAAATTTTGTGTAAGTACTTAATGAAGCATAATAAGTAAATGATAAAAATTTCAAAATGATTGCACTGCTTTAAAGCCCTTTGACCTTTAATAATGTGTGGATGCACCCTGATGTGCTACGCATTCTCCAACGCGCCTAGGCATGCTTCTGATCAGGTGGTCAATGTCCTCCTGTGGTATCTCATTCCAGGCAACCACCAACTCCTCTCGAAGTGCTTCTAGAGTCTGAGGAGGACGTTGCAAATTGAGCAATATCCTACCCATCATATCCCACACGTGCTCAATTGGCGATAAGTCGGGAGATCTTGGTGGCCATGGTAACAATGTGACATCATTATGTTGAAAGGAGTCTGTTGTGACTCTTGCAACATGTGGTCGGGCATTATCTTGTTGGAAACTTGGATCTGCCAGGGTGTCAAGATAGTCTAGAACTTTGAGGATATAACGCTGCGCGTTCATGTTACCTCTGATGAAGATTAAAGGTGACCTGGAACCATAAGCTATAGCACCCCAAACCATAACTCCAACAGTGTGATGAACATGTCTTTCAACAAAAAACTGTGGATTCCTCCTTTCACCACGTCGCCTTCTAACCCTGGCACGACCATCGTGCATACCTAAACAAAGTCGAGACTCGTCACTAAAGACAATACTGTTCCATTCCTGATCCCAGAGTGACCGTTGTCTGCACCATTCAAGGCGATTACGTCGGTGTTCTCGAGTTAATGGGAGGACCCAGTGTGGCCGGTATGAAAACAAGCCAAAACTTCTCATTCGTCGGTAAACGCTTCGCATGCCAATAGGTCTTCCGTGTTCTGCAAACCTGGTAGTGGAGAAACGGTCCCTTAAGGCCAATAATCTAAGGCGGCGATCTTCACGGTCTGTTGTTCTACAGCGGCGTCCAGTGCCCCTTGCTCTTTGCGTACGGCCTTCTCGAAGCCATGCCTGACAACACCTAACCACAGTGTCTACACTTCTTTGCACTCTAACGAAATCGTACAGGTCTCCGTACTCTAGGCATCGTAACCGATCGTAAAGGATGTCAAGAACCAAAATCCGCCAACGTTGAATCTTTACTGCGGCTGAAATATTCATTTTTAGAGCGTTAGTGAATTAAAAAAAAGCAGTATAAAAACCGGAATGTCCAACTGATAAGGCTGAAAATTTTTTCACTTGTTATTTACAGTAAGATAAATACATTCACCAACTTTTATTAAAATAAAACCATTTAAACTGGGCGTTCGGATTTATATGTCACTTAGTATATATAGGTTGTTGTAGTGTTACGAGATATATTATACAGATAAGCTAAAGGCTCAGCTAAAACAAAAGCACAGTCTTTTAGTAAAAATGAAGAAATTCGATCTGGAGTGGAAGATACCTTGGGTTTAATTTTTTTCAAAGCGGCAAAACATCCTGTTACTCAGTAATCATTGGTACTCGTATATTCAGAGGTAATGAGGCGCAGCCAGGTGAGTGCGGGTGTAAAATTTGTGGAAGGTGAGTATGAGGACTGGAAAAAAGCGTGGTATTATTCCGAAAATTGCATGTTTTATTTAAAAACAAAATCTCAACATACGTATGGGAAGACCCTTCACAATTATTACTCTGTATCCAAAGAGAACCATGACAGATTTGTCATTGTGACAGCTGAATGTATGGTGATGACACATTGCCTTCCTGTAAGGAGTTAAGATATGTTGTTCATTCCATCGTACACCAAAAACAACATTTCTATCGTGTTCTAGACTGCCCATAGCAAGCACCAAATATTGTTAAGACCATGTCGTACATAAATAAGAGGTATAAACTCTTTGAAGAAAGACCCAGAAGTGGGTTGGTTCCTGTTAGATCCGAGGCCAGGATCAAAAGCTATGACTCTGCTACAGATGCCAGAGCGTGGAGTGATATTGTTGAAGAGAGAAGACAGCATATACTTGAGTATAACGCTTTGAATAAGGCTGTAAGTCTAACCAATACCAGTGATTAACGTATTCTACCCATTGAGTGCCGCGCGTCCGAAAAATTATCTGAGATGATATAAAATACCGTAGCATCATCAATGAGAATTTGTCACAGCTATATTTCTCCTCTCCGTAATAATTGGGAAACAACGAGATTCATTTTTTACCTAAGTGAGAACTGTTTTTTAATGGAATCAGTGTAACTTTATTTATGAATGTAAATTGAATCACATGCTTCTGGATCCAGTCGTCAAAGAACACTGACAGTTAAACCAGTTAGTAACTGTTTCTATAAACATGCCATCAGTCTTCAAGCACTTTCCACTAAAATATTCATTTAGTTTTCGCAAAAGATGAAAGTCTGAAATCACGACTGCATGTTGGATGATCCAGTAATTCCTAGCGAAGTTTGTCGAGTTGCGTCTGCGATCTGCTACAACATGAGGCCGAGCGTTGTCGTGAAACAAAACGACGACACTTGAAAGCAGGTCTCGCTGGTGGTTTTGGGCTGGTTGAGCTGTTGACGAAGTTTTAAAACGTTTAAAAACTGAATTACTGAGCGTACTTCACAATACGGGTTTATTGATTGACATGGCAACAAACAAAGCAGTAAATCCACACAACCAACACCGACAGAGACATGAAGCGTAATAACGGCGTAATGAAAGACTGCTCAAGAGTGTTTGAGGTTGAACGGACATCACGCGACAGAATACGTGGCCACGATGCGTAATCGGTTCTTACTTAAAAAAATGACCTTTGTACTTTTAAAAGGAGAAGAAATCGATCATTTTTTTCTTATCCATTATATAAATTGGAAATAATTTTTAAATCATTTCATAGAATTTTCTCTTATACCAATTTCGTAAGATTTATTTAGTAGTTGACAGTATCAATATAATGATAGAATTCCACACATTTTATCTTCCATGACTCTGTATCTTGGTAATCATATCTACTACAGCGGATTCCATGTCACTGCAGTTTTTGAAGTCATACTGTTTCACTGAAAAGTAATTTTGTGATTTGAGGAATTTTTCAAGTCTTCCATACATAATTTTTTCAATTGACTAGAAGCATACAATACACCATAAAAAGAGAAGCAAAGCCAAGGTGGTCTCCGCTACCAAAAATTTTAGTAATACATATTTTCACAGTACACTTTTGTTCAAATGTAAAGAAATATATGTACTGCAATTTCCTCATCTATCCTAGAGTTTTTAGTTTTGGAACCATAAGGTTGTCGTGTTGGTTACTTTTATACCTAAGTAACTTGATTTTTATTCTGATAAATTGTTACTGTTGATCTCTTAATTTTGTTATTACTATATAGAAAAGCATGCAGTTTGTCGACTGAAAGAAAAATTCGATTTTTCACTAAACGATTAATATTTCGTATTTTTTCGCTTATAGTCACACCCCTACCTTAGAGAGTTTAAAAAACAACTAAATACTGAAATAAAAAGGATAATTGTAGTTAAAAATACATAAATGTTCTAAAATATTTAAATGCAAAAAATTCATAGAAGTCATCAACTTGAAATTGCAGTTATTCTCTTGGTCGAAAGCCCCGCTTACAGACCCTGCCCCTTTTATAATCGAATGATGTGATAACAAAGCAGAGGAAGCCATTTGACTGAAATGCTATTCCATACTTGACTTTATCTTGCGCTCTCTATGATACAATAAATAAATAACAATCTAGTAACGAAAATACCGTTTTACTGTTCAAAGTCTAATTTTATTACTGCTGCACTAATTTATAACACTTGCAACTAATTCACTATACTCTAGGCGCTGAAGAAAGAAACTAAACCCAAACAAATACACGCATATTGCTCGTGAGTGAGTGTTTAGGCGCAGGAGACATTACAGGACCGCATCAAGATATTATGGGTAGTCATCAAAAATTTCATACAAGATAATTATTATCTTTTACAGTAAATTTCAGTTAGAGATTCACAAATGAGTTAACTACACTTTTTAGTTATTAGTAAGTAAGCTGCGCGCACTCATTCAGAAGAGGAACTTGAATCTTCTGAATCGTTTAAATGAATTATTAGAGGTTCAATTTGGGTATCGATGACATTGTCCAAATCCCACATTTTGACCTCAACCTTCTCCCGAACGTGGCGGATACAGTTTTTCCATTCCTCTGCCGTAACTCTATTGACTGTGATGTGAAAGAGATTTTTAACATCAGAAAATTTATAAGTATTGCTATTCGACGCCACGTATTGCTTTATGTTGGCCCAAATCAGCATCAATAGGGTTCAGCTCACAATGGTAGGGTGGCAGTCTCAAGACAGTTTTATTTTGTTTTTTGGCCATTTCGTCGATCATTTTAAAATCGTATTTGTATTTATGTCTATTGACTATACTTATCAATTCACCCTTGACCATTGTTTCATCAAAATCGATCTGTTTTGAGGCCAGCCATTGTTGTATGTTTGCTTTTTTAGTTGCTATTGTGGGAATTTTTTCTATTTTTCTAGAATGGTACGGGGCATTATCCAGTACAATAACAGCGTTATTCTCCAGCTTTAGTAACATTTTGGAGAACCAATTTTCAAAGGAATTGCCGTCCATCTCCTCATGATAGTTCCCTGTCTTTTTTGATTCAAAGGCCCACAGTGATTCGGGAACAAAGACGTCTTCACTACCTACGTGACAAATGATCAGCCGTTTGCCTTTTCCTGGAAATAAATTATTCCTTACACTATGGATTGATTAAATTTGAAGGAATGAGGCAATTGAGTTCATTTAGCTGAATTTAAGAGTCACGGAATGCTGATCAAAAACTGAAAAACGTAGAAAATTGAAGTTTGCAACTTCTCAAAACCCATTCAAAGCAAATTGACTGCACCCAAAAATGATAATAAATTTCAAAATAACGCTTAAAAGAGGGTCGAAGTTTTTTTCCTAATGACTACACTGCGAATGCACCATTTTTGGAGAATATCACACATTATCTGCTATCACAGCATATTATTTGCCCGAATTTATCAAAATTAAATTGCCGGATAGATGAAGGAGCTTACCTGCAGGATTTTTCAATCCAGCCGAAAGACCGTCTAGAAAAGCCTGCCTTGATGATGTTACTGATTTGTCGACCCAAACTTTCGCTTGAGTATGTCCAGCATTCACCCACGTTTCGTCCAAATAGTAAATTTTTCTTTTTCCATCGCGAAACTTCCGAATCTTCCTAAGGTATTATTCCCTTCTCCACACAACAATTTCTTCTTTCTCTATTAACATACTGTTTCTTCCCCGTTTCAAGAATCGAAAATTAAGTTCCTTCAAAAGTTTTCGGAATGTGGTTCTTTTAAATGATGGAAGATCCTCATGAGCATTAACTAATCTTAATATCTTATCTACTGTAGGTATCTCATTTCGGAAGAAAAAATTATGCACTTTCCTCCTGATGGCAGTTCTGTCAAAGTCATCTACTCCGTCCGTTATCCTTTTTCTTGCAGGATACGGTTTTGGCTCAGAAAGTGAGTGAGTGCTCCTATATTCTTTAATGATCCTATAAACACTGGACCGACATACTCCAGAAATATGTGCTACCTTACATATAACTTCGTCCACGACCAAATCGGGTTTTTCTTGAATTTGGTTTTTGTATATATTTAATATTATTTGTTTTTCATTTGCACTTAAATATAGCTTCTTAGCCCTTTTTTTGGGTGGGGTTGCGCTGATGTCAACCACTTCGTCGGCTGTATCTGTGTCAGACATCGTATCTTAGGCAATATACAGGGTGTTCCATAATTATTGCGACAAAATGATAGGGGTTGTAGAGGGCATAAAAATATGCAATTTTGCCTTATAAACCCCTGCCTTATAAACCAGCTGCAAAATGTTCGTCTAGCACATTTCATGGTCTCGCCGGTTTGTAAAAAAAAGCCTGCTGTGTTTACATTTTTGTTATCGTAAATTCTCCACACCGATTCATTTAATTTATCTGAGTGGTGCGTCAAACTAGATAGTAAATAACAGTACCTTAGTGTTAAAATGCAGCGTTATTTCTATGCGGAACTTGCGGATATGCATTTAATTTACGGAAAAGCTGGTGGTAACGGAAGACGAGCCTCGCGAATCTACGCCCAACGGTTTCCAGAACGTCGTCATCCGCATCACGCCATTTTTGCAAGGATTCATGGACGTCTTCGTGTCAGTGGCAGCATCAGACACCTCGCGGGAGTAGGGCGGCCTTTCACGAGGCCCACAGTAGAATTTGAGGAAGCGATTCTGCATCATGTAGAGGCCAATCCGCGTACAAGCGTGCGTGCTATTGCACATGATATGGGAGCGTCTCAAACTACTGTTTGGCGGGTTCTCCATGACCAGCAACTACACCCATACCACCTTTTAAAAGTCCAAGCCATGGGTCCAGAAGACTATCTGCCGCGTCGACGTTTTTGTCGTTGGTGGCTGCAGCAGGAGTTGAGGCAACCAAACTTTGGTCGCTACGTTTTGTTCACTGACGAGTCCTGTTTTACAAAGGACGGTTATTTTAATAGCCGTAACAGTCACATTTGGGATGAAGAAAACCCTCATGCCATAGCCATCCATAGAGACCAACATCAGTTTTCAATTAACATCTGGTGCGGCATTGTGGACGAGCATATCATCGGACCATATTTGCTTCCACCACGTTTGGATGGGCATGCTTATGGTCGATTCTTACAGCATATGCTACCGGAACTATTAGAAAATGTGCCACTGAACATAAGATCCAACATGTGGTTTCAACACGATGGCGCTCCAGCCCACTTTTCTTTACAAGTGCGGCAGTATTTGGACGACAAATTTCCAAATAGGTGGATAGGCCGAGGTGGCCCTGTGCCTTGGCCTGCACGGTCACCCGACCTGACCCCACTGGATTATTTTCTCTGGGGCCATCTGAAAGCTTTAGTGTACGAAACTCCTGTTCCCAACCGAGTGATGGCCGCGTCCGCACATGTTCAGGACATACCGGGAGATCATTGAACAATCGTGCACAGTTGTGTATTGAGCAAGGTGGAGGACACTTTGAGCAATTACTGTAGGTAAGCTGTTTCAAGAAACTGAATTTTTTTTGCTGCAGCCCAAACGGCATATTTCCGAACAGGGGTTTATAAGGCAAAATTGTTCATTTTGATGCCCTCTACAACCCCTATCATTTTGTCGCAATAATTATGGAACACCCTGTATAAACAAAACGTTCCACTCGCGAAAAACGAGTATACGCTACTGAATGCGTAATGCGTATGCAATGCAATCCTATTAACTGTTAGATGCCTGTCGTGTCATCTACAATCACGTTTACAAGTCCAAACCTGTGCAGATTCGTAGAGCGCCGACGACTGCTAGTGACCTTGAATTTGTCTGTAGATCGATGTTACTCCAGTCAATTTAGGTTCAAAGTGGATGTTTTCTAAACCAATTTGTTGTTCCTACATCAAAAATATATCGATGATGTTTTGTACTGGGAGCTCATGAAAGATCAAGGTAACTTATTTTAACAGTCATCCTTTTTCTAGTCTCAAGATGACACGAAAAAGGGTCTGTGGATTCACTAGAAATACACTGCCGAGGATATTTAGACCTAAAGTGACTGGAGTATATCTGTGGATGCTTTCGAGGGATCTGTTCACGTGCTGATCACTGTTTACGTTTAATGTCTTTCGTCAGCGCCCAGAGTTTAGCGTTTTTTAACTATGTCGACTGGACTATTATCTCATCTTAATTCCGCGTTCGCTAACCTATGTCTCGACTGAGTATCTACTGAGACTAACTGTTTCCGCCATCTAGTCCAGTACGCTCCATACATATCGCGTAACTCCGGTTGCCTGAGTGTTGACTCGGCCAAGAGACTCCTCCCAGTTGAAGGTTCCAGCTATACCACTTTTTTTAGTCAATTTATAACTATGTCGGCTGGACTATTATCCCATCCTAATTCCACGTTCACTGTCCACTGGCTCAACTGATTCTCGACTGTGACTAACTGCTTCCGCCATCTAGTCGGGAATTTCTCCATCTATCAACGCGTCGCGAAATGTTCTAGCGTTTTCGAGGCAGAATCGTGAACTTCCATAGACGAAGTCTAGATTGTCTGAATTTTTGGACAAACTTTAAATAATATAGGTTACTCTAATTTTTATTCACAGGGATGTATAGATAAGCTCATTCCTTTAGAAATACTGTTTGATGCACTCATGGCCAATAAAAATTTACAAGCAAGAAAACTGAGGCACAGAATAGAATATTTACAAAAAAAGTTGGATATCTATAATAAGCTGGAGTTGGCATGTGATCAGAGGCGAATGTTGAGGAGACTTGTAAGTATATATAGCATGTGATTTAATTAAATATAATATAAAAATGTTTGGTCGGAATATGAATATCTCGTCTCCCAAAAGTATCCTATTCTCAAGTTTTGTTCCAACCCATAGAAGAACGATAATGCACTTGTGCATTTTGAAAAAAGGTTTCCGATTTTGTACTCGTATTTCGTTGCACGCAGTACTGGTATCGTTCTGGAACGGTTTTGTATATAAAAGAGTATCAAATGATAATCGTACCGCATATGTATTACGTAAGAAATCGATATATTGTCATTAAAAATTGGTATAATGTCAACTTGTGTACTATGTAGTTGCTAGTCCATACCACGGCTACTCGCTGTGAGCACCATATATGGAGGAATTTTGCAGTTTTGGACTCCTGGCCGTTGATACGAGTTCAAGTTATTCGGATTCGGTCAACTTAAAACACTTAATTGAAATATGACGTTTTGGCGACTTCTAAAGGAACATATTAGTTTCTGAAATAGTTGGTTAAAATACCAATTATTTTAAAGATGGCGTTTAAAGTCGCCAAAATGTTTTTTTTATTAAATGTTTTAAGTGGACCAAACCTCAAGAATATATATCCGTGTAATAGTGTTTTTGTCGATGCTTTTGTGGATGGGACTCGCCACACCGTACTGCTGGATACAGGTGCGACAAAGACTATCATAAGGCCCGACATGATGAATGCATCGGCAAAAATTCGACCATCCAAATGGCGACTACGAACGGCGACGGAGGAGCGAACCAACGTGTACGGTGAAGTAAACATCGCATTTAGAATAGGAAAAGCTACATTCGAACATACGGCGATAGTAGCTGATATTGACGACGAGGTAATCTTATGGAATGGACATCATGGACACAAAGGGCTTCGCGTTGATCTTTAAGCAAGGAGTTTTGAGAGTCAACAATGAGGAGGTCATTTTACACTGGGAACGGAATGGAAACTTACGAGATCTACTGCCCGAAGACACTGCGATCCCAGAACGAAGCGAAGTAGTATTGAATGGCTCGGTAGATGGCCAGACTACAGACGTAGAAATAGTCAGTATGGCCAACGAGGGAATCATTGAACCGTCCAACAGTCCATGGGCCTCACCGGTAGTTTTGGTTAAAAAGAAAGATGGTTCAACCAGATTTTGTGTGGACTACCGAATGTTAAACAACGTGATCAAGAAGGTCAGCTACCCTCTACCACGTATTGATGACACTCTGGATACCCTTGCTGGATCAAAAATGTTTTCCACCTAAAAAGCGGATACTGGCAAGTAGAATTAGCCCCTGAAGATCGGAAGAAGACAGCATTCACGGTGGGCACCGGATAATGGCAATTTAATGTGAAGCCATTCGGCCTGTGCAATGCTCCAGCCACCTTTGAAAGGCTGATGGACACGAGGTCTATCCTGAAAAACGTGCCTGGTTTACCTTGATGACATTATCGTGGTGGGAAAATCATTTGGGGCCACATGAAGAACCTAGAGGAAGTTTTCTTAACTCTACGAGGTTCTGGCTTGTAATTAAGCCCAAAGAAATGCCACCTGTTTCAAAGAGCTGTGAGCTACGCAGCTTCCTAAAATTGTGTACATATTGCCGACGTTACGTGGAAGGACTTGCTAACATCGCAAAGCCGTTGACCAGGCTGACAGAAGAGGAACGCAAATTCCAATGTGATCAGGATTGCCAACAAGCTTTTACCCACTTGAAAGAAGCCTTAACAAGCGCCCTTATACCCAGCTATCCCCTGTCAGAAGGAAAGTTTGTGTTAGACACTGATGCTAGTAATGTGGGCGTAGGTGCTGTATTATCCCAAGTCCAGGAAGGCACAGACGAAAAGGTCATTGATTATTTTAGCAAAACACTGTCCAAACCAGAGCGTAACTATTGCGTTACCCGGAGGGAGTTGCTGGCCGTCGTAAAGGCAATGAAAGATTTCTACAAATACCCTTATAGCAGAAAATTCTTATTCCGGACCGATCACGCAGCTTTAAAATGGGTTTTCCAGTTCAAGAATCCAGAGGGCCAAGTTGCGAAGATGGATGGAGGGGCTGCAAGAGTTTGACTTCGACATCGAACATATAGCGCGAAAAATCCATGGAAATGCAGATGACTTATCGATGAGACCCTGTTTAGAGGATTGTAAGCAGTGCCAGCGGGCAGAATAGAAATATGCCCAAGTATTAAGAACCACTATCGTTAGTGATACCTGGCAAAAGGAAGACCTCATTAAAGATCAAGAGTGCAACCCTGATCTCCAAATAATTCTGAACTGGATGAAAGAATAACGGAAACCAGCCTGGGAAAAAGTTGCTAAGCATTCCTCTACCATAAATTCTCTACTACTGCGTAAAATGGTGGACCACGACGGCAAAGAGGGAAGAAGACAAATCGTTATCCCCAGATGTCGGATCCCGGAGCTGCTAGAAGAAATCTATTCCGGTGTGTCAGGAGGTCATCTCGGAGTTACAAAAACCCTGGGAAAAGTGAGGGAAAGATTTTACTGGGTCAATAGCAAGGAGGACGTGAAAGACTGGTGCAGGAAATGTGGGTTGAGGCATACGTTCTGCCACATCAGGAAGCCTCTACGATAGCCGATGCTTTAGTAAAGGAATGGATTTGTCGATTTGGTGTACCTTTAGATTTGCATTCGTACCAAGGGCGCAATTTCGAGTCAAATCTGTTCCAAAGTATTTGTCAAATCCTTGGGATTAAGAAGTACTAGGCTACTGCCTTACACCCGCAGTCAGATGGAATGGTGGAGCGCATAAGTAGGATCATTAACCGGTATTTGGCTAAGGTAGTCTCTAGCCATCAAAGAGATTGGGATAGTCTTCTTCACCTCTTCTTATTGGCTTACCGATCGTCGATTCATGAAAGCGCAGGAGAGATCCCGGCTCGAATAGTTATGGGAAGAGAACTTCGTCTCCCCTGCGATCTAAAGTTTGCCTGTCCACCAGGAACTGATATTGCCGGAGAAGACTACGTAAGTGAGCTGCGTAGAAGAATGGACGCCATCCACAGCCAGGTTCGTGTTTCAATTCAAGGTGCCAGCGACCGGATAAAGGAAGCTTATGACGTTAATGCCAAGGACTAGAGGTATGACAAGGGTGATACGGTTTGGCTTTACGACCCAAAGAGGCGAAAAGGGCTGTCGCCTAAACTTCAATCATCCTAGGACGGGTCATATAAAGTTCTGGAGGCCATCAACGATTCTACAGGATTCAGAAGGCACCACACGGTAAAGCCCGAATTGTGCATTTCAACCGCCTTGAACCTTATCATGGAAACAACGAAGATGCGGCGGTGCGGCAAATCCAACCAGAACCGGACATAACATTTTTTTTTATACTCCAACTACCACGAAGGCCTAAGGCCTAGACACCCATTTGGTACCGTAGGGCTTTAGGGGGATACCGGGGAAATGGGGAACGCCACACGGACTGTAGCGAGGGAACACGTGTGCATGCAACATGCACAAATTCTGGCTCCGCCTACGAGATCCGCCGGGTGGATTACTCCGCGTTCGACAGTCAGATACCGTCTACCACCTACGGAAAATCACAACATCCATAGCCAACAGAAAAATTTCTCTTGGAACGGGATTCGAACTCGCACAGCGCACGACGACTGATCAGAGACCGAAGAGTCTTCTACTGCGGCCACCGCTGCTGCCTAGTGGCTCACCATGCTAATGGTCATAAGAGTCGGTATGGCGTGACATGTGCAGTACAGCAAGGTCTTTCTTAGGAAGAGTGCACGAGCTGCGACAATCTAACCCGGAAGTCGGAGAAGTACTCCAGATAACTGAACAGGGTACCAACCGGAAGATCTTCTATCTGGTTACCAAGAAAGCTTCGTATCAGAAACGAGGATGTCTGGAACGCTTTGTGTTCTCTTAGAGAAGTGTTGCTTGCCGAGGACACCTGAGAAAACTGGCAATACCTAAGCTGGCATGTGGACTGGACAACCTGGACTGGAGAATCATCCGAAGCATGCTTGAGGTAGTATTTCGGTGTACCGGCATTTGATTTCTGGTATGTTGTCACAGACCTAAACGGTTACCTACTGGAAAGAGTTCTTCAAGAACTCCTACTGCAAGAGAGGGCCGATATCGACATCCACCGCAAGTAAGATCATTCCGGTACGGAATGACTTTAGGGAGGGGGCAGTGTGACGATAATAAATAGTACTGTTGGCGCCATCTGCTGGCAGACTCGCCAGAGCTTCATTGCCGATCGCTGCTTTCACGCGGGCCACGACCGCACAAGCCGCTTGGCGACATCTGTTGCTGACCGTACCAGTGACTCGCCTAGATCGACACGAATTTGATATGTTTTTCCAACACACAAGTGGAAAAATGAGGATTAGCTGCATCGTCCTTGAAAGATAGGTGAGAGTAATCTATTTCAGCTACTAACAACGCAATTCTGCATACGTGGAAAATACCTTAGCGTTGAAACCTGTCCTATCTATTATTTGGAAGTAAATGTATTAAAAATTAAGGAAAATAGGTGAAAAAGGGCATCAAGGAGGTTGAAACTGCATTTCCCAGGCAACACCGCGCCATCATCAGTTCATAAAGGATTACGTACTAATATCGATCCTCGTTACCGAGAAATCCACCTACCTCAATGTTGAGTTCATGTCAGTTGGTAGTTAAAAATCCGTGCATTATTTTTAGAGAAAAGAGCTTGATGAGAGATACAGTGAAATGCCACCCGTCGAAGCTCACTTAGAAGTACCTCCACATGATCGCCAGAGGAAACTTGATGAACGACCTGAAGCTAAGCTTAAGAAAAGGAATAAAAAGGTACTTTTGAACCTAGCAATTAGACAATCTACCCACTAGTTAATCTACATATGTAATTTTTATATGCGCGAACTAAAATAAAATTTCTGTTCTCAAAATTTCTTGAAAATGATGCTTGTACTACAAAAAATAACTATTAGATATATAACTAAAAGCAATCCTCAAGCTACATTTTATTTCTAAATCTTAAAATTATGATAGTAATATCTTTATTCATTTTAGAAACAGCAACCTTCAAAAGTAAATCTTAGCTCGAAACAATAAATATAAGTTAACATATTAGACCAAAAACAAGATTTTAACTGAATAGTATCTGAATCAACACTTGTGGAACATTCAATAATTTATAATGGCCTAAACATTTATATTTGCCTTCCTGAAGTTAGAAGAAATAGTAAAGTCCCGTAAAGCATTTTTATGAACTTTTTTATATTCTATATGCATCCGAAATATTTTCATCTTATTTTGGGACACCCTGTAAGAAATCAATATTTGTACTTACTGTATTTCAAACTCCTCGTTTCACTGGTCTAAGATGCGACGTCAAGATTGATCTTTCTATCAAACCATTATTTCTTTATCCTAATAGGATGGCTCAGAAGATGCAAAGTCAAAGAGCCAAAAACGCAGATCTCCTCCAACGTCAGACTCATCTGGAGAAGAAGGTCTTAAGTTCAAACCGCATATAAAAAGGAGACCTGGACCAAAAGGTGCTACGAAAGAACCTTCAAAGACTGACCAAACTGGCAGAGGCAAAGCAGGGCGTCAAACTACAGAAAAAAGGAGACAGGTGCGTTCTGAGTTTCCTGGTCGAGATGGAGGAAAGGATGAAGCACCAATAGAAGGAGAAAATGGTGTTGGAGGTAAGAATATCTGCCTAGCCCTTTCTAGAAAATTCATTCTCGTTGCTGGTCTGGACGTTTAGACGTTATATGAGTGGTTGTTGACACCGAAAGGCTAACCACTGACATTTTATTGGAACAAAAGCTCTTCTCCGAAATCCCTGAATATTATTTTAACTTTGTCAAGTGCTTCCATCTAACTGATTCATCTAGGCTCGATGAAAAAGTGGTATTGATTCAATTTCTTTTCGGTACCGCTTTTCGTCGACGTTTCAGAACACTTTCAGTATTAACGATTGTCCCATTTATAGTTCGTGGAGGTCCTGGTGCTAAAAGTGGTAGAGACAGCAGTGCAGCAACTACCATAACAGGTCACAGGCCCAAAAGTGCCCCTGGAAGAAGCACTGGAGGTCGGCGCTTACGAGGGGAAACTGCAGATGAAGAAGGTGACACTAGACCTGTCAGAAGGAGAGGTATTGGTGCACCAGGTGCTAGATTAGGAGAAAGTACCGACGAGTATAGGGACTCTGATGCTGAGGTCAACAGGACCAAACCTCCAGCTGAGGACAGACCTAAGAGTGGACAGAAAGCAGGAGCTAGGCCTCAGAGAGAGGCTAAAACAATTGCTCTACCTGAAGGCCAACATGATCGAGATGCTGAGGCTGGTAGAGGGAAAGAAGCTAGGCCCAAAAGTGCTGCTGTAGGTAGAGCAGATGAAGAAGGAGTGACTAAACCTGGTAAAAAGAAAGACACTGGACGTCCTACGGCGGTAACCAAAGCAGGTGAAAGTTCAGATGAACATGGTGATGCTGAACCTCGTATAAAAAGAGGCGCTGGTCCAGGAGCTGGAGCTAAGCCCAAAGGTGGTGCTGCAGGTAAGTCAAGAGCTAGACCTGAAACAATAGACGAAAGGGGTACTGAACCTAGAGAAAAGAAAGCTAAGCTAAAAGTTGCTAATGAAGGGAAACCTGGAGGAAGTGCAGATGAAGAAGGTGCTGTTAGGTCAGCTCACACACAAGAAACTGCTGAGCCTGACAGAAGGAAAAAACCAGGCGCAGGTGCTGGAGCGACGCCTGAAGGTACAGACAGGGAAGGTGATATTAAATCTGTGGTAAGAAAAGGGGCCGATCCAGGTGCTGGGGGTAAGCCTGAAGGAGCTGCTGGTGCTGGGACAGGATCAGGAGGCATAGCTCCCGAAGGCGCTAAGGCGGGGGAACCTCGAGCTGGTGGCGCGCATGCTGAAAAGGATGCTATACCAGAAGGAAAGAAAGGAGCTGGCGCTGCAGCTAGGCTTAAGGGTGCGGCCGAGGGTAAGTCCAAAGAAAAAGAAGACACTGGAAGTTCTCCCGCTAGATTTTCGGAAGACCCGCTAGGTGGATCAAAGAGACGAGCACAAGCAGGTGAAGATCATGCTAAGCCTGTCACAAGAAAAGGAACAGCTGCAGGTGCTGAAGAAAAGCCTGATGGGACTACTGGAGGAGCTCCTTCTTACGATAAAGACTCAGTGGGTGGTAGAGAAGGCAATAATGATGATGTTGCACCTGCGAAAAGAAAGCTGCCAGAGCTGGTGCTATAGCTAAGCCAAAAAGGCCTGCTACAGGTACACTAGCGGCTGGTCCAGAAGATAAAGCCCTGGTTGGAGATAGGATAGGTAAGGATGATGGAGCGAAAACTGGAAGAAAAGCAGGAGCCGAAAGTGATGCCAAGCCCAGAGGTACTACTGGAGGAGCTGCTGCTGAAGATAAAAGTTTTGCGAGAGAAAGTGATGAGGACGAAGGTGAAGAGGCACCTGCAAAGAAGAAAGCTGCTGCAGCTGCAACAGCAAGTGCAACTGGGGGTAAACCAGGAGTAGATCCAGAAGATAAGGCAGATGAAGAGGGTGATGCAAAATCTGCAACAAAGAAAGGAGCTGCAGCTGATGCTGGTGGTAGGTCCCAAGGTACTGCTGGAGGTGGTCCAGAAAGTAGAAGCCCTGAACGTCAAGCTATCCAAGAAGAAGGCACATCTGTTGAACCTAAGCCTGAGGGTGCTGCAGGAGGTAGACCTGCAGTAGGAAGAAAGCCTAAAGGAGCTCCTGGAGGCAAATCAGGGCGTGGCTTGGAAGCTTATGAAGGAATTGGAGTAGGTCCTGGAGGTCAACCCCGTGGCCGAAGTGTAGGTGAGGACGATGAAGCTGAGGCTGCAAGGGAGAAAGCAGCTGCGGCTAAACCAAGAAGCGGTTTTGGAGGTAAAGTACGAGCAGGACCAGTCGGCGTAGAAGCTGCAAGTGGTAAGCCTGGAAGTGCTGCTGGAGGTTCAGCAGGAGGAAGACCAGAAGATCGAGATTTCTCAAGAAATAAAGATGAAGAGGGCGATACCAAAGCTAGTAAAAGACGTGGTGCTGGTGGTGAGGCAAAATCTGAAGCTGGCGCTGCTACGAGCAGACATGTAGATGGTACTGAAGGTAATATTTATTTTATTTATTTTGGCCAATTTACTACTCTTGATGTTCTTAAGTTGTAAGCAGCTAACCAGAGCTGTGAATTTAATTGTTATCTATCCTCAACTCTAAGGGCATTGACCGCACATTTTATTTTGTGTATGTAAAAATAGGTTGCTTCATAAAAATCTGGTAGATTTAGTTTCAAGGAATCTACAAAACTGATGACAAAATTTCCGCTAATTATCTAACCTGAAATATTTTGTACCAAGGAGCGGCAAAGAAAGGAGGAGCACCTGACAAAGCGAAACCAGAAAATGAGATGGAAGCAGGTACAAGAAGAGTTGCTACTCCACGAAGACAGGAAGGAACTACATCAAAAGATGTAGACAATGAGGTGAGTATCTTTCAATATAGCTAGTTGAGTAATAGAAATTGAAATACTGAATTTACTATGTCCGTCTGTCTGACCGCAGACCGCCAACCGTAGACAGCTATTTCTTACCTTTTGTCAATTGTTCAGCAAGGTCTAGACATGGTCTTAGGTATAACGAACGCATAGCAACCATTCTCTATCCGAGGTATAAGATCTATAGAAATAAGATATCACAAAGTGTCATCAATTACCAGAATAGACCACTGCGACAGTGAATTGGTTGCTCAATAGCGAGTATACCACATCTACTATTCCGCTAGAATCAATAACCTATTGCTGCTACACACTCTCGCAGTGGTCGATGCTGGTACCAGGTGGCATTTTGTGTAGAATTATTTTGAGAAATTGAACTGTCTTACTGAATAAATGCTCGAATGATCCCATTCGATTGAGTTGCTTAATGGAGATGAATTAGCGTCAACCATTGACGCTATGTCACCGTGTACCAATTCAAATCTCAGATATCAGCTTTCACCCACAGGTGTATATTGTTCTTACATATTATGATGTTTTGTTAATACAACAATAATATTTGTGAAAAATATTTGTTCAATTAGCATAATAAATTGATACTTACCAAAACCCGTTTTCATTTATTCTTATCCCATAAACGTACCCTTAATCCCTTAGATACATAGATAACTATTTCTATTATCAATTTTAAGTGGTCTGAATATACAGGGAGGTTCATTATAATGTGCAAATGCAATCAAATATATTTTGATGATTCAGCTTCAATTTCTTCAAATTCACGTTTTCTGAGATAATGTTTGAGAAAAAAAAATATTAAAGAATATATTTTTCCAGTTGCAAACTTCGACGGATGGGACAAATGCAGCTGATGGTAGAAAAGGTAATCAGTTTTACTCCTACTCCTGATGCTGAGTTTGCTATGTCAAAGTTGATTTGGCACTATCGGTTAATGAAACACCCTATATATTCTCTCCATACAACATTTATAAAAATACATATTCAAAAATTGTATTTTTCCAAAAGATGATAGTGAGGTTTCGTAATTAACATGAGGAGAATTTGGAAAATTGCCAAAAAAGCTTTTGATATTGTGCACTCAACGCAGAACTGCAGCGATCGACTACACAAAACGTTGACGTAAGGGAGTTATGAAGATTTGAATTTATAATATAACCGATGGAAGCATTTCGCCTAAGATATTTTCAAAATTGTGGCACTTCCGGATGTACCGGAACAAACGTGCTCTTTTTAAGTAGAACAGTAGTCAATTTTGGATTCCATGCGAGATTCTAAACACCTTTTATGTTAATTAAGGCGAATTTCATACGATGAGTATTTGCTGTGATTTGTCAGTATTTATCATAGAACGTGATAATGAAAAATTTCATGGCTTACTCAAGTATCTGGGAAAAACTATAATTTATCAAATCGTTTTTATTTTTTTCCGACTTTATTTTAAGAAATATCAAAAAACTAATGGAACTTTTTCATTAGCACTTCTTAGTCACTACAAGTTGATGTTTTTAAATTTTGTGCTCGACGTTTCGTTTTTGAGAAACCATCATCAACTTTATTTTTTATATGGTCCGACAAAAGTACACCCTGTATCTGAGAACACCTTTTTCTACGAATTCAACGATATCACATGTTATAATTTATTTCTTCGTTATAAAGAAAAATGTTGTTTTATTTTTATTTAAGTAGGCGTTGCAAATAAATGCTTGATCTAAGATTAATTATATGATTACTGTAAGATGCATATTACATATTATATAATGATGTGATGCGGTAAAATTTCATAAAATGATATTCAGAATACATAAATACATTTTTAACATTTTTTGTATTTTATTCACAATAGGTGTTCAGATAGGTTGCCATTATTTTCTAAACATACATACATATTTATGATCTTCCAACAGTAGAATCCAAAATATCACGTAACATTTCTGGTGTAATCATACTAAATGTTTCAGTTACACGTTATGGTAAGTGATGTTCAGTTTCAAAAGTAGGTATGCTGATAAACTCGTTTTTAAACCTAAACAAAAAAGTCCAGAGGAGTTAGATCCGGGAACGCGCTGGCCAGGACTCTTTACTGGAGGTTTCAATCCACCTCCGGGAATCGCTGAGCTATTAACCTATGCCAAAGGTAAACTATCCAGGAAGATCATGTGGTCACAATTGAAGCTACTGTTCTGCAGTTAGAGTTATGATAAATAAATGGACCTAATATTTTATTTCCTAGAATTCCACACCACATAATAAACTCAAAACGTTCTAGATGTCTGGATACTTTTTTGGCACGCAGATCTTCTTGAGCACAGTAACGAGTGTTGCAGCGAAAGATCCATTTTTGTGACCATACTCTCGACGGACCATATTATTTTTGAAGGGAAATTAAAATCTTCACACGGTTGTGTGTACCACTCACAAAAATGTTGGCGTCCTTCGCTATCCTGGTCTAAGGGCCGTATCGTCAGTCGTCCCTAAAATTGTAGGACGCCATTATGGCCTCCTTGATGCTTATAGTTTTTCCTGTCCTTCAGAAAGGCAGTGGTATTTCTAGATTTCTACTATTCCATGTCAGCGCTCTATTTTGAGGTTATGTTATAAATATCCATATCCATCAAATTGTTCATGGCTTTGATTTACATCATTTGTTTTATCTGCCTGAAATTTCTTACACTTCAAAATAAAACTCATTTTCCTTATCAAAAAAATAAATGTAACATGTGATACATCGTTGATTTCGTATAGATAATGCTATAAGATGCAGGGTGTCCTTTCTTGGACCATATCAAAAAATAAAGTTGATGATGGTTTCTCAAAAACGAACCCTCGGGAAAACAATTTAAAAATACCATCAAGTAGTGCCTAAAAAAGGCCAATGGAAAAGTTTCATTCGTTTTTTGATATTTCTTAAAATAAAGTCAGAAAAAATAAAAATTATTTGACCAAATTTTAGTTTTTCTTAAATATTTCAGTAAGCCATGAAATTTTTATGTTTCCCAACGGCAAGTAATCATTCCGCAAAGAACGCAACTTTTTCCTAATTTAACCTGACTCCCATAGGTATTGAGATCCCCATGCATATGATCCTCATCTTACCCAAATTTTCACGTCAATATTTTTAGCATTCGCTCGCTGAGGTTCTATGTGGGACACCCTGTATAAGTTTTAGATTAAACACGTAATGGTCAAAACAAGTAGACCGTGTTAGACCAGGAAATATGTAATTTTTTCCTACAAATATTGCGACAGCAATTTTTTGTTTGTGGTATCGTTAGATTATTGCTTGAAGATGATAAGTTCAAATTGGCGTCGTGATATTTCTCGAACATTTGCTACAATTTAGTCAGTTGGTATCGAGAAATTTAATGGTTAAGGTGCATGTAATACCTGTATTTCCGCTTAAAGTGGCTAAACTGACATCCTCAGCATATTATGACGACGCAGAGAATAAAACAAAAAGATCTTATAGAGGGTCCGCCAAAGGAACCTGATGAGTTTCAATATGAAACTACAAATGTATCTTTCAAGATATTTATTTTCATATATAAGTAATCGAAAGTGTATTACATGCCATTTTATGTATGGAAAATAACTTCGGTCAAATGATGTCCTTCACTGCGGACACACTCTTCCAAACGGTTTCGCACATTCCCCATTACGCGCTGTACCATACTCATCGGAATCGCGCTAATTTCATTGCGAATGTTTTCCTTCAATTCTTCAATGGTCCTTGGGCTCGTTAAATATACCTTGCTTTTGAGATAACCCTATAACCAATAGTCACAAGCCGTGAGATCGGGAGACCTTGCCGGCCAAGGAACATCTCCATTCCGCAAAATGACTCTTCCTGGAAACATTTCTCGCAGTCGAACCATTGTTGCTCGTGCTGTATGCGCTGTGGCGCCATCTTGCTGAAACCATACAGTATTTAAATCTATGTTCCGTCGACGAAGCTCTGGTTCCAAAAATGTGTTTAACATTTCCAGATAACGTTGCGAATTGACCGTGACAGAATTTCCAGGATCGTCCTCAAAAAAATAGGGTCCAATTATGCCGAATCGCGACACTCCGCACCAAACAGTAACCTTGCGACTACGAAGGGGTCGCTGGTGAAGTTCTCTCGGGTTTTCTGCACACCAGTAGCGAAAATTCTGCTTATTTACGTAGCCTGATAACTCGAAATGCGCCTCATCAGACATAATTAAGCCACCTAAAGCGTTTTCATCCAAAAGTTCCAGAAGCTGGTTGCTTGCAGTCAAACGGTTCACAAAGTCTTCAGCTGTCAGTTCTTGAACCATCGCTAATTTGTAAGGGTGATAATGTAAATCCTTATGCAAAATACGCCGCACTGTTGTTTCTGAAAGCCTTGGACTAATTGCTTGTAGCCTAGCTGAACGACGTGGACTTTGCTGCACCGCTGTTCGCACCCTCTCAATATTGGCTGGAGTCCGAACTGTTCGACGCATTCCTGGTGGCTTAGCTTTCATTGCTGATGCAGATCGACGAAAATTTTTGACCCACAACTTAATTGTGTTACGGCATGGAACAGAACCATGACGTCCGACATTGAAATGTGTACGAAATAGACGCTGTGTAATGATCACCGAGTCGTGATTTTTAAAATACGTCTCGACAACAAATGCGCGATGTTCACTTGTCCACAGCTCCATGACTACTGAAATGGCATCTACTACCGATGTCTTGCCCACTGTAACCGATGTTCTACGTCAAAAAATGAAAACATCAGGTTCCTTTGGCGGACCCTGTACGTTTTTTTCACAGCCTGATTCTTGAAGTATAGGTATCTAAAAATTGTATCAAAACAGTCGCGCGGCATGCTCCGCAAGTAATATGTTGTACACGAATAAACATACAACATGTTTTTACGTGGGGATAAATCCATAAGTCATTGTCGACGATCAAGAATACCATTTAAAGTGAATCCAATTTTTTACTGCCGCCAGTAAAAAAAAACGTAGTATTTTTAATAATTTTTGATGTCTTCATAAAAATGCAAGTCACTCACTTCTATCAGTCTGTCTATTGCCTATTTTCGCACTGCATAGTCTCAGCAACCGTTGCAACGATTTTTTGGAAAGGGAGTGATGTTATAAACCAGTATTATCTACAAGTTATCCCCTTTAATTAACATTGCTGGAACGGTTAGTGGAATTACGCAGTGACAAAATGTCACAAATCTTCATAATGAAAACATTACAAATCATCAAAAATATTATATTTTCCAGACTTACACGGGGTCGGCAAAAACGGTCACCACTATTACTACTACACGAGGTAGTAAAAAAATGGTTTCACTATGAAATTGTATTGTTGAACGTAGATAATGATAATGTGAAATAATGTTTTAAACGGATAAAGGTTGATTCTCACTATACATTCCGTTTCCATTCCGTAACCGTTCCGTAAATTATTGAAATTAAATATTCGCCTTCGCTTAAAGCAGGCTATTGCGTGTGTATGCACATTATCCGTACTTATACTGTGTATGTGTATACAATCAAATTGTACTGAACGTTTACGAAACTGATATGGAATGGAAACGAAATGTATAGTGAGAATCAACCTTTACTTGGACAACGAATCGAACGTACCAAACCAAACCGTCATTTTTGAGCAGAAACTAAAGTTAGTAGCCAGAAAAGAAAGAAGAATCTCCATAGTTTATGCTTACATCCTAAAAGCTTTTACAGTGATAAAAATAATCGCTTTGTTTTTCAAAAGTTCCTATTTATATTTCAGAGAAAATGAATAAGGTACAGAAGACTAAAGAGTATAAAATAAAGTAAAAAAATGGAACACACCTGCTTTCTCGCAACATACTTAAACAATGTACAACCGATGTTGGAACAAGGAATCCATACTTTTTGGGTATACCTATCATGAAACGCCATAAATATATTAAACTTTGAACACCTTTGCTATTGTTCATTGACGTAGTATGTAAAACTAAATATCAAAGTATTTTCATCTTTTTGGTACTGCCAACTCATTAATCGTACAAAAATGTTGAATGGATATTCTCCGATAATTACACCAAGACCACAGCTGTTCATACATATCGTCGCTTGAGTGTTAACACCGTGTAACTCAAAACTAATAACTGTTTAGGAGAACAAAAAGAACGGGGGGGGTCTGTGGATTCGCTATCGAATGACATGCATATATCTTATAATCCTTCATGTTTGTCTGGCCGCAAATGAAACCTCATATGCTTGAGGTAATGTCAACTGAGACGTTTCGGCAATCACGGTGGACTTTTTCAACTAAACGTTAGAACTTACGCGACGATCTCTCAAGTTCCAAGTATGTTGGAATAACAATACCTACTTTACATCATCAGCGGAGTATCGAAATATCAGCACCCCACTTCCAGTTTGTTTTGCGAAACACTTCTGACAGTGTTCTGCGGGCAACTACCTGCAGGTGACCTTTATTACCTGGATGTTTACTTTCATCTTCACTACCATCTATATATACACACACACACCACAGTTAATCTGCATGTAGTATCTGGATACCACAATATCATTTCAGACACCTCGCCAAAAACTGTTTTAACTAGGGAGTGACGCTTCTTTTGTATAGTCCACATTATTTCACCGCCACTACCTGATTTCTTTTGAACCACCTCAGTCGCTAATGCACGTTGCAATTCGGTAGTTTTTGGAGGTCAGAAAATGTAAGAGGTTTGTGCAACTTTTATTGCTCATTTTTGTACGTAGCGTGCGGTGTATGTCATGCGACTGTTTTTATACGAATTTTTAACTTACCCTCCTTAAGGTAACACTCCGCCATTGCGATTCTTCAATTTCAAATTTTAGTATCTCACCTTATTCACAGTAAATATGTATTTGTCAGAAAATCAAATAAAGACTGTTATTATTATGCCCCAAGAACCATCAAGGTGTCGAAAAAACGTAGGACCTTTTTGTAGCAAATTTTATTCTCTATAAAAAAGATAATAGTGTTTTATACTCTTAGATTCTCAGTTTCGCTATTCTAAGCGAAATATATCATAATATGTACCTTTACCCTTAAATTTCTCGGTAGCTGCTGACTTTGTGACAAATTATATGCAAACCAAACGATATAGGTGTTTTCTAAAAAAATGTTTTTATTACTTTTTTACATAGGATCGATGGTTTTCGGGATTTTCGATCAAACGCGTTTATCAAAATGATGACATATGCTCCAACCCTATCATGATGCCAATTTGAACTTACCATTAGGAAGCATACCAGCTCCATAAAAAAATGTTCTCTCGCAAAAATTGTAGGATTTTCTTATACAAAATCTCCCTACTTCCTGGTCTATGTTTGGAGTTGTGATAATGATCACACGTCAGTCGAACGCGTACATTGCATCCTGATATCCTTTATTGAATTTAAGTATTCATCAATAATGTTTCCAAAATCTTCAAAAGCACGTGAAGACGCTGTTGGAGAGAAGCCAGTTTCAAAAGGTGACGGCAGGCCAAGTGGCGCAAGAAGTGCAGCCTCAGAAGAAGATCCTAAAGAATGGGACCGACTGGCAAAGGAATTACACCAAGGGCGAGCTATCCCCGCGAACCGTAACCAAGGGTCAACACCTGTAGGAGGTCCGGGAGAAAAACCATTGACCAACTTACATCCAGTCAGAGGAAAAGCTAAACCAGAAGAGGAAGTTAAACCTGCAGACATTCCCGATGATGTCAAAGGGGGCAAAGCTGATGAAATAACTTATCCGGAGAAGAAGATGGCTGCTGAGGAAGATCCTTCAGAAAAACAACGACTGAAGAAAGAAGTTGATAAAGTGAAGCAAGATAGTGCAGATGCACAACCTGTAGGTATCCCGGATGATATCAAAGGGGATAAAGCAATCGAAAGAGTCTATCATAAAAAGAAGACGGCAGCAGACAAAGATCCAGCGATTAAAGAACGCCTATCAAAACAGCTTGAGAAAACAAAGCAAGAAAAAGTTCAAGAATCTGCTGGATTTATTCAAGATGATATTAAAGGAGATCAAGCAAAAGGAAGAGCCTATCACGAAAAGAAGGTGGCAACAAATAAAGATCAAGCGGTTAAAGAACGCCTAGCAAAACAGCTTGAGAAAACAAAGCAAGAAGAAGTTCAAGAATCTACTGGAGGTATTCCAGATGATATTAAAGGAGATAAAGCAAAAGAAAGAACTTATCCCGAAAAGAAGCTGGCAGCAGAAAAAGATTCAGTTGAAAGAGAACTCTTGGGGAAGCAGCTTGAGAGAGCAAAACAAGATCAAATTCAGAAGCCTGGTGAAAGTATTCCAGATAACATTAAAGGAGGTAAAGCAAGGTGAAAGATTATCGTGAAAAGAAAGTGGCCGCAGAAAAAGATCCAGCAGAAAGAGAACGATTGAGACAACAACTTGAGAAAGTGAAACAAGCTAAAGAATCTGCTGGAGGAATTCCATCAGATATTAAAGGAGATAAGGCAAACGAGAAAGCATATCTTGAGAAAAATATTGCTGAAGAGAAAGGTACTAAGAAAGGAGTGGAACAGAGAACAGCTCCAGGAGAAGAAATAATCGATATCCCCGATGATATAAGGGGAGATCAGGGAAAAGAAAAAGAATATCTTGATAGCAGGCTTTCAGTAATGGATGACCCAATGGAAAAGGAGAAACTACGAAGACAGTTAGAGAGGGAAAAAGGAATATCGTTGATGACCCCTCGAGAATTTTTGGATAGGCAGACCTCAAAAGTTGAGGACCCCAAAGGAAGAGCGCGTGTCAAAGAGGAAATTGCAAGAGATAAGAAAGAAAAAGAGCTTGTTCAAACGAAGAAGAACCTCGCTGGAACGAAGGATCCTGCTGAAAGAGAAATGATGAAAAAGAAGCTTGCTGAAGCAAAAGATGAAGAAGACGAAGGCAGAAAGAACTCGTTTTTACAGGAAAAGCTGTCTAAGGTAAAAGATCCCAGAGAAAGAGAACGATTTAAGAAACAAATAGAAAAAGAACAAGGTATATCGTTAGCTTCTCCTGAAGAAACAGCAGGAAAAATAGAAACCCATATGCCACCTGGTGTAAAATGGGATCCAGCAAAAGAAAAGATTTTCTTAGAAAAAAAACTCGCAGAAGCTAAAGATTCTGAAGAAAGGGAACGATTTAGGAAGCAACTTGAAATGGAAAGACGGATTTCGATAGGAACTCCTCAAAAACAGGCAAAAGGAACTGTGTCAGACGTTCCGCCGGGTAAAAAAGGAGATCCTGAAAAAGAAAAGGCTCGCTTAGAAAAAGCGGACGCAGAGGTTAAAGATCCAGAGGAGAGTGCACGAATGAAGAGACAACTTGACAAGGAGAGAGGTATTCCTTTAGAAACGCCTAAAGATAAGATAGAAGGAATTGTATCAGATACGCCTCATGGTGTAAAAGGAGATCCAGACAAGGAACAGGGTCGGTTAGAAAAAAACCTTGCAGAGATTAACGATCCAGAGGAGAGAGAACGATTCAGAAAGCAGCTCGAACAGGAACCAAGTATACCTTTAGGAACCCCTGAACAACAGGCAAAAGGAATTTTATCAGAGTTTCCACCAGGTGTAAAGGGAGATCCTGCAAAAGAAAACGCTTTCTTGAGAAAAAAGCTCGCAAAAATTAAGGATCCAGAAGAAAGAGACCGTCTGAGAAGACAACTTGAAAAGGAAACAGGCATACCTCTAAAAACACCTGAAGAACAACCAAAAGGAATTCTATCAGATCTTCCACCAGGTGTAAAGGAGGATCCTGCAAAAGAAAAGGCTTCCTTGGAAAATAAGCTCGCAGAAATTAAAGATACAGAAGAAAGAGAACGTCTGAGAAGACAGCTTGAAAAAGAAACAGGCATACTATTAGGAACACCCGAAGAACAAGCAAAAGGAATCGTATCAAATCTTCCACCAGGTGTAAAGGGGGATCCCGCCAAAGAAAAGGCACACTCAAAAAAAGTTGCAGAGACTAAAGACCCAGAAGATAGAGAAGAATTGAGGATACAACTTGAATGCGAAACAGGTATTTCTTTACATACGGCCGAAGAAAAGACACCAGGAATCTTATCAGACATACCAGCTGATATAAAAGAGGATCCAAAAAAAGAGAAAGCGTATTTAGATAAAAACATTGCTGAGGTCAAAGATCCCGCCGAGAGAGAACGCTTGAGAGAAGAGCTTGAATCAGCCAGAGGAATTTCTTTAGAAATTCCTAAAGACAAGGCAAAAACTATAGCTGAAGATATGCCTGCTGATTTTAAAGGAGATAAAATGAAGGAAAAGACGTACTTGAAAAAAATGCTTACTGAAGGCAAGGTTCCTAAAGAGACAGCGGAAGATAAGACTCAAGAAATTATGTTGGAAATGCCTGATGAGATTAAGGGGGATAAGGCTAAAGAAAAGGCTCATTTAGAAAAGATGGCCGCAGAAGTTAATGATTCTGCAGACAGGGAACGATTACGGAAACAGCTGGAGATGGAAGCCGGACTTGTTGTAGAAACGCCTGAAGAAAAGGCAAAGGGTAACGTTACAGATATACCGGATGATACAAATGGTGATAAAACGAAACAAAAGGCGTACTTAGAAAGAATGCCTGCTGAAATTAAATATCCTGAGGATAGGGAAAGATTGAGAAAGCAACTGGAAAAGGAAACAGCTGTTTTATTGTCAAGCCCTCAAGATAAGGCAAAAGAAATTATTCCAGAAATACCAGAAAATATAAAGGGGGGCAAGAAAAAAGACGACTATGTAGAAAAAATGGTAACTGAAGTTAAGGATCCAGTTGAAAGGAAACGACTAAGGGAGTTACTTGAAAGGGAGAGAGGTATGTCTTTCTCAGAAGAGAGAGCTCGCAAAATAATCAGTGACATAAAAGAGGGCAAAGATAAAGCAAAAGATTACTTGAAAAAAACTATGGAGATGCATGGGAAAAAGACATCGATCGATAAAGCACAAGATCTGCTGTCAGATATGCCCGACGGAATAAGAGGGGATAAAGATGAAGAAATAGCTTACTTAGAGCAAAAACTTGCTGCAATTAAAGATCCTTTCGAAAGACAACGACTGAAGAAGCTGCTTGAAAAAGAAACTGGTATGACATTACGATCTCCCGAGAAAAAGGCTCAGGAGATCATGTTAGACATTCCAGATGATGTAAAAGGGGACAAAGAAAAGGAAAAAGAATTCTTAGAAAGTAAGCTTGCTGAAATACAAGATCCTGTTGAAAGAATGCGACTGAAGCAGCTTATGGAAAAGCAAAATGGGATACGGTTAGAAGTCATGGATCAAAATCTTAAAGATATTCTGTCTGAGGTGCCCGATGACATCAAAGGGGACAAAAACAAAGAACTTGAATATTACAAAAGCAAGGTGGCCGAAATACAAGATCCTGAAAAAAGGGAAAGGTTACAAAAACAGTTGGATGAAAAACTTACAGATGATTTACTTTACGATATGCCCAATGATGTAAAAGGTGATAAAGAAAAAGAAAGAGCTTATCTCGAAAGCAAATTAGCAGAAATTAAAGATCCTGTTGAAAGAGAACGGTTAAGAAAGCTCATTGGAAACACGAAAGGAATAAGCTTGGAGGTACCTCATGAAAAAATGGCGGAATTACTTGCAGAAATATCAGTTGATATTAGAGATGATAAGGAAAAAGAAAGAGCGTATCTAGAAAGGAAATTGGCAGAGATAAGCGATCTAGAAGAAAGAGAACGCTTGAGAGATCAACTAGATAGACAGAGGGTACGAGCTATTCTTGCCGAGATACCGGATGCCATTAAAGGAGATAGGGAAAAGGAAAGAACATTCCTTGAAAGTAAACTAGCAGAGATTTCTGACCCACAGGAAAAAGAACGGTTGAAACAACTATTGGATAAGCTAGCTATGAAAGATATTCTTGTTGAAATGCCTGATGGTATAAAAGAGGACAATGATAAGAAAATAGCATACCTGGAGGCCAAATTGGCTGATATTAAAGACCCTGCAGAAAAAGTGCGGATGAGAAAGCTTTTAGAGGAAGCAATAGGTATATCATTAGAGGCTTATGATGAGAAATTGGAAGAGTTGCTATCAAAGATACCTGATTGGGCTAAGGATGACCCAGAAACAGAACGAGCTTTTCTAGAAAATAAACTGGCCGAAATCGAGGATCCTATAGAAAGAGAACGTCTGAGGAGGCTTTTGGAAGCAGCAACAGGTTTGACATTGGAGCCTTCACCAGAAACGCTGGATGAACTACTTATTCAAATACCAGATGATATAAGGGGTGACAAGCAAAAGGAAAGGGAGCACTTGGAAAGCAAACTAGCTGCAATTGAATATCCTCTCCAAAGAGAAATTTTAAGACAACAACTAGGCAATCAACTAATGCAGGACATTCTAGTTGGGATCCCTGATCATATAAGAGGTGATAGAGGAAAGGAAAGAGCTCATTTAGAAGCTAAACTAGCTGAAATCAAAGATTCTGTTGAGGGAGAACACCTGAGGAAGCTCCTTGAGAAACAAAAAGGAATGACATTGGAAGTAGTCGACGACACGTTGATAGATTTGCTTGATCGTATTCCTGAAGACATCAAGGGCGATTCAAAGAAAGAAATAGAATACCTTGAGAGTAAACTAGCTGAAATTCAAGATCCTGAAGAAAGACAGAGGTTGAGACAACAGTTACAGAGACTTAAGGATAGAGAGAAGTTAGAAGAACTTCTAGCGAAAGTACCAAAAGAAATAAGAGGCGACAAAGAAAGGGAAAGAGCATTCCTTAAGAGCAAATTGGCGGAAATAGAAGATTCACTAGAAAGAGAACGCTTACGTAGGTTACTTGATAAAGAGACCTTGAATGATATCTTTGCAGAAATGCCTGATGATATCAAAGGAGATAAAGCTAAGGAGAAAGCTTATTTAGAGCTAATGTTGGCAAATATCAAAGATGCTGCAGGAAGAGAGCACCTATTACAACTTTTGGAAGACGAATTTGGAATCTATTTGGATGTTCCTGATGAGAAACTTCAAGAACTGTACGCTAGCATACCCGATGTTATTAAGAGTGATAAAGAAAGAGAAAGAATTCATGACGAAGCCAACCTAGACGAAATAGAAGATCCTGGTGAAAGAGAACATTTGAGGAAGGTTTTAGATAAAGAAAGGCTGAAAGATCTTGATGTTATGCCTGATGACATAAGAGGTGATGCGGATAAGGAAAGGGCGTACTTGGAACGTATGTTAGCTGCAACAGAAGATTCCGAGGAAAAAGAGCAACTAAGGCAGTTGTCTGATTTAGAAAAATTTGAAGATGTCTTGTCGGATATGCCTGATGGCATAAGAGGAAATCCTGAGTTGGAAAGAGATTACTTAGAAAAAAAATTGGCACAAATCAAAGATCCTATTGAAAGAGAACGGTTGAGGAAGCTTCTAGAAAAGCAAAGAGCTATTTCTCTTAAGAGTCCTGAAAATAAATTGGAAGATTTACTAGCTGGAATGCCTGATGCCCTTAGAGGGGATAAAGCAAAAGAAAGGGCATGGCTGGGAAGTCAACTTGCTGGAATCACAGATCCTGCTGAAAGAGCTCGATTGATGAAACTTTTTGATGCTTTTGAAGAACCTAGCAATAAGAAACCATGTCGAGGAATATGTAGGGGAGTGGAGCCAAGAAAAACACCTGAGGAGTTTCTCCAAAACATTGTTGCAGGAATGCCGTTATATATAAAGGGTGATAGGGAAAAGGAGCGAGCATACTTTGAAAACCTTCTAGCTGGAATTACTGATCCAGAGGAAAGAGCTATGTTGAGGAAGCTGTTTGAGAAAAGTCAGGCTTCTAGAAGAGCGCCTTGTAAAGGAGTATGTGCTGCGAGTACCAAACCAAGGCCAAGCCCAGAGGAAATTACGCAAGATATGATTGCGGGTATGCCACCCGAAATCAGGGGAGAGAGAGAACGGGAAAGAGCATATTCTGAAAGCATTCTAGCAGAAATTGCAGATTCTGACAAAAGAGCAAAGTTAAGAAATCTTGAAGGGAAAAGACCATGTCTTGGGGTATGTGGCAAAGGTGCGGAACCTACACAAATGCGAAAAGATCTCCCACAGTTTGACGCAGAAGTGCTTGATAGTAAAAAACCTGATCCAAGTGTACATGGTTCTGGTCCTGGACAAAGGTGTACATCCGAAGAGTTTCTCCAGAACGCTTTATCCAATATGCCCGTTGAAATAGGAGGGAATATAGAAAAAGAGCGAGCCTACTTTGAAAGCGTTCTAGCATTGATTAAGGATCCTGTAGAGAAAGCAAGATTAAGGAAGCTGTTTCACGAAATGCAAAAACCAGAAGATCTTCTGCAAAGAATCTTAAACAAAATGCCTCCAGAAGTAAAAGAAAGGAGAAAAAAAGAACAGGCATACTTTGAGAGGGTTCTTGCAGGTATTTCAGATTCATTTCAGAAGGAACAACTAAGAAGGCTCTTAGACGCAAGAGGACTTGGAAGCAAAGGGCCTTGCCCAGGCGTCTGTGGTGCAGGTTACGAACAGAGGTCCACACCAGAAGATCGGTTCCAGAGTATTCTATCTGACATGCCTCCTCAAATAAGAGGAAATATAGACCAAGAGCGTGCTTACTTGGAAAACGTTTTAGCAGGGACTTCAGATCTAACTGATAGAATACAAATAAGAAAGCTCTCAGATGCAAGAGGGCTTGGAAGCAAAAGGCCTTGCCCAGGCGTCTGTGGTGCAGGTTATGAACAGAGCTCCACACCAGAAGATTGGTTCCAGAATATTCTATATGGTATGCCCCCACAAATAAGAGGAGATATAGACCAAGAGTATGCTTATTTTGAAAGCGTTCTGGCGGGGATTTCTGATCTAGCGATGGCGGCACAACTGAAGAAAATGTTTGAAGCAAGATCTCTAGAAAGCAAACGACTATACCTTGGACCACGTGGTATAGGTGCTGAGTTAGAGCATAAACCAGAAGAAATTGCAGAACAAGTATCTTGTAACGCGGTTTGTGATAGAAAGCATAAGATAGCAGACAAAAGTACAAGATATACATCTCAAGAACCAGAAAGTTCAAAGCCATGTATGGTGATCTGTGCTGTGGAGGATATAGCAGCAGATCAAGGCATGCAGAAGGTTTGTGGAGTGGTACCTTTAAGAGATTCAAAACCTGGACCCTCATGTTTGAGCCCAGTGCATATCTGTGGGGCCATTAAATTAGAAGATAGATGCGCAGCTCTAATTCGCCAAGCGCAACAGAGATCTGCGGCCTTAGCGGCCTCGTCAGGAGGTGTATTTGTTTTACCAAGGCCATGCACCGGCAGGTGTGTTGGTCATTTGATTCCAAGAGGCTATTTACCAGGAGCCGCTTTGCCTGAGGTGATACCACCAACGCATGATGAACCTGTGCCCGAGTGGCTACAAAAGTTGGAAAAATGTGCCACAAGAGCAAAAACTGTGTCGATATCTATAGATACAGATGACACACGAGATATGGTTGAAGACGAAGTAACAACTGTAATAGAAATAGGAACAAGTAAAGTATCACTGAAGGATGCAGAAACAAATTCTAGGTCTCAATTAGAACTAGCTTGGAAGAAAGAGAACTATAAAGGATCTAGCATCTCCGATTTTGAGAATGTGATATGCAAGAATGTCTCTGCGATAGATTTGAATATAGATTTGAAAGAATTGGCTCATAGAGGTCTCAAAATATCCAAAGCTGACTGTGCGTCTTATGCTACTGAAACCCTCAAAATGGAAGAAGCAGTTGGCACTTCAGGTATCGATATTACAAGTCGGGGTGTTCAAAGTGATCAGGGTGCAGGAATATCTAGCTCTGAGTCTTATATAACTGCCATAGAGTGTTCTAGTGAAATTCCTGAAGTTGGAGGAAGACAAATGACGGCTAGATCAACAGATGAACCTGGTTTAGTAGATGTTCTACGAAGTGACATGACTGATAAGTCACAACCTCTAGATAAAGAAGCTAGTACTGAAGATGTACCATTATGTGTTATGATTGAGGAGGCAAGACAACTTCTATCGGAAGAACTCACAGCTGTTGAACTAGAAATGCTTCTAGATGAAACAGTTTCGGTGCAATCAAGTAAAGATGACGCGACGGCTAGGCCTGCAGCTGAAGAGGTAGCACTAGAAGGGCAGGAGGTATTCGTAGAAGCGGAAGATACTAAAGAAAAATTGGTAAGAGACGAATCCGAAGTAGAGGATACTAGAGAAGGAAGCGAATTATATGAAACGGCAGATAGTGATGAATACGAAAGCGCTGATGTAAAGAAAGAATCTCAGGTCCGCTTCATGGAACCCGAAATTTCTTTAGTCACTTCCTTTGAGGAAGGTGAAAAAATAACGGAGAAAGAAATAATACTATCCCGTCTCGTGGAAGGACATAGCCAAGAAGATATTCCAAGAGTAGTTAATATAGATGAGAAACAGAATATCACAGATGTATCTCTACCATCTGAGACTCAAATAGAGGTTGAAGCACATGATGTTCGAAATACGTCTACTCAAATAGGAGCTAGTGAAGTAGTTTCTACTTCAGTACAAGCTACAGTTTGTGAAGCAGTTGCTCAAGAGCATAGATCTAGCCCTCGTATTGTGGTATATGAACCACCTTCCTCACGACGGAAGCGATTTATAGCAGATGGACGTTCTGAAGTTGATATAGTACATAAGAAACCTGTTATACATAAAGCCATAGTAACTGATGCTCCAGTGGTACAACACGTTCAAAGAGATACCAATTTAGAGATAATTCAAGTAACTGATGAAGGACCCAAAGATGATAAGATACCGAAAAAAATCGTTTGCCAAGCTCCTTGTTCACAAAAAGGTGTGCTTGGGAAACTTGTGGGGCGCATCTGTCAAGGTCCATGTGCAATTTCCCCATCACATCGACCTAGTTCTCATCAGGCACTAGGTGTTAGAACAAGATCAGCATACAAGGAACCATGTGCTGCAGAGCAGATACAACAAGAGTCTGTATGCAAAGCACCATGTGGTTCACAGTTTTTTTCAAAGGTTTGTCATTGGAAGATCTGCTCTGGTGTTGCAGAAGTTTGTCAGACTACTCAAGCTAGCTCCGATTCAGTAAAAGAGTATTTGCCTGAGGATGACGAGTCAAGGATTAGTCAAGCAACATGTGCAGATATATCTATCACCATTATGGACTCGTTGGTCTCTTGTGGCTGTCAAGCAGACTTATCAGACCACGCACGGACTCCGACTAAAGTATCGCGTACTTGTCAAGCTTCTTGCGCACAAGTTTCACGCGGTAATCAAATGATGACCATACCAGATCGCGTTTCAGTTCGCTCACGTAGCTGTCAAGCTTCTTGTGCTTATACTAGCCAAAAACCTGGTACTTCAACACCACAAGTATGTGCGGCTACAATCAAAAATACAAGTCCTGATAGGACGCACTTTAGTGTTGGACCACCCAAAGGTTATCCCAGTAGGCATATATGTGCATCATGTAGTACCTCTCCACTTGTTAATGATAGAACCGGCCATACAGGTGCTGCTGGCATCAATATACCACCCGTTAATGATCAAAATTCTCATATTTGTGCTGCTGAAGCTCAGAAAGCTGATACTTGCACAGCTATTAGAGTCCAAACACCTCATGTATCTGCAGTTAATTCTTCTGCTCCAGCTACATCTCATATCTATGCAGCATCTAGAGAACGTTCTATGTCCCCACATGTCTGCAAGGCCTCTCGTTCTCACAAGCCACATAGCCGTCACGTCTGCTCTTGCAGAGCTCATCTATCACGAGATAGTGAAGCTCAAGGAAGACTGTACACTATTAGAGATGATGCTCTCTGTAGAATGACCTTACCTGATCCTCCCAAACCTTTGCAAGATGCTATTGCTAAGAAAAGATCTCCGTCTCACATTGAAAAGGAATATAAAGACCCTTACAGGAAGTTACGTAGGGAAAGACAAGAAAGTAATACAAAGACTTGCTTTTGTGAGTGTTCGAAAAAGTCTGGAAAGGAGAGGTGTACATGTATGGAGCCCAGGCGGGATCTCGATGATCCAACTGGGTACATCGTTGGGTGCAGCTGCAAAGACTGTTCGTGTGGTTGTAAAGATATGGGCTCTAACGAAGATAAGGATGGTGGACCTTCTGATGATAGTTCAAGAAGAAGGCGTAGATGCAGGGCTATGAGAAAAAAGGCTGAGCGAGAAGATTTGTCCAATCTGATGATTCATAAGGACGCTGAAATTGTTGCTTTGAGAAATGCTCTTCGAGTAAGTATTTTTCCTGTTTTTGAACGGAACGGAAAATTGGACACATTTTTTTTTTCATTTCTTACCTGAGAAATTGCCAGTCCCTTCACATGTGCCCACGAAGCATTCCACGTTATGCGATTTACATTAGAAAAGTGCCTAAAAAAGTGAAGCAAGCGGCTAGTGAGTCGCAAAATAATCAGGACGTGTTAGATGAAACTGTGCATGAGTAAAATAACCAGGTAGATGTAGACGTCCTATTGCAGAAATGTATGGAAACACTCTCTCAAGTTTTAACTGGTGTTCCAGGGTCAGAGGGTAGATAGATTGAATACCCAGGTAGCACAAGCAAGTGAAAATAACGTTACAAACTGGTCAGCATATGACGAGCTGAATGAAAATGACTTCCTAATGTTACATACCGATAACGTCAATAATACGTCACTTGCTGTACCTGTAGAAGACGTTTATTATTTATAATGAATAACCAGTCTTAGTTTCTTCAAAAAATCATATATTGTGTTAACTGTGGTATTGTACTCATACTAGGCACCAAAGGCCATTGTAACAGTGGCTTGGTGCTGCTTGCCTAACCACGGAAGACGACCAATTAATGGGCCCCTCATTTGCCAGTACACACGATGTTTGTGGCGAGAACGCTACACCAGTGCATTTTCACACCCATGAGCTGTGTAATACTACGGGTAACTCTCATGGTGTTAGCCGTTAGCCTGAAACTAGGTTCAAAATGGCCTATTTTTTATAGTTTTGGGAATACTCAGTACGGGGATGTTGGATCAACGAGACGCGGCTTCCGACGCGGGTATTACGTATCTTGAAAAGTGTCGGTTTTATTGACATTATATTGGCTTTTTGTGACATTATGTAGGTTTTTCTACAAGATGTTGACTTAGCACTAGCTGATGGACACTTGTGAACTCGTTTTGTAGCTGTACGTTGCCTAAACGTCATGATGCCTCAGTTATCACTGCTTGGGTCTGATGTGATGTACAATCTGCTTCAGAGATGGCATTATTGGAGGTCTAAGCTGTAAGTTGTATACTATAGCTAGAAGGAAACGGCAGTGCATAGGTGGATAGTGAGGATTTGTGTGGTAACAATATGTGTTGATGATAATTCCATTGGTTTCTTGTTACTTGAAATTCAAAGCTAGAAATTAGTTACGAATCCACTTTTTCTCATTCATTCTGGAAATTACATATGAAAATTTGCTGAATTTAAAAAATGACAGAGATAAGAAAAGAAAATCTCTGGTTGGTGAAGGAACAGATGAGAAAATATGCTACAGACAGGAATATTTATAAAAGTGAAAAGGATTTTTATTTTTTATCTTCGGTCATTTAAATTTTGTAGAAATTTATTTTGCGAAGTCAATAGAAAATACAAATCAGCACATAGATGTGAGGCATTGCGAAAATGTTTGATGTGTGATGCGTCATATCTAATTTTTCTGAGATGTGGCTAATTGCACACAACGCGGGTGCGGTGGCGATTTCCCGTAGTGCTCCTCAAAATTTTTGAAAACACAAAAAATAACTTTGAACATAATCTGTCTTCAGACAGGACAACATATAAATAACACGTCGAGATAAACTTCATTGGCAGAATATTCAGTAATAATTTTCTCGCATAGCAAATATTACTGATTTTATACACATGCAGACCAATACACATAATCGTCCAGATGCGATCTTGCTTTCTGAAGGAGAGAAAATACTATGAAAATCAAGGAGGCCATAAAGGCATCCTACAATTGTAGGAACGACTGACGATAAGTCAACAAGTTGACATTTCATAGGTGTTTTTGACATTATATAGGTTTTTTACGTAATAACACTGCCGATATGAATTTCTCGAAAATTGTCCGAATTATTTGACGAGGCTGGCGTTCCCTTTTTTACCACAAATTGCTTAAGGGGATCAGCTGAAGAGTGGGCCGAAGTAAAAGAATTTAAGTCTTTTGAACATCTGTGTGCAAGTATCTTTTGAATCATTATTGGAGTATACAACATGAGCCGGAGACACTGCAGAGACTTAAATTTGGTAGCCCGCCGTTTATGTCCTAAGGGGAGAAAAAGGGGTAAAGCAACTATTGCATCCGCTTGCGGAATAACTAATAATGTGTTATTTCATTTTTCCACGGATATACAGAGAGGTATACTAAATTCAGGAATCCGGAGGGCTGGATAATACTTATCCTTCGGAAAATCAGGGGGGTCGGCCACGGACACAAAACTATCCGAGAGCTGGAATGATGGTCAGTGACGTCAGCGTCACGTATCTAGAGGAACAATGGGGATCGTAAACAAAGTTCAAATGAAACCATTCTTATTCAGCAAGCGGAGAGTTGCAACAAGAAAGCGAAAGTCTCTTACAAACGAAAGTGAAAATGTTACTTGCGTGCAAGGTAGTAGTGGAACATTGTGTAGTATGTAAAATCTGAAACTTATCCTGTGGTTTACATATAAATAATCCCCTATAAACGTTTCAATCATAAAGACAATCATCTTCAGCACAATGACAATATACGGTGAGGTTCAAATTTAGCTGACGTTGTAACGTGTACAAGAGAGAATCGCGAGAAGCGTCCAATATATATATATATATATATATATATATATATATATATATATATATATATATATATATATATATATATATATATATGCTAGAAAGAGTGCGCTGATGGCATCCGTGGCCTCGTCACTCGGGTTGCTAGGCAACGAGGTGCTTCTACCTCGTTCTAACACATATTGCACGCTTCTTGCGCTTGCCTCTCGTACACATTACGACGTCAGTGGTATTTAGTTTTCAGTATGTATGATAAATATATTGTCTGTCTTGACAGATAAATCAAATACATTGTCATTGTACTGAAGAAGATCACCTTTGTAATTTATTAAAACTAGGCACTAAGCACACTTTTACCTAAACTAATTAAAAAACCTAATAATTATAATTGTTTTAGTTGGAGCAGGTAAACCCATTTTAATAGTATATTAATTTCAAATAAATTGGTGTAACCAATCTAAGTAAACGGTTTTTTATATTTAATTAAACGATTGCGTTTTGGTTTAATTAAAATGGTTTCATACGTTTTGATTGGCCTAATTAAAATTTTAAATGGTTTGATCAAACTTTTTTCTCAGTGTGTAGCTAACAAGTGTGACACCAAGAATAATGCGCCATGCTTCCGATGTCACGTGAGTTGCCAGGCCGTGTTATGTAAAAAACCTAGATAATGTCAAAAATGTCCACCCGCAAATTCCAAACGTGGATTCAACGGTGGACGGGCACCAGGCAGTTAACAAATAAAAAGTAACATGTCAACTAGTGCACCGCTAGTTCATTCCGCGCCTACTGCAAGTAAGCATGAAGCGAATGTCAGCTATACCCCATTCGTAGTCCATTTACGGCCAGTCAAAACAACATGCCCAAAAGCGAGATTCTACAGGTCGTATTTTCCTCAGTGGTCTTGGAGTAATCTAACAAAATAAATGATTATTTTTATAAAAAGAACTGCACATAATTTTCACAATTCTTAATTCGCTGGAAGTACTTGAGTCATCGTCCGAATGCTTAATATTAATTCTCGTATTACAGGTTCAATTTGAATATCGATCATATTATCCAGATCCCACAACTTTATTTCGATTGTCTCTTGAACGTGACGGATCCAATCTTTCCAATGGTTTGCCGTCAATCTGTTGACAGCATCATAAAACAAATTTTTCACGTCAAAAAATTTGAATGTTCTATTGTTTGGAACCACATAGTTTTTTATATTTGCCCATATCATTTCAAAACGGTCTTATTTTGGTTTTTAGCCATTTCGTCAATAACATTATATTTATATTTGTGCTGCCTGACTAGATGGATAAGTTCCGCTTTGCCCATATTTTCATTGAAACTAATGTCTTTTCATAGAAGCTATTGTTGAATTTCTGCCTTTCTTGTGGACATTGTGAGAAGTTTTCAAGTCTTCCAGTGTGGTATGCAACATTATCAAGTACAATGACGGCATTGTCGTCAAGCTTTGAGAGTGTTTCTTCAAACCATCGTTCACATGAACTCCCGTCCATTTCTTCATCGTACTCGGTCGTTTTCTTTGACTCAAATGCCCTAGGACAGTGAGCACAAAGCCATCTTCACTGCCAATGTGACAGATAACAAATCCTTTACCTTTTCCTAGAAATAATCGTTTCATATTCAAGAAAACTAATAATAATACAAGCAGAGTGTGTAACAGGTGTTGGTTCGAAGTCTACCAGATATAGCTAAGTTTAATGTAGCTAAGTTATCAGCGTGGGCTCATAGATTCAGTCTACTGGACACCATTTTTACGACACAAATGACGAATTGGTTAGATACACGTATCTGACCGATTCTTTAGGCCAGTGGTTAGTCCATCTAAGAAGGCTTATCTTGCTGATTTAATGGTAGAGTCAGCCCATACTTTAGGTTTTGTATGTTCTGCATTTATCCAGGTTTCATCCAAGTAATACATTTTCGTGCCCGATCTTTTTTGTGCCGGGGCGTAAATGGACTACGAACATGGTAGTATAGTTCAGAGCTGACATTTTATTGGAAAACCTACATAATGACAAAAAAGCTTATATAATCTCACAAAAAATCGATATAATGTCACTTTTTGGGTTTCGCAATACGGGGGCCGAAGTTTGACCGGCTTAAAAAGTGACATATCAAACTTTATTATATTATTTACCTTTGAACTAGCTGACATTCACTTCATGCTGACTTGAGTACACGCGGAATGTTGATAATTTACTGATTTTTTTTTTGACATTATATAGGATTTTTCACGTAATAACGACCTGTAGGGCTATTGTCAAAAGCCTGTAGAACGTAAAAAACGACTAAATGTCATCTTGTAGTCTAGTAGTTTTAGGTGTGCAAATAGAGTTCTTCCCACGCTTAAGCAACATGTACAGCTACAAAAAGAGTTCACAACAGATAAACAACAGCGTGTGCTAAGTTAACATCTTGAAGAAAAACTTACGATATGACACAAAAGAACTTCGAGTGTCAAAAAAAAAACATTTTTCAAGATACGTAATACCCGTGCCGGTTCCAGTCAGCAGTTGAATCCACGTTTGGAATTTGCAAACGGGTGGGATTGCTTGAACAGATAAGTATAGGATAAGTGCGCGTTGTAGGGATTTTAGTTATTTTCAAGATTTCTGGACCCCTGTACGCTTAATGGAGCTTTGCATCTTAAGTTTGTATATAGGCTTGGCTTCTTCTAATCTGTTCGGATTCGTTGATATTAACCGTTAAATATATAAATTCTAACACCCTGTGATTATGCTTGTTCGGTATCTGAAAAGTGACACAAATGATTGGTGACATACCATTTTCGAAGATAAAAATACATTATTAATTAATTCTAAGCATTTTTCTGGGGGGCTGTATGCCAAGATGGCTACTATCTTCAAAGCAAATTACGTAAGTATGAGACTTGGAATAAGATAATGGCTAACATTCAATTTTAAGGCGAAAGAATCTTATTGTGCCGAACAACGTAAAATTGCAGCAGCTGCTATTGAACAATTGGAGAATATAAAAAGCATTGTGGAAGAACGCGATGATCTCAGGAAAAAATTGGAATCTTCGCAAAATGAACTAGAAGAGCTAAAGGTAAAGGAAAACTTGATAGTTCAATCCTTGAGAACAAGTTTCAGAAAGTTGGATATGGCTTTTGAGTCTAAGTAGTCCAGAAGATGCTACATCCTCTCATCTGCTCTAAAAATATTCTGATTCGAATTTTTTGCCTAATTTGATTCGAAAAGGGACCCAATCAACGAGTCTGCATGTTGCTGGGCCCAAAACTGCGTCAAAAATTTCTCAAACAAAGTTCTTATTCATATTCCAAAAGTCGGGTTTTTCTCTTCACTCAAAGAGTGTTTAGGATATTCTGAACTAAATAGATGCCTTAGAATTTTTCTCCGAAGCTTATAGTTTTTGAGGTTCAAGCGATTTGATATTTCAAAAACTGAAAAAATATACAATTTTCAACCACGAAAGACAATATCAAAAACCCGAAAATTCAGTGTTACCAAGGCTCCTAATTATTTTCCAAGCATCTATTGACAAAATACCATAGCACTTAAAGGATATTGTCACTGTAAATCCTTGTATTTTAATTGTTAAAAAAGGCGCGCTCAGTGTATACAGAGAGATGCAACATAGGGGCCACCGCCAGCTACATATACAGAGTTCCAAAAGTATTGATACACCCAAATATCTTGGAAACTAAGAGTGCTAGGAAAACATTTAAAATACATGAGTTTTAAGAAATCAAATGGCACATCTAGCAGAGACCTTGGATCTGACTTTGACGTTCACCATAAGGGTAATTTTGAGGGTAAGTTGATTTTTATACTGGGAGCCTCATTTCTTATTGCAGAAATAGCAAGCCAAAAAATTCCCCTTTCAACAGTATGGAATTTATATTGGCTAAAATTACATCAAGATGTTATTTTAAGGTCAATTGATGTTCTTTCATGGAATGTTGTAAAGCATCAGATAGCTGGAATAAGAAGATGGTGACCTTCATTCTGACTTTGACTATGAAAATGGGAACAAACATTGAGAATGGGCAATGACAACCCTTAGTTCACGTTAATAACTTTAGTATTTTGGAATATCCAAAATTCCCCATCAAAATCTTCATTGGTCGGCACCAGCCAGTCTCGCCTTGACCATCCGGACACCGGACCTCAACCTGTCTCGCCGTTACTGGCCGGACACTGGACCTCACCCAGTCTCACCTTCACTGAGCGGACATTAGCCTGTCTTGCCTTTACTGACCGAAAATGTTTCTCAATTTTCAGCGCAGGTATCAAAATTGAGGGTTTCCATGTAAAAAAATCAGCTGGACATTGAATTGACCTCCAAGGTCATTTCCAAGGTCAGCATCAAGGTCACTATCAGATGTACCGATGGGTGTCCTGTAATTTTTGCATTTAAAGTTCTTTAATATTCTTGTTTTTCCAGGTATTTGCTGCTTAACTTCATTCCATGAAAGGGCAACAGTTGAGCTTGAAATAACTTCTAGATGTAATTTTAGCCCGTATAATAGATACTCGTATACCGTTGAAAAGGCATTTTTTGGCTTTCTATTTCTGCAATTGTAAATGGGGTTTCCTATTTGAAAAAATTAACTTGCCCTTGAAATGATCATCAAGGTGAATGACAACGTCGAATAAAAGGTCACCTCTAGATGCGCCTAAATCTCCATGATTCACCTTAGTTTCCGAAATACTTGGGTGTGTCCATACTTTGGGACACCCTGTATATCTAGTAATTTGACTCGGCACTTCAAACGCAACGCTGTCATCAGTTCATACATGATTACGTCTGATACAATTTAGTCCCTCTGCGCTAGCTACAAACATATAACAAAAAATTAAATGAATCAAGTCAGCTAAACAGGCCCATGCAATCCAATTATTTTCCAAGGTTTAGGCAGGCCAAGGATTAGCGGACAGACTGCTAGACAAACAGACCGACGGTAAAGTGACATGGTTTTTCGTGATAATATCTCGTTTTCGAAATTTTTCGCGATAACAATACATCCTTGTTAGTTGTGTGGAAAGTAAAAGGCGAATAACTGATTCATAATGATATTTTACAGTTACATTGTGTTTTTTATACTTTTTGAAATAACAAGGTAACTTAAAGATCATGGCTGACGTCGGTTAACTATGTTTTCCCAGAATTAACTGACGCAGTCGCAAGCATGTGGCTGGTTGAAGTACCGAATGAAATGTTTTAAAAATGTAGCCCGTATTATCGAAAAGAATGAAAAACATTGCGTGCCTGGGCGGAGCTTGTTTCCAAGTTTTGTACAGGGTATCCCAGAATAGCATGCTAATCCCTCGCATACATACACTGCATAGTAGTTACCACTAGTACTATATACAGGGTGGCGCATTGAAAACGAAACAGACGCATTTACTGGCAGCTCAGTTTTATTGGAAAAACGCTCAGACCCGTCGATTTTATTTTCGAGGGGGACACAAGTTTGGCAAAAAATCACGTGCAGCCCCCTGGGCGGGGGTGACACCAACCCTAAAATCTTAAATGGAAAGGGGGGTCGAGTGATACCTTATTTTAAAGGTCTTTCAATTCCCTTTATAATGATGTAAAATACATGATCTTCAGTTCAGTAGTTTTGAAGATTAGGTACATCAGATTAGTTTGTACTACTTTAAGAAGAAATTTGACTAAAAGAATTTACTTAATAAGTAAATGCTTTGGAGCGTTTTTCTTTTGTGGCAAAAAAGTTATTTCCTGCAGAAAGATAAGGAAATATCTCGTACTTATTTTAAATAGGAATTTAGTACATAGTTTGCGATTGATTTGACCAAACTTTGTTGCTAAAATAACTTGTAACGCTTTATTACATAAATTAACCATGGTATATTCCACAGCAGAAAGAGTTAAAATTATCGAAATATTTTTCGGAAATAATCAGTGCGCTAATAGAACAGCAGAAATATTTAATGAGCGACATGAGAACAGTAACGTGCATTGAAAATATGTTCTAGAACTTGTAGCTAAATTTCGGGAAACTGGGTCAGTCGCCAATAAAAAACGCAACATTGAAAATTCCATAAGGAACGAAGCAATAGAAAAGGGGGTTTTAGGGCAAGTTTATGTAGATCCTACGTTAAGTACCCGCAAATTGGAGACTGTGTGTGGTGTTAGTCGACGTACTGTCCAACGGATTCTAAAGGCCCATAGTTTTCATTCGTATAAAATTCACCTGGTACAAGAATTTAATGAAAACTATTTTGATCGGCGATTACAATTTTGTGAAGATATGAGTGAACGAATTATAAACGATGAACCTTTTTTATTCAACACTTGCTTTTCCGACGAATGTTTCTTTTCTTAAATGGCGTAGTAAATCGTCATAACTGCCGATATTGGTCCGATTCTAATCCCAGAATTTATCATGAGGTTCATACACAGCAGCCACAAAAATTAAATGTTTTGCTGGTATTTTTGGCGATCATTTAGTTGGTCCTTTCTTCTTACCTGGAAATTTGACCGGTGAAATGTATTTGGAATTACTGGAAGACGCCATAGATCCTGCATTAACAGCCATAATTGAAAATCAGAATGATCGGCGGTACATTGCGAATAGGTTGATGTTCCAACAGGATGGTACCCCACCACATTACGCATTACGTGTTCGACAATATTTAGATCAGACGTTTCCAGATCGATGGATTGGTAGAAGAGGTGCCATTGAATGGCCCCCAAGATCACCAGATTTATCACCTTTGGATTTCTTTATGTGGTGTCATTTAAAAAGCAAAATCTATGCTACTCAGCCAACATCATTAGAAGACCTGCGACAAAGAATTGTGAATGAGTGCCTTCAAATTACTACTCAAATATTGCAAAATGTGGGGCAACGTTTTGAGCAGAATATTTATTATTGCATTGTGGTCATTTTCAACATGTACTTGCCTAACGGGTCAGTTCATTCTTCATTTTTAAATTACTTTGCTGTCAAATGCATTGATCTCCACTAATGATGATGTATTAGTTTTATTTAAGCTTTAAATCAATAAACCTTCAAAACTACTGAACTGAAGTACATTAATTTTATATCATTATAAAGGTAATTGAAAGACTTTTAAAATAAGGTATCACTGGACCCCCCTTTCCATTTAAGATTTTGGGGGTGGTGTCACCCCCGCTTAGGGGGCTGTACGTGCTAGCGTGATTTTTTGCCAGACTTGTGTCCCCCTCGAAAACAAAATCAACGGGTCTGAGCGTTTTTAAAAAAAAAACTGAAATGCCAGTAAATGCGTCTGTTTCGTTTTCGATGCGCCACCCTGTATATATACAGGGTGACTTTGAAGTTGAGTCATTAATTTTCAGATAATGATTGTAGAAGGAAGATAAACCAAAATATGTGTGTAAAAATAAAAATTTTACCTTGTTTTATAAAGTATCCTCCCGACAAGTATTTCAGTGCGGACCTGTATTTGATCGTGAGGTCTTGGAGCACCGGCATGCCGTCACCTGATTCACGAGCCCGTTGTACTACATTAACAAAGGCACGAGGGGTTGGTTGCACTCGATTGGGAAACCGATCCGCATAAACATGTGCCATTTTTTATTTCGTTTGAGCCACGCAACAGACACAACTATTCACTCACGCGATACCGACTGACACTGACTGTATACAAATGAATAAAATAATTGTAAAAACATCGTTCCAAATTCTTTCGCTTTTTTGTTTCCGATGCGATGAACCGATAAGGGGGATTATATCCGTTGTTGCCAAACACGAGCACATAATATTATTATTGAGACAGGGCGGTACTCAAACTTCCAAAGGGCTATAACTTTGTTACTTTAATTTTACCGGAAAAATGGTAAAGGAAAAAAACATTTCTTTTGATCAGATCTACTCACTGTTAAAATAAATGACTCAACTTCGAAGTCACCCTGTATATACTTATATAATCATCTAGCTTAGTCAACTTAATTGAAAAATGTATTATTCACGGGGTTCACCTATTTCTTCAGTAAGATAATCATCAAAAATCAGTTCTGGCTGGACTCAAACAAGACCATTGCATCAGGTCGTGCTATTGAAGCGCCAGTAGTCTCAGAAAATTTGCTCTTGTCCAGCCCGTACCAAAAAAGCATCTAAGATCGACTACAGGCTTTCTGTTATAAGTAAGGTGATGGAGATGTGCATGAATCGGGAGTTTCTGGAGTACCTCGAAGGTCACCGCCTGCTGTCGGGCACCAGCGATCCACAGGGGACCTCCTAGCTTACGTTACGCAGCTGTGCAGTAAGCTCATCCAGTCTTATACGTATACTTAGGCTCATGTCGTTGCTCTTGATATCACGAAAGCGTTCAATCAGCTGCGGCATATGCTGCCCTCTTATGCAAACTTCCTTCTCATGGACTCCTAGAGAAGCCTTGGAGATGGGTGGCAAACTTTCCATGTGGCCGCAAGATATCCGTCATAATTGCCGAGTTCTCCTCTGCATCCCACAACATCTACGCTGGTGTTCCACACGGATCTTGGCACCGAAATTATTCCTCTTCCATATCAACGACATCCTTTCCTGTACGGTCAATCCAATCTATAGCTTTGTTGAAGACAGCACTCTACATGCAGGAATTTAGAGTGACAAGCCGACTTCTGCCGGTGAACTGGAGAAAAAAAAACTAGCAGCGACTTCCTCTCTGATGAAAGGCCTGGAGGTTATCGCTGCTTGGGGACGCAGTAATCTTGTGCAATTTATTGCTTCCAGAACACAGTATTGTACCTTGATGAACATGAAGCGTTCTAACGCTCATACGGTTTTAACGGATGACCGAGTTCTATTAAAGGACTGTTATTTCGGCTCGTCGGAGTCCAGAGGACTTGATATGGCACTAACACATCGCACCAATAGCGGCAGCTGCTGGGAACAGGCCAGGCTATTTGTTAAGGGATAAAAAGTACTTTTCTCCACATGACCTTGTCACTCTGTATAAGGCCCAGGTAAGACCTAGTCTCGAGTGCTGCTCACACGTTTGGGGTGCTCCTGCCCTGACTTTATTATCCATGATTGATGCTGTTCAGAGGGTGGCTGTCCGACTGACCAATGCCTCTTCTCTAACGGACTCGATCTCGGGACCCTTTTGCTCCGGCGGGCCGTCAGCGCTCTAGCTCTCTTAACTGCCAGGTTCCTCAGAGGTCTCCTCCATGATGCCTTCGCATGACGTGCCTGAGAGACCAGCCTGACTAAACCTCCCATACTAACCGTGTCGAACTTCGTACATCAGAAACTGGCCGATACAACCGCTTATTTATCCCTAGAGGGTATCGAGATTGTAGATACTTTTCCCAGTTCTACTTATCTTGGGCAGTTTAAAAATCGGATTAACAAAGTTTCTTTAAGCTCCTCATGACTGCCGCGTTGTCCTGGCATTTAAGCTTCTGCCTGTGCGGATGGTTCGGTGTAAAGAAAACAGAGAATTTAGATGAGAGATGCCACATGCAGAACATCATTTGGCTAACACCCCACTCTATGAATTTAACCTCCTAATTCTAGTCTCCGTGGCAGCAATGTAGGCGGGCCATACTTGTGGGCCATACTAAAAATATTGTTGTAGATTGCTTGAAGCTAGAGAATGCGGTAGAGAGGCTTCTTGCAAATATTGGACAGAATTCCACTCCAAATTTTTGCCTTTGTCTTGTTAAAAAATGTAGTCTCGAAACCCTTAACTTTCTGAAAATGCCCAGATCATCTTTGAATGGAAAAAGTTCTCTATTTTTCACCAGAAAAACGTAGCACTAGGGAAACCGTTTGGCTTAGACCTACAAAATGAGAAGAATGTGTACGTTCCCTTCTTGGAAGAAAGCACATCCTCCTCTCCTGTTCGTGAAGAGGAGATTGTTCAATTGGAAGAGGAGATCAGTAACATGAGAAGCGGCAATTTAACACCCGAGTTGGAAGCTAAGGTGATCCGTAAGGAGGTGGAAGTACTCAAAAGGTACTAACTGATTTCATAGTAACTGGTTGCCAAAAACACAGACTGCCAAAAAGCCTTCACAAAAGGAATTTCTAATTGTGCTTGGAGACATCTATATCTATCTAGGATATTTGATGATTGAAATATCCTTATTAGATATATAGGATGTCCAGAAATTGAAGGATAATACTGCAACTACAAATAAGTCACATCATGACCTACTGTTTGGCAACATTTTGTTTAGTCAAAAGTCTCATTCTTTTCGAAATATAAAACAATCATTTTTTTAGCGAATTTCGGCACTCGTCTAGTTCAATTGTTGGCATTTCTAAAATATTATTTTTTTGCCTGTTTTATTTCAAAATAATCACAAATGATTTTTTCATTGAAATCAGAGTTTTATAGCATGAAATCCACTTGAGAATTAAGGTGTTACACGCTCAGTTTGACATTAGCTCAATCCATAACCTTGATCATAAATTGAATGATGGCAAACTGATGGACTGAATGTCGATATTACACGATAATTCAAACTGACATCAGTTGCTGTAGCAATAATATTAGCTTTGGGCCTAAAAAAAACGTTGTAAAAGAAAACGGTGGGCTGAAGAATGGCTGCTGAACACGTATTTGAATACGCATTTGAGGTTAGTCAATGAAATACGGAACACGAAAGAAGAGGAGGACTATGCAAATTATTTTCGAATAAAAGATGCTTGTTTCTATCACTGATTGGAAATGGTTAAGCCATATTTGACAAAACAAGATACAGTCGTGATGAAGTGCTGAAGAAAAATTGGCTGTAACCTTACGGTATTTTGCAACTGGAAGGAACATTAAAGATTTAAGATTTTCGGCAATAATGTCACCAGCTGCAATTAGTCAAGCTATAATGGACACATATCAAGCACTACTTTTTGTTCTTCAGTCTTAGGTGAAGGTAGGTGATATGAAAAAAACTTATTTTCTATATGCTTTATATAACAACAATTAAAAAAACGAACAGAAAATAAAATACAAAAAAAACTAAATTTACATACAAAATTAAACTTACGTCAAATTCAAAGACAAAATTAAACTGATATTAAATACCACATTAATGTGATAGATCCTCAAATTAATCAGGTAACCGATTAAAACTAACAAAACTTTATTTTCTAATCAAATAAGATAATACACTAACTAGACTTGATCCTATGTACACAGTGACAAAATATTTATTAATTTCCCGTAAATTCGGAAAATAAAGAACCAATAGTGGGGTAATCAGTCTTGCAGGATGTAGAAGCGGATGAAAGAGGTGTAATTACATAATTAGGAGATGGTTAAGATGGGGGTGGAGATGAGGAGTGGTAGTTGGGAGATGGTACAAGGGCAGCAATATTTATTTGAACGGAATATCTATTCAAATTCCCCAGTTCCGCTTCAAACAGAATATCACTAATTGCTTTTATAGCATACAGTCTCTGAGTTGGATCGAGTCGGACTAGAGTCGAGAGCATCTGCCCAGTCAAATGCATTTGATTTTCTTTCTGTACTATCACTCATAGGTTCAGATAAATATCACGGCCTATCTAATAACTCATTGTGCATCGCTAGCATACTTTTCTTTGGTTTCGTTGGGATTAGTTAATTCGGAGAAACAATTTATTATGGTGTATTATTCCACACAAAATTCTGGGTGTTGTATCAAAAAGGTGATTTAAATATACCGAATTCTTCGCCACTGCCCAATTCAGAAGAATTTCCTTATATTTTCGTATAAGATGAAGCCTTCGCACTAGGAAAAAATGTAATGAAACCGTACCCGCAAGATGCGTGCAATACTGAGCGACAAACATTCAACTATCGATTATCGCGAGCCAGATCAGTTGTTGAAGGTACTTTTGGAATATCGAGATCAAAATTTGGAGTTTTCCAGAAAGCCATATGTTTTGCGCCAAAAAAAGCTGCAGTTATAGTAACGGCGTGTTGTTATCTACATAATTATTTGATGAAAACGCAGGCGATACTCTACTTGGCATCAAATTGGAAAATCATAGATCCAGATATTGTTAGATTACATAATTCAGAGCCAACTACAATTCGAAATTCAGCAAATGATGCGAAAATGATGAGAACAATTCTGTCACTATTTTAATTACGAGGGTAAATTGGATATTCGTAAAAGTGAATAATGTATCTGATATCATTGTAAACTCAACTTTAAGACTTCGTTTTTTATAATCTGTGTGCAAAATAAATAAGAATCAATAAAATTGTCATTATTATTGTTATTGCTAACTAAAAAAAATAATTATTTTCTGATGTTTTTCAAATTTCATAAAAACATGGATATATTCAAAGGTCCAACTCTTGGGCGTATAAATATCATCTGTCTCAGTTCCAGATCTTCGAGACAAGTCTATTTTTTCAGGTCACGACGGTAGTTGGATCTTCTTTTTCATCCAAGGTAGCCTGGAGTTGATTTTTTTATATATCACCAAAAGTTTTTCCAGAACTTCATTCCTTTTATAATTGGCAACGTTTCAAATGTAATAATGAAATCTTGTTCGGTTTCCAATGGCGGCGACGAAGCTTGTGACGAAGCGTCTTCCCGCTGTGTCTCCATTTCGAGCACTGAACTGAAGACTGGCGGGAAACTGATACAATGCAATTACACGATCAATCTGTCATCAGTCGTCACCAGACTGACAAAAATCATTAAAACATTTAAAAATCTGCCAGTCCCGTTCATCACTCCATCAGTCAACGCATGGTACGATCAGTTTCACATCATTCTGACCCAGATTACTGACTAAACTGACGCGAAACTGAGCCAATTCAAAATTTCAATGAAAACCAATTTATACGTCTAACTTTGGCACCATGTAGTAACAAAAAATGGCCTAGGATCACCGTATCAAATATGTACTTCAAATGGCAGGTTATTTAATGCCATTCTGGTTCTATTTCCCAATATTCTACTTTGTTCTTTATAGCAATTTTAAGTTGGTCAAGTTTCTGAAATAGCAAAAAACTACGTTTACGGTGCGAATAAGAAGTAGTGGCAAGATTGACTTCATGATAGTAATTTTTCATTATATTCAGTAAAGCAGATATTCAGATTGATCACCAGTAGCGATATCTCAAAAACCATGCAAAAAAAATTTAGCCAAACGGTAGTCATGGATGTGACCTATTTCCCGGTGCAGAATTGACATTTTTTTTCGGACATATATTTCATTTATGCATAGTTGAATTACACAGTGTCTTTTACAAGTTACTAGACCAAACCCGCGACCCCGCTCTTTTGGAGGTACTGTAAAGTATAGGTCATTCGTTTGGAATTAGTGTGGCTTCGGAGAAAGAAATGCAATATTCAAAGCAATGCGATAGTTACGTTGGCAATGAACATATTTTATCAAACATTTTAATGCAACAATCATTTCAATGTTTCGTTTTTTATGTCCTCTGAAAAATAGAGTTTACTTGGAAATTTGCCTGATCTTAAAATGGCCTTGCTGCTAATAGTCAAGGTCGTCGACATGCTTGAACATTGAATTTCTTGCTCTTTTTATTTCCGGTATAAAAAATACCGTATAAGAAAACTGCTTTGACCTTCAAATGAGCTTGAATGTCATAGTCACTATCACGTTCAAGGTCACCATTAAGTAAATATTTTAAAACCTTGTAATTTTACTACACAACATGTTTCTTTATGAAACGTTATTTTCGAGATATACTTTAGCGCAGAATTTCTCACTATTCACATTATCAAAAATGTGGGTTTCATTAAAAATTGAAGGTCAAAGTCAAGGTTACGTTCAAAACCACCAATGGATGACACTTTTTAAACCTTACAACTTTGTTCTAAAACGTTTTTGCATAGGAAAAGTATTTTTAGACATAATTTGACCTATCCGAACTTTCGACCACTTTCTATATTATCTCAGATAAACCCATGCCTACAACCTTCCTCGGGTTTCAATCAGTAAGTACGTCTCTCCGTATTGTAATTCAGACGTGATGCTGACAGACTGATCAGACATTCACATTTACGGGTATATACCGGGGTATTTCAAATTCGACATTCGGAGATAAAATGCCGCTTAGAAAGTTTTGAAATCCAAAATACTACCGGAGAGGGATGGAAAAAACCGAATTTTCACAGAACATTTATTTTTTCCTTTATTTGTAGTGGAATTTCAAAATAAATTGTACATTAACATTGCTACATTTTCTCCTCTACAAGATGCTATAATTATATACGAGTATGAAGTTTCGTTTCTTGCCCTTCTGCATCAACTTTATTTTTCCTAATAGATGCCAATTTGGATTTTTGCATGGATGAATGAGTTTTCAATTTTAATTCCAAAAATATATGTACATATGTCATGAAAGGATATTGCCAAACCTTGGTTACTTAACAAAAAAATATATATAATTTCCTATTCACTCTATTCATCTGTGCAAAAGTCCAATATGGCGTACACAAGAAAAAATTAATTTGATGCTATGGAACAATCGACGAAATGTAATATGGAAACCTTGATTATGTCATCTTGTAGAGGAGAAAAAGTGGCAATTTCAATGTGCAATTTACTTAAACCCACTACAAATTAACTCATTAAAAAAACTAAAGCAATTTTAGGCAAATAAAACAAAATTTTGAAGCTTTCTGAGCGGCATTTTGTTAGTTACCTAAATACGCAACTTTGCCGCCATTTAAGTGTCTTCGTATCTCTTACTGTTTTGGAGATCTCAATGATGAGGGTCGAATTTGAAACATCCGGTATACATAGATATAAAAAACAGATTTTCAGTAGCGTCCGTTTTGGCTTGTATCTTTGTAGGGGAGCTACAAAAGGCAATTTTTTACAGGAACTTCTGGTATTCTTTTTTGTGTTCCTAATGGATCTGAGAAGTTGCCATTTTATACTGGAATAGCCTGGATAATTCTTTTATGTTTTCCGAAAGGTACTGCTCCAAGTTATCAGTCATCCAAAAAGAAAGCAGTCATCTCAAATCCGAACTGGCCAGGTACAAAGACCAAATGGCCAAGCTAGGTCTTGCTGGAGACACGACAGAAATCAACAACCTTAGATACAAACTATCCTCACTGAACGACACAATTAAAGAGCGAAACGACCTCAAGCAACGGGTCAAACATCTTGAAAAGGAACTTTCGGAGTACACAGATTTGCCTGAGGATATTGAAGTGTTCAAGCAGAGGTCTTTGTTGTTGGATGAGGTCTTGCAAGACCGAGATCGGTTGGCAAGGAGGGTTGAGCAAGTGAGAGGTCTGGAAGATGAGGTAAGGTCAAGGACCTCTCCTCCAAGATATACTGAGATATATGTACAAGATTTTAATTGTATACGTCTCTACTACATAAGTAAACATTATAAACAACGTAGGTCATATTTTACGAAAGCTATTATCTGAGATTTGAGTTTCTGTTAATTTAATATTCCTAAATCTATCAAGTAAGTAAACCACCATAACAAAAAAAAAACAGTTATTTTACCCCTGTCTCCTTGATAAATTAAACTAAGAAATTATAAGGTAACGTAATTTACCTGAAGATAGCCAATCTATGATATATTTCTGCGTCAAATGACTTATCCAAGATAAAATTAGATACCGTAGCGTCATCTATGAGAATTTGTCACAGCTGTTTCTCTATTTACTAATATATACATTAAAAAGGTAACTGTCTCATAGATGGCGCTATAGCCAATTATATGAACATACAGGCAGCGCCATCTACGTTCATATAATTGGCTACAGCGCCATCTATGAGATACTAATCTTTTTAAAGAATATGTAGTAAATAGAGAAATAGCTGTGACAGATTCTCATAGATAACGCTACGGTATCTCATTTTATCTCGTATAATTTTTCGAACGCGGTAATATAGCATTAAATTGTCGATCTTCTAGGATAATACGTTAGTCAATGGTAACACTTTAATCAAATCCAAGCGAATAACCAAAATTTCTGTGTTATGTGCCGCGGTTATAATATGGTTCAAGGTGACACACGGGTTGATAACGTCAGTTAAACGAATCGCTTGAACGCGTTGGTTTTAACCCCGGTTTTATTGCATGTTGTTTATTTTAGGAAAGTGCTTATATAATCTCTGATTATTTGTATTATCACTTAATAATCGGTGCTTTTTTGTCTACAACGGTGTATGGAAAGTTTAAATAAGAAGCGTTTCATAATATTCATGGGAGAAATGTTTTTTTTTCAGAAAATTTTTTTTAATGATGGAACCATGGTTTTGTAGCTATGATAACTTTCAATTCTCTAAAGTTTTCCGCATGTCAAAGAAAACATTTATTGTTTTAGCAGAAATGATGAAAAAAGATATTAGCCAAACCGTATACAGGTGGACATCATCCAGTGAGTTAAATGACCATATTTGAATATTCTTGTGGCATATGGCAGGATACTTTGTTGAACATAGGAACTAGATTGAAAGTGTTCCCAACAACAGCAATGAGTATAACTAATAAGGTGCTCCACTTTATGCTAACACTGAAGTCAGCCTGTATCAAGTTTCCCAAAAATGAAGCTAAAGTACAATAACAATATCCAATACCCGGCAAAATTCTAACTTGTCACATTTCAAATAATAACCAGAAATATAAAACTACTCCTGAGTTGGGTAAATACCACAATTTTGCGGTGATAACTGTGACATATAACAGCTGATTCATGACGTCACGGATCTTATAACCAAACTGATAACCACACTCGCTTGAACGGATCGATAAATACCAACCCAAAATGGTAAATACCATTTTCATTTGGTTATCCGCTTGAATGTGATTTTTGTTTTACGGTGTTATATAGAAACATTTTTTGATGCAGAGTTAATTAATTTTTTTAATTTAAGCTTTAATAATTTCTTCCGCACGGCCTTACAAGGATCAAAGCTGAATACAAGGCCCATATAATAAATCGTATGTGCTTAAACTACATGAAAATGTCTTTCATTCAAATGAATATACATATATGCTCATAAAAAATATTCAACGAAAATTACTTTAGCACTATCGTGAAATCGTTTTAAAAATAATTTTGATGAGTATTATATCGATATCAAATAAGCTGTCAATGACATTTATAATGGAATAAAACAATTAAACCGTTCAAAATAGCCTTCTTACGGGTCCGCTCCTTGTAAGGCTACAATGTTCCAGATGGCGTTACAAATCTAAAATTCAATAAAAATTTAGATGGAACAATTTAAAAACCGGAACAATATATCCAACTTTTCCCTTCAACTGAAAACAAAGTATTAATACCATATTTTCGTGCTTCCTAGCTATTCCTAATAAATTAAATCCCTTATGTTCAAGCAAGGCCAACTATTAATTTTTTGATCGACTTTACAAGGAACAATAAATTATACTAAACCAAAATGGAAATAAAGTGATAATTTTTTTCTTCAGTACCTTAGATTTTAACTTCGAAACCGAATAGTTTTGCGATTTTTAGTGGAATGCGTTTAAAATACTGTATATTGAAAAGTTTACCCATCAATTTTGGCCGCTTTTGGATTAAAATTTTGCAAAACTGTTTTTATGTACCTATATGGTTTTTCAGGTTTATAATAATATAGTCCAGGACTATTAGACGAAAAGAAGGCTAATCTGCTAATCCCACCAGAGGTTATTTTCCATATTATAAATCATTCTTCAAAAGTCCCCATGAATCCAAGTGGAGCTTTTTTTATGGGGGGTCAAAAGTCACAAAAAACACTATTTTCGTGACGCCAGTATCGAGCGAAATGATGGAAAAATTCATTTTTCGGAGTGTTGATCGTTCACGTGGTGTGTCGCAAAGAATAAATATACTCGAGCAAGTAGCATTACTGCTGCTAAAAGGAAGCGAGATGCTGAACCCAGCACCTCGACCGCTAGCCCTTCTCGGTGATTGCTAGGTCTCTTTTGCGCGACCTTTAACTGCCCAAAAGCATGGGAGACCTCAAGATATCAACATCTGTTTGGCAATAGAGAAAATATATAATTACATTGAAAATAATGATGACTGTTAGTTCACTTTATCGGAACTTAAAAAGGTATGTACTGATTTTGTACCTGATGATGTTACTGTAAAAACAAAACTTGTTTAAAAGTACGGTAAAAAAATCGGCATTACAACAAAGAGGTGAAGTTCAACGATTATTTGTTTCTTCGATGTTCGGCATGATGTCTTGAACAAAACCCGGTATGACAATCCTAAATCTGATGAAAAAGAGGAACGTTTTCGAATTTTAGAGGCCGCTGCACCAATCATTCGTGAAGATATACAATCGACATCCACGAATAGCGACTATTATCCTCCTACAAATCAAATGTTCGACAACATCGAGTTCAGCTCAAGCACATTTATGTGGTTTGTATTATCAAGTCCAGAAATGGCTTGGAAAGAATTTGAATCCATTGGATTGGGGATGGACTATGACCGACTAATGTTAACAGCCAATACAGACTCTATTGCCACCTGTTCCTGATGTCTTATTAAACACAATCTTTTGTAATTGTACGAAAGGTTGTGGAGCTAATTGCGGATGTAGGAAACTTCACTGTTCCGCCATTTGCGGCAACTGTCATGGACAGTCCTGTCTGAATATAATCTCGTCCAATGAAGAGTCGAATAATGTGGAATTAGATGAAAATATAGACCCCATGATTTTCCTATGCTCAACACTTGAAGTTGGCGAAGACTTAGATGATGCCGCATCTTGACACATTGATGACAAAAATAACAATATCATTTTTTCATTCTATCTTCGTGTATTAGGCTTATTGGGGAGATCACATGAAAAAAAAAACGCATCTGGTACTTTACCTCTATGGTGACGTGGAAAAAAGTACGTTATTTTACAATTTTCTCAATCTTCAACATTGAAAGTAAAACTCTCGGAATGTCCGGGTGGAGGGTGGGCTCGAGGGAACAACATCGAAGATAAAATTTGTTTTTCGAACATCTGCGGGATCAACAGCAACATTGATGCTGTTCATCACTACCTGCAATCCAATCGTCCCGCCGTGCTTTTCTTGGCGGAGACAAAAATCTCAGAGGCTGCACCGATTAACCATCTCAACTTCCCAAACTACGAGGTGCACTCCAATCTGAGAAAGAACGGGGGAGTTGTGGCTTTTGTCCGCAGCAGTCTTTCCTGCTCCAGGGATCTTTCTTTGGAATCAGACCGGAAGGACATTCTGTGGATTCGCCTCAACTCCAAAACATCACCCAAATTTATTTGCTGCCTTTATCGCTCTCCCTCGAACCATAACTGGGATGACCTACTCGAATACCTCGCCGTCCAGATCGACTTCCTGAACATCAATCACCCCGCTTCAGAGGTAGTTCTTCTCGGTGATTTCAATGCCCATAATGAGCTTTGGTTGGGCTCAAACAAGACCGATGCAGCAGGTCGTGCAGTCGAAGCGTTCGCTCTTACTCAAGGGCTGACCCAGCTGGTGACGAGCCCTACTTTTTTCCCCCGCGTCTCGTCACACGCCAGTAGCCTGCTGGATCTCTTTCTGACCACGCATCCTGCCCCTTACAGCACTGCCGTCCTGTCCCCCCTGGGTAACTCAGATCACGGTGTTGTGGAGGTTAGGTTTCGGTCAGGTTAGGTTTCGCTGTGGCCGCAGAAACTCGCACAGGCCGCAAAACTTGGCATTACGGACATGCCGACTGGGAGGGGCTCAGAGACTTCTTCTCTAGCTTTCCTTGGAGAGATGTCTGTTTCACTGACGCGGATGCGTCGACTGTCTGTTCTTCAATAACCGAAATTATCCACGTCGGAATGGAGGAATACATCCCTCACACACAGTGAAAGTTCCTAAACCAGGGTCCAACGGCTGGTTCAACAAATCGTGTGACACTGCTCGCCAGCAGAAGATCAAGGCCCACAGAACCTACTTACAAAACCCCACTGTAGAGAACAGACAAGCCGACGTCGAGTCCAGAAACAAATATAACGAAGCGGTTCGCAATGCCAAAACCCAGCATGATATAAAAGTTAGGCACAGGGTAATGTCGCAGCGCAATGGCAGTCGGTCTTTCTGGACGCTGGCCAAGCAGATTGAAAAGAACTTCTCACACAGTAGCCTTCCACCACTTACGTGTCAGGATGGAACTATTGTATTCGACTCAAAGGCCAAGGCGGAAGTGCTAGCCAAGATCTTTGCTGCCAACTCCACCATGGACGTCCCCACCAACGCCCAAGTGCCGTCAATTCAAAGGGTTCCCCACACTATGCGGGAGGTAACATTCAGGCATAAGACCGTAAGACGAGTGCTCTTGCCGCTCGACATCAACAAAGCTTCTGGTCCGGACTTGATTCCTGCCATTGTACTGAAGAGATGTGCAGCTGAGCTTGCTCCAGTTCTTTCGCGTCTCTTCCAGATATCTTATGAATCCGGCACTTTCCCAGAAAACTGGAAATTTGCTCATGTACAGCCCATCCCAAAAAAAGGATCTAAAACCGACCCTTACAACTACAGGCCTATAGCTCTGCTTTCTGTTATAAGTAAAGTGATGGAGAGGTGCATAAATCGCGAGCTTCTGGACTACCTCGAACGTCACAGCTTGATTAGCGACAGGCAGTACGGTTTCCGGCACCAACGATCCACAGGGGACCTCCTAGCTTACGTCACGCAACTGTGGAGTAAACTCATCCAGTCTCATGGTGAGGCTCATGTCGTTGCTCTTGACATCACGAAAGCGTTCGATCAGCTGTGGCACGCTGCCCTCTTAAGCAAACTTCCATCCTACGGCCTCCCAGAAAAGCTTTGCAGATGGGTGGCTGACTTTATCTCTGGCCGCAAGATATCCGTCGTAATTGACGGATTCTCCTCTTCATCCCACAACGTCAACGCGGGTGTTCCCCAGGGATCGGTCTTGGCTCCAACACTGTTTCTCTTACATATCAACGACCTCCTTTCCTGCACGATCAACCCAATCTACAGCTTCGCTGATGACAGCACTCTACATGCAGGAATTCAGAGTGACAAGCCGATCTCCGCCGCTGAGCTGGAAAAAAGAAGACTAGCGACGACTTCTTCTCTGACAAGAGACCTGGAGGCTATCACTGCTTGGGGACGCAACAATCATGTACAGTTCAACGCTTCCAAAACACAGTACTGTACTTTGACGAACAAAAAGCGTTCTAGCGCTCATACAGTTTCGATGGACGGTCGAGTTCTACCAAAGAGCCATTCATTTCGGCTGGTCGGAGTCCAGATCACCGAGGACCTGATCTGGCACGAACACATATCTTCAATAGCTGCAGCTGCTGGGAAAAAGCTAGGCTATTTGTTTAGGGCTAAGAAGTACTTTTCTCCGCATGACCTTCTCACTCTATACAAGGCCCAGATAAGGCCTAGCCTCGAGTATTGCTCACACATTTGGGGTGCTGCCGCCCCGACTACATTGTCCATGCTCGATGCTGTCCAGAGGAGGGCGGTCCGACTGATCGATGACTCTTCTCTAACAGACAGTCTCGGGACTCTTTCGCACCGGCGGGCCGTCGGCGATCTAGCTCTTTTCTATCGCTACACCAACGGGCTTTGCTCCTCAGAGCTCTCTTCCATGATGCCGCCGCGCGATGTGCCTGCCAGACAGACCCGCCTGACTTCGGCGTCCCATCCTAACCGTGTCAAACTTCGTACATCCAGAACTGGCCGATACGACCGCTCCTTTGTCCCGAGCGTGTCTAGATTGTGGAACAAACTACGGGAGGAAGCTTTTCCCAGTTCTACTAACCTTAGGCAGTTCAAAAATCGTATTAACAAAATTTCTTTGGGATCATCATAGCAGCCGCGGTGTTCCGGCATTTAGGCTTCTGCCTGCGCGGCTGTTTCGATATATATAAAAAAAAAATCAAGTCCAGAAATGGCTTGGAAAGAATTTGAATCCATTGGATTGGGGATGGACTATGACCGACTAATGTTAACAGCCAATACAGACTCTATTGCCACCTGTTCCTGATGTCTTATTAAACACAATCTTTTGTAATTGTACGAAAGGTTGTGGAGCTAATTGCGGATGTAGGAAACTTGGCCTTCACTGTTCCGCCATTTGCGGCAACTGTCATGGACAGTCCTGTCTGAATATAATCTCGTCCAATGAAGAGTCGAATAATGTGGAATTAGATGAAAATATAGACCCCATGATTTTCCTATGCTCAACACTTGAAGTTGGCGAAGACTTAGATGATGCCGCATCTTGACACATTGATGACAAAAATAATAATATCATTTTTTCATTCTATCTTCGTGTATTGGGCTTATTGGGGAGATCACATGAAAAAAAAAACGCATCTGGTACTTTACCTCTATGGTGACGTGGAAAAAAGTACGTTATTTTACAATTTTCTCAATCTTCAACATTGAAAGTAAAATTTCTTTGAAAAAAACGATCTCTACGTAAAAAATGCAAAACCTTTTTTGTGGAAAATTTCAAGATATACGGAAAAATGTGTTTTTGTGACCTTTGACCCTCCATAACAAAAAAAGGTCCACTTGGATTCATGGGGACTTTCGAGGGATAATTTATAATGCTGAAAAGAAGCTCTGGTAAAAAATTTAGTCAGGTGGGATTTTTTCAGCAGATTAGCCTTCTAAATACATCATCTGATAGAGCTCATCAAACGCTTGTTCGGTTCCTATGAGTTTGTATATTTCAAGACTTCGTAACTGAGATACAGGATGTTCAAGTTCATTCAAATCAAAATTCATGAAAGTTTTTAATTCAATATTTCAATACAATTCGAAAATATATTGTTTTGATTTCGAAATTAGAACTTTAACAGCCTTGTATGTTGACAAGGGAGCACTTTGGGATCCATGTCTACATGAACTTTTCGTATTATTTTCTGATTTACTTACTGCTACTGTTTCCTTCATGTTTTTTTTTATTAATTATTGTTAAAAATTGTTATAATGAAAAACTTTCAATTCCTGGGGTCAACTAGTTTTATTCAAGATTTTAACAATGCAGTTGTAAAGGTTTCACGAAAATCCGTTCAAAGGAAACCGGTTCCGAGATTTCGATATTTTTTACGTGCTCCACTGAATAACAACGCTAGCGAATTGTTGCCGCGTCTTTCTTTTTGAGTTCGATGGGTGTTAGTGTAAGTAGAAGGAATTTCTCATGGCATGCCACTACGACTCTTTACTAATTGGCCTTATAAGGCGCATTGCCTTTCATGTTCCACCCACCTTCATACAGCTTCTGAAATATTTTGCACCAGGTGTACAACTTGCGTAAAAAGGCAACTAGGGTAGACGAAATGGAGGAAAACTTGGCCATGGCGAACAAACAGAACAAACTGCTCGAAGATGAGCTAGAACACGTCCGATGCAAATTGTCATATGCAGAAATTGAAGCTTTGAACAGCAAAACTGAAGGCGACACTTTGAGATCGAAACTGGTTTGCATGGAACATGAAATGGAGACGTTCAGATCTCAGAACAAAGATAGGGAGATGCTGAAACAGGAAAGAGATCATTTGAAAAAGTCTTTGGATGAACTCACAAGGATGCAAGCCGATTTCGATCACATGAAACATCAGGTACCTGTGAATGTTTACACTCCCTAATCCGAGAGCTCCGGGTTCGATCCCCGAGTCTGACAAACCTTTACGGTTGTACTTTATTATTATAAATATTGGTTTAGCTAAGAAAAAGCTTAATTTCCAGATGTAGGGCTTGAAAGTCTCAAAACCAGAATGTAGGGAAAATCTGATCCGTTTCAAATCCGCGTACGCTTGTCCATGTTCGACAAACTTTTTTCTAAGACAGCCATCTTAGGCCATCTATTACCAGAACCGGCCGCTGCAAGAGTGAACCAGCAAGCTTTCATTGGTAACTACATCTCAGTTCGCATTTGACAGCCGGGTCACCAATGTGACCGCTAGATGCCGCCGATTCTGGCGGTATAGTAGCTACGGTCTACTCGAAATTGAACAGAATAGTTTACCTTTATTTCACTGTCTTACTATAAATACATAGTAGTTTCGTTAAGAAAAACAAATTTAATTTTCAGATGAAAAGCTTGGAAGTACTAAAAGCCGAAAGGGACATGTTCAAGTCAAAGTACGAAAACCTGATAGGTCTCGAATGTGAATGTGACATACTCCGGTCTCAAGTGGAACGAGCTAAAGTGATAGAGAAAGAACGAGACATATTAGAAAATCAGGTGGAAGATTTGGAAAATTGCATATCTGAACAGGAGAGTGAAATCAGACGATTAGTTTGCCATATTGACACTTTGGCGCAAAAGGACAGACAACAGGTGAAACATAAGTTTTTTAAGGTTAATATTCATTTCAATTTCACGTGATTTTAACTGAATCAGCCCAGATCAGACGTCAACGTGACTGGGTGGCCAAACCACTTACTTCGAATGCGTGAGTCGCGGGTTCGGTTCTCATTGGTGACCAGTTGTTTTTTTTGCTTTTTTAACTTGATTTTTCAACAAATAACGATTAATTTACATCCAGGAAAACTTGAAAGACCTAGTTGCCTCAATAAGAGAAGAAATTGATACAAAGGGTGCCCTACTTATCGCTTCCGAAGAAAAAATCGCCACGATGCAATGCCATTTTAAAACCTCTTTTGAAGATATCAGAAATGAAACATCTCAGGTCCGTTTACAAAAAGAGCAACTCGAAAAGGAGGTCGAAATGGCAAAAAGTCGCAATAGCTCTTTGGAACAGGAGGTTTATTGTTTAAAATGCGCCAATGATTTGATGGTGAAGAAGATGGAAGATACTGAAGAATACATTGAAAGGTTGCAAAGAGCGTTACAGGAAACGGACAAGAAGGTACATCGAAGTATTCTAACTGAGAGGCATTCCAAAGATGATGCTATCAGCACTATGAGGTATGTTTCTCTTCTAGGCCGAGAGGCACTGACATTTTGTTGGAACAAATGATATCCGCTTGGAATTGTTTGGATCTACTTGGAGATCAGTGAAAATCTCTGAATATTCACAGAAATTCTCGCATCTCCTCAGATTTTCTTTGATTTGATCGGATCCCTTTGTTTCTCAACCGGAAGAAAAGACAAATCTACTGAAACCTCGATAGAATTAGAAACTTTATATAACATCTAATATCAAATGTTCTAGGTACGAGTTAGAGGCAGCTAGAGAAGAAAATGAAAATCTCCAACAAATTATCAAACAAATGAATCAGAATGTAGGAGATGATCATCTCCAGCAATTACTCTCGCAATCCAGAATTGCCATAGAACGAATTGCTGTAGAACTAAACAGACAGTACGAAGAGTGGGATTGCATGAAAGGCAAATTCGTACAGAAAAAACACACCACGTGCTCTGCTATTGGGACTGATGATGCAGCTCAACAAGGTCCACGACGAATTGATATCAACAAACAGACTAGAGCTGTGGGGATAGATATTGGAGAACAGGATCCTAACCTTTGGGATTGTAACAGGAAATATGGAGTTGCACCAAATGGGACTTCTAAAGATCCAACTCAATGGGACTGCAATAGGGGGACTGAAGATGGTGAAAGAAGGCTTTGTGTGGCACCATGTACTACTGAGTCACCCGGTGATGATCCAAGTCAGTGGGATTGCAAGAAGAAGATTGATGGTCGTACTCCAAGTCCATCTGGTGGTGCTACTAGAACTCCAAGTAGTGACCCAAGGCTTTGGGATTGTCGACAAATGCCACCTACAGGTGCTAGAGGAGGTGCCCCTGAGCTACTTCCATACATCTGCCTAGATCAGAAACGCGCTGAGGGAGACCAGGAAAAGCAGGACTCAAAAGCTCCATGTACTTGCCTGAGTTTAGGTGAAAAAAGAAAAGTAGGGAGAGACAGTGATGAGTGTAATTGCTTGAAGTTCATCGAAACTGAGCCCGAACACCAAGCAGAATGTACTTGCTTGAGATACTTTGGGAAAGATCAAGACATATACAAAGAGCTTGAAGATCGCATAGGTCAATTGGAGAGAGAACTAACTCAAGCTAACGATACCATTTTGAAACTTCAAGATCGCCTAGGTATGGCCGACAGAACGTCGGCAGAGAACTTGGCTCTAAGGAAGCATTCTATCGAGGTTCAAGACATGGCTAAAGAACAAATTGAAGAATTAGTGGAACATCTGAAAAAAGCTAGAGCGCAGGTGGCTGAACTAGAAGATGAGAACGCGAAAATGAAGAAGAGCTTGGATGATTGCTTGGAGGAGAAGAAAGAGCTCCTAGCACGCATCAAAGAGCTTCAAGCTATGGACAGAGAATTGATGAAAACAGAGTTAGATTCCTTGAAGAAAGAAAAAGACGATATGGATAAAGTGATAGCTAGTACTGTCGTTACAGCGTCTAGACGAGCTTCAAAAATAGAAGGAGAGCTAGATGAAGTATCTGTTCATAACAAACAATTGCGATCAGAAATTTTGAAGCTCCAAAGTGCTAACCAGGATTTGGGAAGTGAGAACAAAAATCTAGCTTCTAGGCTTGCTTCAATGACCAACGAGAATCAGAGGCTAAGTGGTGAGCTGAATGCGGCAAAGGCTGAACTAGAAAATTTGAGGAAACTTGCCACCGATCCTAATCTCTTGGAGGCTTTACGGAAAGAGAACGAAGAGTTAAAGAGGCAAATCAATGAATTGCTGCAACAACTACAAAGACCTGCTCCTGATTTAGGGTTTGACTACAATAAAGAAATGCAAGAAAAGGAAGCTTTGAAATCTATCATAGCTGATCTTGAGAATCAAATGAAGAATTTGAGGAGACCCGACGGGGAAATGGAAAGAATGCTAGTAGCTCCGTCTGACGAATTAGAAAAAATGATAAAAGAGCTAACAAGAAGACTGGAAGAGGAGCAAAAAAGAGCTGATGCTGCAGAAAATGCGTTGCAGAATTTGAAGGCTGCTGATCCATCTGGTTTACTGAACGATGAAATAAAAAATCTGAAAAAAAGAGTCGCACAGCTTGAAACTGAAAATACTGATTTGAGAAACGCTTTGACTAAGTCTAATGGTGAAGTTGCAAATCTTCAGAAAGAACTAAGTTCTGACAAAAATGAACTTAATAAGATGTTGAGCGAAAACTCAGCTCTCAAAGAAGCAGCTGCAAAAGTTCCAGGTGCCGATGCATCCCTAGCTACACCAATAGCTGGAGAGGATATAGAAAAATTTAAGGCTAGAATTGCACAGCTAGAAAACGAGAATGGTACGTTGAAGAATGAACAGAATAGAGGTAACGCTGATAACAAGAATATGTATGACACTATCAATAAACTGCAAAATGAAAATGCTGAGTTGAAACAGAATCTTATCAAACTTCAGAATGAGAATGATAAGATGAAGAAAGATATGGACAATATGATAAACAACGCGAAGAGAGATGCTGATAAGATATTGCAGATTGAGAAAGAAAATGATAAACTACAGCAAACTATTAAGAATCTCGAAGCTCAAATAGATAAGCTGAAGAAAGATCTTGATGCAACTTTAAACCAAGCGAGAAGAGAATCCACTGGAGTATCTCACCTACAAGATGAACTTGCTAAGCTCAAACAAAAGATTGCACAGATGGAAGGAGAAAATAGTAAGCTGAAGTCCAATCTGAACACGACGATGGATAACTACAATAATGCTGCGGCAAAATTTGCAACTTTCAAAGATGAAAATGACAGATTGAAAGGTCTACTGGCCGATGGTCAAAAAGATATTGCAAGCTTGAAAAAACAAAATGAAGCACTGAAAACAACAGGTAATGAGAAGTATGCTGCAGACTTAGCAAGAGCTGAAAATGAAATATCTAATCTTCAGAGGAAGATAGCGCAACTTGAAGCTGAGAATGCTCGCCTTAAAGCTGAGCTTAACAGCGCTTTGGATAACTTGAAAAAAGTTGATGATGCTGACCTAAGGAAAAAATTAATGATGCTCGAAAATGAGAATTCGAAGTTGAAGAGCAACTTAGATTCAGCGTTAAAAGGTGGAGATGAAGCTGCAAGGTTGAAAGAAACGTTAGACGCTGAGAATGCTAAGCTGACAAAAGATATGAGCGCAGCTATGGACAGCCTTAACAAATCAAACGCAGCGATATCGCAGTTGAATAATGAATTAGGTAAACTGAGGGATAAGTTCAAAATGCTGGAAGCTGAAAACGCAAAGCTCAGGCAAGATCTGAACAAAGCTTTGGATGATATAAAAAAAGCTGTGTCAGACGCAGCACAAGCAAGAGATGACGAAGCTAAGCTTAAACAGAGAATTGCTCAAATGGAAGCTGAAAATGCTAATCTTAAGAAAGATTTGGATGAAGCGATGACTGACGTAAAGGCGTTGCAGCAAATGAGAAATGAAAATGCGAAATTGAAAAGGAAGGTTAATGCTTTAGAGAACTCAAATGCGGATTTAAAGATAGTCGTGGGCGATGCTGGAAAGGGTGCTCCAGCTGAAGATGACAGTAACAAACTTAGGGAGCATATTGAGATGTTAGAGAATGAGTTGAAAAAGCTTAAAGATGATCATAGCAGGTGTCCGTTCCTCATATCACAGCTGAATGATGAGATAAATGATCTCAAGAAGAAGCTTTCAGATTTAGAGATGGTAAATGTCAACTTGCAGACAAAACACGATGGTGTAGCTGGTGACTTCAAAAGTACAGTAGCTGAGCTAGCTTTACAAAAAGACAACGAATCGAAGCTAAAGCAGCAAATTGGTCAAATACAAGATGAAAATAAGAAGCTGAACACAGAACTAACAGCGTTAAGAGTAGAACTTACGGCAAAAGCAGGTGAGCAAGCTGCATTAAAAGACAAAGAAGCAAAACTGAATCAAAAGCTGTCACAGCTGGAAAGAGAGAATACGATGCTGAAAAAAGACCTAGAAGTTGCAATGGAACAGTTGAAAAAAGCTGAGAAAGCTTGCGATCAAGTGAAAGATGAAAATGCTGTATTGAAACAGAGAGTAGCTCAACTCGAAGCTGAGAATGCTACGTTGAAAAAGAACCTGGACAACGCCCTTTCTGAAGCCAGAAAAGCTGGTGTTAAAGAGGACGATTCGAAACTGAAAGATAGGTTAGCACAACTTGAATCTGAAAACAAGAAGCTGAAATCAGACTTGAACAATGCATTGGACGAAGCTAAAAAGAGAATGTCGGATTTGTCCAAAGCCAGAGACGATGACAATAAGATGAAGCAGCGCTTGGCGAATTTGGAAAACGATAATGCAAGGTTGAAGAAGGAGTTAGATAAGGCTTTGGCTGATGCGCAAGCGGGTACTTCGGGAACGCAGCAATTGAAAGATGAAAATGACAAGATGACGCAGAAGATTGCGCAACTTGAAGGCGAGATTAATAGACTGAAGAAGGAGTTAAACAAGGCTCTTGAAGATGCGAAAAAAGGTATGACTTCTACTTATTCAGTCAGATCTTTACTGACTTTTGTTTAAATTTTACATTTGAAAGCTTTCACTTATCGCGAAAAAACGTAAATCGAGGTATCACATTTTATTTGATGTTCCGTGATATACAGTGCTGTCTTAAGCGTGTTAGAGATATAAGCGCCCTCCCCCACTATCGTTGCCAGGCAACGTGGTAACGACGCTTTTACAAGGAAGGATTTAGGAATCTATCTAGAGGGAGGGGGTAGGGAGGATTGTTGCTTGCTTAGGCACTTGCAGCGCTTCTGAGAACAAATGCTCTTGCGACAATTGAAGAGCGGTGGTTGGAATACGTCTAGGGAGGATCGTACGTCTCACGATTCAGGTTTAGCAAGATAATTTTCACAGCAATATACATTAATATAAACCATTTTCTTGAAAAACAAAAATGGCACACATGGGTGTCTAGGAGGAGGCGCCTCTCTTCTAAATCCGGTCTTGCGCCTATATGACACACTCCTTTTAACACGTTTCTGTCTCTTCTCTATCTCTCTATCTCGTACATATGTAAATCTGAAATGGTAAACGATTTCCGCTAGCACTGTATATAGGATAGGCCATTCAAAGTTTGCATCTGCTGTAAAAAAGACACTAATGAACATGTTTTTAAATTTCGTTTTATTGGGAAGATCGAACCTTGTAATTCAAGAATAAAACAATATTGTTCAAACAAGTGCCTGGTAGTACCTCATCCGATTAACCGATTATTTGGGCTTGAGTGGCAAGCTACCGAATCATAACTGCTCAACGCTCTGCACAATGCAAATATAGATGTCGCACCACCAAGACGGTCGACCCATCTAGCAGGCGGAATACGAGGTATTCACAAGGCAGACCAACAATGGCTTTCTATGCATAGACACGATTGAAATTGACATGTCCGCTTTCCATCTCTGTAACCACGATCAACCACAGACTATTTGCTGCTCATCGATAACTCATCAGTGCGGTATAGGCCTGGTAGTAGTAGCAGATGTCGCCGATTTTGGACCTATAGTAGATATGGTCTACTCGTGATTGAACAAACTAGTAATATAGCTTTCGTCCGTTCCACCACAGATGGACAACCATGGACAGCTGTTTGGCAACTCTTCAGTTCGTGGAGGTCTGATTTCGGTGGACAACGAACGAAAGCTGTGCAGAATAAGGTCTATCGAAATAAGACAGCACAAAGAGCCATCTATTACATCAAGCTGTCAGTTGGAACTGTAATCTGGTTCGCATTGTCAGCCGGGTCACCACTGTGTTGTCCACCGAGAGAAAGCCTGAAGAGTTGACAAATAGCATGAAATAGCTGTCTCTGGTCGACCGTCTGTGGTCGGATGAACGAAATCTGTTTTATTAGCTATAGAAGTCTTGGAGAGAGATGAGCGCAAAAGAAACAAATGAGTATGGTCGTTCAAAAAACTCGCGAGTAAGTAGACGAAAAATCTTCACCTACCAGTGGTTTGACAAGTTGATTTTATACTGCTCGACGCTCTGCCCATTTCAACTTCCTTGAATACTGAGGATATTGCAACTAATGACTCAACCACTATTTATTAAATAAACTTGTCTTTAATGCAGATATATCTGGTATATCCGCGATGCAAGACGACGATGCCAAACTAAAACAGAGACTAGCTCAACTTGAAAGAGAAAACGCCAAGATGAAAGGCGAGTTAGACAGGGCCCTCAAAGATGCATCCGGGGGCTCCGATATGACAGCACAACTCAAAGGGGAGAATGTTAAGCAGAAAAACAGAATTGCACAGTTGGAGGACGAGCTCAATAGACTCAGGAAGGAGCTGGAGGCGAGTTTGAGCGATCCGAAGAAAGGTGTTTCGGGAGTAGGGAATCTTCAGGATGGTAATTCCAAGTTGAAGCAAAGGATTGCTCAGGTGGGTTGATGAAACCGAAAATACAGGAGGAACGACAAAAAATATGCTGCATTGTCTGCAGAATACAATCAATCTCAAGGACAATGCTCACTTAAAACTAAACTATAATATAATTACATAAGGAGATCTGAAGTAGGTAAATTGTAGAACTCACACAAGGTATAATATGGTTTACATATTAAGAAGTTTTTAGGTTCATTGCGGAATATCTTTAAATTGTTAATTCTTTAGACAGCATCAGCGAGACATTTAAATTTTCAGACCATTATTAATTATTGAGTACTTCAGAAGTGTATATATATATATATATATAATAGGAAAATAATGGGCAACTTCGCGAAATCTGCAAAAAGAAGGAAAGTGGATTCGAGCAGAAAATAGGATAGGTAACTTGAGCAATACGTTTTTCTGCTTGTTGGCTTCATCAGGCCCGAAACGAATGCACCTATGCAACACAAAAGTCGATACATATGCTCATACATCCGGATACGGGTGGAACCTGAGGAAACGAAGATGGAGAGGAAAAAAGTCAACACACGAAGTCCACAACAAGAGCCAACCTACACATTGTAGTATAAAATGGCTAGAAGACCACGAATTTACCAAGGCGATATCAAACCACTACCACCCGGCCGGTTATAGCCAGATGCTGTGGTACTTAAAGCAAGAAGGATCTACAAAGAGAAAATGATCATGGGGAGAAATATACAATAACAACAAATAGGAAAATATTGGGCAAAATCCGCAGAAAGAAGGTGAGTGAATTCAAGCAGAAAATAGGATAAATAACCTGAACAATACGTATTTTTGCTTGTTGGTTTTATCAGGCCCAAAATAGATGCACATATGCCACCACAAAAGTAGATACACATGTACATATAAAACTAAAAAAAAAATGTAAAACCCAAACAAATAATTGTACCACCAACAGACTTATACATGTCGTTAAAGCCTCACAGGAGTACATCCTGATAGCATAGCTTTGCGAGAAATCAGCGAACTACAGGGTGAATCTGGACATACAAGGGTTCATTACTCAAAACAGAAAAAAATAGCAGAACCCAAACGAAGAATTGTGCCACCAACAAACTCATATATGTTGTATAGACCTCATAGGAGTACATCTCTATGGCATAACTTTGCGAGAAATCACGAGACTACAGGGTGAATCTGGGCATACAAGGGTTGATTCCTCAAAACAAAAAAAAATCGCAGAACCCAAACGAAGAATTGTGCCACCAACAAACTCATATATGTTGTATAGACCTCATAGGAGTACATCTCTATGGCATGGCTTTGCGAAAAATCAGGAGAATACAGGAACATATATGAGTTTGTCGGTGGCACATTTCTTCGTTTGGGTTCTCCTATTTATTTTTCTGTTTTGGGGAATGAACCATAGTATGCCCAGATTTCCTGTAGTCCCCTGATTTCTCACAAAGTCGTGCGATAAAGAGTACTTCTATGAGGTCCCTACAACATATGAATTTGTTGGTGGCATAATTCCTCTCTTGGGTTCTGCGATTTTTTGCTGTTTTAAGCAGTGAAGCCTTCTATGTGCAAAATCTCCTTGCATTCCCCAATTTTTCGCACAACTATGCCATAAATATGTACTCCCATGAGGTCTCCACAGCATATATGAGTCTGTTGGTGGCATAATTCCTCGCTTGGGTTCTGCGATTTTTTTCTGTTTTGAGCAGTGAAGCCTTCTATGCGCAAAATCACCTTGCAATCCCCAATTTTTCGCTCAACTATGCCATAAAGATGCACTCCTATGAAGTCTCTACAACATATATGAGTCTGTTGGTGGCACAATTCTTCGTTTGGGTTCTCCGATTTATTTTTCTGTTTTGGGGAATCAACCATAGTATGCCCAGATTCACCCTGTAGTCCCCTAATTTCTCGCAAAGTCATACCATAAAGATGTACTCCTATGAGATCTCTACAACATATATGAGTCTGTTGGTGGCACAATTCTCGTTTGGGTTCTGCGATTGATCTTTTCTTTTGGAGAATCAACTCTTGTATGCCCAGATTCGCCCTGTAGTCTCCTGATTTCTCGCGAAGTCATGTCATAAACAAGTACTCATATGAGGTTTCTACAGCATATATGAATCTGTTTGTTACACAATTCTTCGTTTGGGTTCTGCGATTTTTTTCTGTTTTAAGCAATGAAGCCTTGTTTGCGAAGAATCACCTTGTATTCCCCTGATATTTTGCAAAGCCATGTCAGAAAGATGTACTCCTATGAGGTCTCTACAACATACATGAGTCTGTTGGTGACACAGTTCTTCGTTTGGGTTCTCCGATTTATTTTTGTTTTGAGGAATCAACCATAGTATGTCCAGATTCACCCTGTAGTCCCCTGATTTCTCGCAAAGTCATGCCATAAAGATGTACTCCTATAAGATCTCTACAACATATATGAGTTTGTTGGGGGCACAATTCTTCGTTTGGATTCTGCGATTTTTTTCTGTTCTGAGGAATCAACTCTTGTATGCCCAGATTCACCCTGAAGTCTCCTTATTTTTCGCAAAGCTATGCCATAAAAATGTACTCCTATGAGGTTTCTACAACATATATGAGTTTGTTGATGGCACAATTATTCGTTTGAGTTCTGCGATTTTTTTCTATTTTAAGCAGTGAAACCTTGTGTGCGCAGAATCACCGTGTACTCCCCTAATATTTTGCAAAGCTATGCCATAAAGATGTTCTCCTATGAGGTCTCTACAACATATATGAGTGTGCTGGTGGCACAATTTTTGGTTTGGGTTCTGCGATTTTTTCTGTTTTGGGGAATCAACCCTTGTATGTCCAGATTCACCCTGTAGTCCCCTCATTTCTCGCAAAGGTATGTCATCAATATCTACTGCTAATGAGGCCCCTGTAACATATACGAGTTTGTTGGTGGTACAGTTCTTCGTTTGGGTTCTGCGATTTTTTCTCTTTTAAGCAATCAAGCCTTGTATGCGCAGAATCACCCTGTTTTCCCCTGATTTTTCGCAAAGCTATGCCATAAAGATGTTTTCCTATGAGGTCTCTACAACATACTATATGAGTTTGTTGGTGGCAGAGTTCTTCGTTCTGGTTCTGCGATTTTTTTCTGTTTGAGGGTCAGAATCACACTGTAGTCCCCGGATATTTCGAAAAGCTATTCCATCAGGATGTACTTCTATGAGGCATCTACAACATGTAGGTGGCTGTTGGTGGCACAATTCTTCGTTTGTGTTTTGCGTTTTTTTTTTAGTTTTATATGTACTCCCGACACAAACGTGTCGTTTGTCGAACTTACCCAGTATAACAGGTATGCGATATTTACAGCGGTAGTACAATTAGGTCTAATAACAGTAGGAGCGTTATGTAAGAAATCATTTTTGGTAATTTCCTATTAAGATAGTACCTACATTAGTGCCTGTTTTCGTTTTCCCGTTCACTTCACCGCTGGTAACATCGAATTTTGGGATATTATCTAGAATGATTTGTTTAAAGACCTGATTTAACATAAAGAAGCCCTCAGGAGCTGAAAATACCAGTTTTCTGAATCTGGAACTAACTTCAGAGACGTTGTTATCAAAGCCACTTAACCATAAATGAGCTTTGTCACTAAACATTATTTTTCGCCCAAAATCAGGAACGACCTCCAGCTGCTCTAGTGCCCAATTAGCGAATGCCTTTAGTTCTTGGGCTAATTGTACTCTATAAGGGTAAAGCCCTAAGTCCTTATTAAGGATTCGCCAAATTGTCGTGGAAGACATGCCAAGTTCTTGAGCCCGACGCGGAATGGACTGTTGCGAATTCTCATACACACGTTCTCGAACTGCAAAAACAATATTTTCAAGGCATTTTGCGTTTCGCTGACGTACAGGCACTTTCTGATCTGCTACGAATTGGTTTATTAAACGGCGAATGGTGGCTCTGCAGGACGATAGTCGACACCATAAATTGCACGGAGTGCACGAAACATTTGACGAATGGAACATTGGTTTTGATAATATTTTACAATTTCGACGCGTTGCTCAGTGGTGAAACGCTCCATAATAAAATGTAGCGACTAACTGAATACCGCTGCCAAAGACAGCACAGCACGTGTGTGACAGTCGACATCGTCATGCTACAGATTATACAAACGCTGTTGCTAAACATCGAGCGTTACTATTGGAAAACCCTTTATATTAAGTTCTTTGATTTGGTGTTTCACCCATTTTAGAAACAGCAACTCTTAAATCTTAATTTGAAACATTAATTTACGCGTTATGATATTAGGCAAACACAATTTACCAATTCAATTCAATAATTTAAAGATATTCCGCCGTGAACTCAAAAACATTCAAATAAATATTACTACTATACCTATACCTAAAATACATTCAGGGCCATATCGTCAGTCGTTCCTACAATTCTAGAACGCCTTTATGGCCTGCCTCATTTTCATAGTTTCCTACTTTTCCGTGTCAGCGCTCTATTTTGAGGTTATGTGACAAACATCTATTTGCATCAAATTGTTCATGATTTTGATTTATACCGTTTTATCGGCCTGAAATTCTCTACAACTCAAAAAGAAAAGATAACTTGACAATAGGAGAGAGCTGACGCTAACACGGAACAGGTGCAGTCCAGAAACTTTTGAAGGAGAGAAAAGACTATAACAATCAAGGAGGCCATAAAGGCGTCCTACAATTGTAGGAACGACTGACGGTACGGTCCTTAGTTAAGTTCCACATATTTTAATTTGCTTTATTTTAGTTTTAGGTTAGCTTTGTCATTAATATTGATTTTATTTTCCAGACAATAAAGCATATTTTCTATCTATAGTTCACATGCTCCCTGAAATTGAAATTCAAATTTTGGTGTATATCCTAAATCCTAAATATTTAATTGTCCGTGTGCATAAAAATTATTGTTCTATCCATTTTTTATCGATATATTGTCCGTTTTGTACATTTGACATATCTGATTTCGATCATCTGCAAATAAGTTCACAAATGAATTTTGGATATCATTTATATACATAATGAAAAATAGAAGTTCAACAACACTTTGAAGTTGAGTCATTAATTTTCAGATAATGATTGTAGAAGGAAGATAAACCAAAATATGTGTGTAAAAATAAAAAAAAAAATTAAAAAAAAAAATGTTACCTTGTTTTATAAAGTATCCTCCCGACAAGTATTTCAGTGCGGACCTGTATTTGATCGTGCGGTCTTGGAGCACCGGCATGTCACCTGATTCACGAGCCCTTTGTACTACATTAACAAAGGCACGAGGGGTTGGTTGCACTCGATTGGGAAACCGATCCGCATAAACATGTGCCATTTTTGATTTCGTTTGAGCCACGCAACAGAAACCACTATTCACTAACGCGTTACCTACTAACACTGACTGTATACAACTGAATAGAATAATTGTAAAAACATCGTTCCAAATTCTTTCGCTTTTTTGTTTCCGATGCGATGAACCGATAACGCGGATTATATCCGTTGTCGCCAAACACGAGCACATATTATTATTATTGAGACAGGGCGGTACTCAAACCTCCAAAGGGCTATAACTTTGTTACTTTAATTTTACCAGAAAAATGGTAAAGGAAAAAAACATTTCTTTTGATCAGATCTACTCACTGTTAAAATAAATGACTCAACTTCGAAGTCACCCTGTATATTCAGAATATCACTATCTTAATTTTGTACGCGCTATCCTCTCTTTCAACTAATTTCCAATCAACTGAGAAACAGTTGTGAATAATTCAATTCGGTTGTCAGAAATGCAATCCTTTCTAAGTTCGGAAATGAAGCAGGTCGTAAGTCAACACAACAGCACAACAGCCTGACTGAAGTTGCTCAGTATAACTCAATAGAAAATAACCCTAGTGTATTTGAATTAGCGTCTATGACTGTAGTCTTGTATTCTAGTTGAAGGAAGTCAAGTATCAGCATAAATTATATTATTATTATTATTGTTATTATTAGTTGGAAAAAGAAAATGGTCAATTGAAATCAGACTTGAATGTTGCGAGTGGAACCAAAGATGAGAACAGTAAATTGAAACAGAAAATTTCACAGTTGGAAAGTGAACTGGACAAGCTGAGGAAAGCTTTGCAAGAAGTTCAAGAAGGTAACTGTTGTTTTTGATTTTATATTTAGAGAATATATAACTCGACTTCGATTCCGATGTATAAAAAATCTGAGTCGAGTGCTTTTTAAGTTATAGGTTTTGGAAAAATGAGAAAAATCGAAGAAATCTACACCCTGAGAAAATCTTTTAGTTCCCATTACTACAAATTACAATTTTGTCTCGGATGGAGTGACGGATAGTGTCATTCCTCATGGTGACAGCAAGACAGATAGTAACACCAATTTGATAAATATTGGTGAACGTATTTATTAAATACACTATGAATATTCGAGCTGCCTTCCTTCAGCAGCAATGCAAGCTTGAAATCTTAAAAATGATCATCAGCCTTCCGGCAGCTCAGCTGAATTTTCGCCCTATCCATCTGCTCGGGTATTCCGCATCAAGATATTGTCTAACTGAACGGGCATAACGTCTTGCTGGTACCACATGACTCTGTAAATGCTTCCAATAAATTTTGTAAAAAGTCGAAATGAATTTCGCCATTCAAGAACTCTGGCAACTCAAAGGGTACAATGATTCTCCAATTTATAAAGCCGGTCCAGATTTTTACTTAACGATACTGTGATCTATCTTGTCTCATCAAACGTGGATTTTCTACTTGCCACTCGTGTAAGGTGTGTACATTCACGTAACCATCTTTTTTAAATGTCGACTATTCAGTCCATAAAATCTTTAATAATTGCGGATCTTCCTGGTCTCTATAACATTGTTTTACAAAACTTAACTCTTGGAGGATAATCCAGAGGTTGTAGAGATTGTACTCGCTGTACGTGGTACAGGTGAAACTCGCAAGATCCGATAGGCTGAACCTTTGGGCTCTCCCGCACGGGTATTATGTAAAAAACCCAAAACAATTAGAAAAACGACAAGTTGCCATTATTTAGACTGGGTAGTTTTTAATGTGAAAATAGTTCATTCTACGTTTGTTCGCTATAATCGCTGTTCGCTGACGTTTAAGCACCACGAACAGCTACAAAACGAGTTCACAACAAGTTTAGTATACAACAGCTTGTGCTAAGTTAACATAGAACAACCTACGTTATGTCACAAAAAACGTACGATATGTAAAAAAACGAAGAGATGTCACTTTCCAAGATAGGTAGGCTTTTCTACAAGATATTAACTCAGCACTTAGTTGAACGTGTTGCCTAAACGTCATGAGGCTTCAGTTATCAATGTTTGGCTCTGATGTGATGTAAAAAACTTTTGAAGGTGAAAGAAAGGCCAAAGGAGATTTGTCAAAAATGAAACACGACGAGCAAAAGCTGAAGCAAAAACTCGCTGATCTAGAAACCAACAATTCAAAGCTGAAACAAGACTTGGACTCAACAGTTGGCAGATTGAATACTGGAATGAGTGACGTGGAGAAAGCCAAAGATGAAAGCGCAAAAATGAGGCAACCTGTTGCACAACTTGAAGTAGAAAACACCAAGCTAAAAAAAGAACTCGAAAATGCTTTGAACAATGTAAACTCAACTTCATCCGAGTTGCAACGTCTCAAAGATGAAAATGCTCAACTCAAACAAAAAAATGCGCAATTAGAAACGAGCAATGCTCATATGAAGAAAAAGATGGATCTGACTTTGGACGATTGGAAAAAGAGCACTGGTCAGGTTCAGGATTTGCTAAGCGAGATCCAAAAGTTGAAACAAGCTTTGGCCGACAGAGACGAGCAATTGGCGCAAACAAGAAAGGAGATGGAAAAGGTTGGAGGAGAAGTTAAAGACAAAACGGCTCCACTGACTCAGATAGCAGATGAAAACGCGAAATTGAAGGGGAGGATCAAAGATCTGGAGAATCAGCTGCAGAAGTGCCAGGATAGTTTAAAGAGTGCTGAAGCTGAGTCGAAGAAAAACGCTGCGGAGTTGGTGAAGATTAAAGAATTGAATAGTTCCTTAAAGAAGCAGGCTGATACGAGGAACGGAGATGGAGAAGAAGCAGATGGTGAGTTTTAGAAAAATTGTAATTTCTGATAAGATTTTTACGATTCTAAGGTTAGTTTGCCTCCATAAGGAGATTTAAGAGTCATTTCAAGGTCATCAAAGTTTAATCGCATGTCATGTTGGTTTTTGGCGTTTGGAGGGTGTTTTGTAGTATTGCTTCTAATGAACGGTGACTCATGAAGGAAACGCCCGCTCAAAGGTTGTAAAAATGGAGTCTGTCTGTCTTGAGGCGTAAACAGTGGGTTCTATGCCATTCCATCCGATAGTCTGCCTCTATAAAAACGTTTGAGTATCATTTCAAGTTTACTTCAAGATAAAAGAGGAATTCAAAGATCCAAGTTCAATAACGCCTCATGTGAGTTTTTATGGCTTGCTGGGCATGACTCCGATGATGTTTTGTCTTTATCAGGACACTCGAAGAATATTTCAAGGTCACTTTAAGGATAAATCTAAAAGAAGTAAAACAACTGCGTCCAACCGCATGGCTTGAAGGTGAGTCGGACTCTTTTTTGGATTCTTAATTTGAATTAGTCGAAAAATATCCCTGAAAATAAGATCTTGTAGAGGCAAGCTTTGCAGGAATGTTTGATTTACCTCTTTAATTTCTGAAAATGCTAATAGATTACTCAGCAAAAATAAAAGGCACCCAGGATACGATGGCATCGATGAAGGAACAATTTGACAGAGACAAGAAAAACCTTCTGAAGAGGAACGAAGAAAGCATTGCTAAGCTTCAGCAGCAACATAAAACTGCCTTAAGAGAACTAAGAGAAAAACACGACAAAGAAGTGGCTGCTTTGAAAGATGAGATGAAGAGATTGAAGGAAGAATTAGAAAGGGTTACAGCGGAGAGAGACAAATTAAAACAGTTGGTTGAAGATCAGCGACGCACGAGTTTAGACATCAAGAGCAAGGTATGCATTTAATAGTACTTTACACTATCTTCGACGCAAAGCTCAGCCGTGCATCAAGATAGTCTGATTATGTTTTTTCCATAATATTGTTCAAAGAAAATCCCTTTTCATGAATCTGTAACGAGGTCGACAAAAAGGGTTAAAGGTAGCCAAGTTACCAAGCTTCGCCATCCCATTCATGCTAATTCATGATAATATTTACATTTTAGGTGGAACAAGTCGAAAGCGTATTCATCAGCGAAATAAGGAAAAGCAAAGAAGAAAGAAGGAGAAGCAAACAACTGGAAGATCAGCTCAACGAATCTGACAAAGCCCTACTCGAAATAGATCAGAAATACTCGGAAATGAAGCAACGGAGTGCTGACCTTGAACAGCAAATTACCAAAGAACGAAGAAAGAGCAAAGAGCTGGAGAAGGAACGACAGAAGGAAATTAATGCTAATATACAATTACAGATAGAGAAGGAAGATCTGAGAAGGAGTAGCTTGGTTTTTCAGGATCATATTGAGGAAGAAAAGAAGAAGATTCAAGAACCACAGAAAGATTTTGAAATAGTAAAGGTATAAGTGTCTCCCCAGCTCTCTCTGTTCGTAGTTTTTTTTTTGTTACAGCGTATCGTCAGCAATCACTGATTAGATTATGATGCGTTTTACTTTCCACCCCACTGTCGGTTTGTCTGTCTATCTGTCGGTCGATCCGTCTGTCTGTCGGTCTGTCTGTCGGTTTGTCTGTCGGTCTGTCTGTCGGTCTGTCTGTCGGTCTGTCTGTCGGTCTGTCTGTCGGTCTGTCTGTCGGTCTGTCTGTCGGTCTGTCTGTCGGTCTGTCTGTCGGTCTGTCTGTCGGTCTGTCTGTCGGTCTGTCTGTCGGTCTGTCTATCTGTCGGTCTGTCTGTCGGTCTGTATGTCGGTCTGTCTGTCGGTCTGTTTGTCGGGGCAAAAATGAAAAAATCGCACGTTTTAGAGGTTCGTGCTCATTTTTGATAAATCCTTTGTGAAGTAAGAAGGTAGGCAAGGTTATACCCTTATGTTTTGGCGGTAGCATAATTATTTATACGTGAATTTTCTTAGAGGAAGCAACATCTTGGAAATCTTGAGTATTGTTCATAAAACTATGCTAAATATGCAAATAGGAGGCAGCCAGATTCATCAAGGTGTGCGGGTACATAGCTGGAGGCCCTATTATATGGACCTATTTGACTGGTTTGATTCAATTAAATTGAAATTGATTACAATGGATATGGATATTATATCCAGATTCAGGAAGACATCTGGATATCCGAATAGATATGCATTGGATGTATCTATCCATCCAGTAAATATCCTGGATATCCAATTTGGCTATCTAATAGACATCCATTGGATGTACCTATGCGTGCTCTCTGGGTATGCTTTCCCAAATCAATCAACCAAGATGTTAAAGAGCACCTTCGTAGAACATATTTTCATTGGATATGTTTGCCAATACACCTAATATGAATATTCTTAGAACGTGATGCAGTAGGTTCTTATAATTTGTGGTATCTGCTCCTAACAGGGGTTTGTAATGTATTCATAGCTTATTCACATTGATATGCGGTATGTTATTTAGGCACGTGTTTAGAACGCGATATTGCTATTCGAGGACATTCTTAGAACATTTATTGCAAGTGATTTTGTACTGTGTCTGATGCTTCCCACGCTCTTATGTTTTCAAAACCGATTGGAACTCAAGCAAGATTGCTTTACTGTCTTCTAAAAAATTTCACGATATACCGAAAAATATCGCACAAATTTACCGAAAACAGATCGAATATACCTGGCAGCACTGATAGTTGCGATTTAATAACTGAACATGCTGCTTTTGTCCATCCGACCACAGGAAGCCAAGAGTTGACAGCCTTTTTATGCTTTTTGATAGTTCATCAGCTTGGTCTCTGGGACAATGAATAAAAGCATAGTACTTATCCTCTAGCCGGTGTGTGAGATCTATTGAAATGAAGTGCAAAGCACCATTTTATAACAGAATCGACCACTGCGTGAGTGTTCTCTAGACACCTTCTACACTAGCTAGGCTTAAACTGGTCGAATATTGCAAATTATGAACTTCCATCGAAGAGGCAGGCATGTTTGACGTCAAGATTCAATGATCTCATTTGTCTGCGGTCGGCAAAAGGGTCGAATTATCTTTTTTAGGTGTATTTTGAAGTCATCCAACATCTTTTTTCTTTTATTAGTCCCAGGAAAGACAAGGAAGGGCGAGTAGAGATATAGGTGCATTGACAATACAGACATTTGAAACGGCCAACTTTCCAGATGTCATTGTAATAACGTCACCCCTATCAGACAAAGAAATAAGATTCTTCGGAAAAGAGAAGTGCATATGTAGATCCAGCTTTCCTGCTCTTCTGGATAAAATGTTGAGTCACGGTATTGAAGTAAGTATAGTTCAAATAAAAAACATTTTTTCTGCAATCGATCAAAAAGTACGTGTATTACTGCTCGCAGTCAGACACACAAACTTTTCCAAAGTCAGATCGTTACGCTCACTTTACACGTTCAAAGTTGTTAAATTGACAATATGCTGAAATGAAGTCCTCACTAAACACTATCATCAGACCATATCAAAAAACTATACTCCTATAATGCCGTCGATAATAACAATGTGAGTGTATTTCTTAAGACGTAATTCAAACGAATTTACCTGTAAGTGATGTTCGATCCTAATTATGTGAAGGTCTCGTCGAAGTAAATAGCTCCCTCCCTCCCTATGTATCAGACAATTGTAGCAACATCTTGGCTTTGAAGGAAATGAGACTTACAGGTAAGTTCGTTTGATCACTTAATTATGTTCCGGTCTCGTCGAAGTAAATACTACTCGTAGATGTTCAAAGCGAGTTGCAACAACATACTACTACCGCTTTTCAATAGTAAACGATATGTTGTACACAACGACACAAATTGTACGTAATGCATGCAAGTTAGGGATTTTAACAACAGGTAATACGATGTTCAAAAGTGACCATCCGTTACATGGTAACAAGTAATAACATAGCTATGTTTAAGGTGTGGAGACTTGGTGCACCTCAAATGCCGATTGAGCAAAGCTGTTGTTTGGCATAAGCGATTTGTGAGGGGTCTCAGAAAACGCCCTCCAGCCCGCCGCGAGTCTGAGCCTACTATAATTTAGCCGGCGCAGAGGTAGACGCGTTTCATGTACTGTGGACTGTCAATTCTGACACACCTAGATCACTCTCTGCTGAAACAGACTTTATCCATCCGAAAACAGAGGCAACATAATAAAGTTACTTTACACTGACAAATAAGTACTTTGGCTGCACAGATATTTGGGCGTAAGACATTTAGACAAATCGAATAAAATTAGAAAGAAAGATAAGAGACGACGAAAAAAATGGCGACTAAAAACAGCGGTATTCATTTATTCGAAAATATATTCGGTGTTACCAGATAATGCTATGAATCTTTTCAAGGATATTAGAAAAGGTTGTTTATCTTCGAATAACTGAATACTTTAGAGATGAACAATTTACTCCGTCCATCAGTCTGGGCTTCGTGCTGTGCATAGTACAACTTCTTCACTACTCCATTTCAATACAATATCTTAAATAATATAGATAAACATAATACAGTTTTAGTAATGATTGACTTCTCTAAGGCGTTCGACACAGTTAACCATAAAATCTTGTTGAGTAAGTTCTGACATTCCTTTTAAGTTTTTTGAAACTTACTTATCTAATCGTAACGTAAATCGTAAGTGTAAAGTTAGAGGTCGATATTTCTTCAGGTGTCCCTTAGGGGCCTGTTTTAGGTCCTTGGCTGTATTTAATATATACTTTCAATTAAACATATGCTATATAAACTTACACATATAATACGCAACTTTCATTTCAGTTTGACTCGTCTCATCTGGATGAGGTGTCATATAAACCAAATTACGATCTTGCCAATGTATTAAATTTGATTTGTGTAAGCGACTCATGTTGAAGATTAATCCTGATCAAAGTACGTGTATGCTTTTTTGTCCCAAGCACTTGTATGATTGAGACAGGATCGGCTCGTCCATCAACAATGAGCTCATTCCTATTATGGAACAAGAAAAAAACCTTGGTGTCATTTTCAACTCTAGCTTAAGATTTGATAAATATGTGAGTCATTTATCGAAAAGTACCTAAATCAAATTGAGCCTAATTGTTGTGATTCTGATAGACATTTTATTATTATTACTGTCCTTTTTGGGTAAATTATCTAGGCAGCCTGACCTCAATATTATCTTAAAACAAATGAGTATTTCGTATGAATTTTAACATAACAACCAAAAGCCGTGAACAGAGCTGAGCTCCATTCTGCTCATTACAAATGTAGTACTTTTAAAATATTTTGTCAGCTTGGCAACACCGCCTCGTGAGCCAAGGATGGTTATCACATAGATGGCTGCTTTTATTTGTAAATCAGTAATAGTCCAGGAGCCGACCGTAAAGTCTTAGCTACATCGTGTACTGATATGGAATGTTAAAAACTAGTAAAAATCTTACCGATTTTGACGCTAAACAGCAAACTGGGCAAGTCTGCCGCTCAGCATCAAAATACGTAAAATGCGACTAGTTTTTATTGTATTATATCAATATGCGATGGTGTAACAAAAATTGATGTTCGGCTTCCATTCTATAATGCAAATGACTTGATATGGGCATACCATACTTTACATCATTAATATTAACTTAAACAAACTTACCTCAATTGAGGATGACATGACACGCTTACATGCTTAAGAGAACCAATGACAGTTTTGAGGCGACGAAGATCGGAGCCTGGATTGGTCGGTTAAAATATCGTTGCTGAATGGTTCAATTTTAATGTCGGTAAATTTGGACGATTGTTGGATGAATCACTCAAAGTTAAATCTAAATCAAAAAATTTGCGATATTTGACTATGGTGATTTTTTTGCTTTACGCAATAAATAAACAGCGGTGCGTTTGTAAATCACTTGGTAATGTAATACCGTACACAGTAATGAAATATAGATTGACAGATTAAATTTTACTATGGAAAAAGGTAATACTTTATTTTCAGAACGCATAAATTGTTCCGTCATGTGATGACACTTTATGAGAGCCAACTAATTTCTAATCGGTTTTCCGCGACCGTTGTATTATTATAAGAAAGTTATGGAGACGAGGTAGCCGGTTTATTGAGAAACATTTATGTATTTTGCCAATTTTAAGCACTTTTTGATAACCAAGTAAAGCAAACAAACAATGAATCATGAGAACGACAAGTGGCAATACTCATATTTCCAAGGTTTTAAGCACGGAAAGAAAACCGCACTTTTGACGTTACTTTGCTCTATTTCCTAACGCATGGAATACATACGTCAAACCATTACGACCGCTAACATTGTTACAGAGTGGTACAAAGTACACTCTGTAACAGCAGCTCAAATCAACTAAATGTACCATGAGCGTTGACCTTAAATTCTCTAAGGGCAATTACCCACGCCGCAAGCCGATCCTTAACGCAGCTGCTACTCACCTTACACACACATATGAAGGTATTTTTTGAATTATAATAACCGTTTTCTAATGGAGTCAGACAAATTTTATTTATGAAGGTAAATTGTAGTACAAACTAAAATACGAACAGTTTCTCATTTTTCAACATAGTCACCATAAATATTTAAGCATTTGCCAATCTGTGTCACCAGTTTTTGGATCCCGTCCTCAAAGAACGTTGCTGCCTGACCTTTAAACCATCAGTTAACTGTTTCTTTCAACACGCCATCATTTTCTAAGCGCTTTCAAATTCCATAAGTTTTGGAAAAAGATGAGAGTCTGATGGTGCTAAGTCATGGCTGAATGGTAGATGATCCAGTGATTCCTAATGAAATTTGACCAATTGCGTCTGTGTTCTTTCGCTACGTGATGCCACGCGTTGCTGTGAAGCAGAACCACGCCGCTAAAACTGTTTTGCGTTTAAAAATCAGATTAGTGAACGCATTTCACCATCGGCGGGTTTAATGGGGGGCACGGCTTCAAATAACGCAGTATAACCACGCAACCACCACCGAAAGACACGTAATGGCGACGTAGTGAAAGTCTGGTCATGAGCGTCTGAGGTTAAACGGAAGTCACGTGACGAGACGCGGGCACGATGCGCAATCGGTTGTTACTTTAAAAATGGCACTTGTATATGAATTCTGAATCTGAATCTTCAGACGTTGTTATGTTTCTTATCGAAGGTACCGGTAAATTCAAATCGCAAGCCCACGACAACCAAGTTTCCATGATGACAGTTGCTGTTATAAATATGGTAAACTCATACGTTGGCAAGAAAATTTAATTTTCAAGGGGTGAAACCAAACTAAGAAACATATGTGAGCTTACACATGAACAAGCCTTCGCGCGTATGTATGTGCAGAGGCGCTGCCAGGATTTCAGTCTGGGAGGGGTAAACCGGAAAGTAAATTCTCAGTGTGACGTACTGAAGTGTTATAACGATTTAACATTAAAATGCATGGACATATGCAGACATATGAATATGTTACAGTCATTTCTGTAGAAAATATATACATTTTTTTTTAATTTTGAATAATACGAAATCAAAGTGTAAATAAAGCAAAACAAGCTCGAGCAATCTTCATATATTAAAACAAAAATGCAAAATAATATCATCTATCACAGACTTTTCTACATAACAATGTTAAAGCATGTCCTTTATAGTAAATAGGTAAAGCGTTATAAAATTCTGTAGACTTTCTTAAAAATATAGAAAGATTGTTTGAATAGCCATCAAATATAGGAATTGAATCTTTTAGCATGTTAAAAATTAATTGAGGATTGTCGTGCTGAACGACATTATGTTCATTTGAGGTAGCCATTCTCAAAGTAGATCTTTCTCTTTCGATAGGTACAAAACGATTAACAAGAGGCATAAAATAAAATGTATAAAAGATGCAAGATAAAAATGAGTAAAAAATAGGTGAAAACAAAACTTAAGGCTATGCACAAAATTAGATTTCAATTGAAAAACGCAAACTTGGATTCTTCAGTAAAAATCTTTTTTGTAGAAATGTGTTTTTTGATAAATTCTTATGGTTACGTATTAAATCTTCTTAGGTGCAAAATATTCTTAATAGTAATTCTTAACTACTTACAAGGACAGTAAAATCAATTGTTGCTTCATTCAGGGGCTGGGCATCTTGTCTTCGATTCCAAATCAATGGTTCTGGACAGTTTCTGGTAGAATTCCCAGTAAGAGAATAGAAATTCTTACTTGATGTTGGCACTCGGCGAGTCCAAGTAGAACAGGAGGGCCTTCCCGACGTCTGATACTAACTCTTGGCTTTCGCTGGTACTAACTTCAGTTTTCTCAGGAACTCACTCTGTCTTTCTCGGAGACACCGCTGGGCAGCTCGTCTATTAGATATTTCTCACAATGGTGACAGAAACCAAGCCTGGGATCCTGTTCGCAGCGCCAGAAATGAAATTCAGTGTGCTTTCGGGTTTCGGTTCGAAACTATTGCAGGAACTTTATTGGTTGAAAACAGGATGACAACAACGCTAATTACATTTTATATTCAGTTTATAAGAAATAAAACATAGCAAAAATGCAAAGTCGGTAATGTTCTCACGAAGATAACACCTAAAGCTGTAACTAGAAACCGGATGGACGACGTTAATCAAAAGGGCATCGGGACGGTGTTAGCCGTACCGTTGAAATGGTAATCATCAGGATTCCATAACTTACATTGTATATACAGGTAGTCAATGAATGGCATGGTATGGTATGATCTGTTTGTGGGATATAAAAAAACAAAAATTCGCTATAATCCTAATTTCTACTCTTACTACGGTTAGGTTTGATGATTTTTCGAACTGAAACGAACTTTTGTCGCTGATTAAGGCTCGTTTTGACTAATTCACAGTTTAAATACGTGAATAGTCTAGATAATTTCCACCAAGCATTTCAAAACATAGGATAGACATTTTCGTAATACAAAACAAGGTTTCCCTTAGCTCACTATGACTGAAAATCACTCGAAATATCAATTTGGGATTTGGAACTTGAGATTGTAATAAGTCTGTTTGCAAACATTGATATGAAAACGGTCGAATTCATGTTGGCCCCAAAGTTTCAAGAAATCCTGGTAGCGCTCATCATTAAGCTGTTTATTTTTTAACAAAATGGCTGATTTCAGTCCCTTGAACTAGAAGAACTGCAGTTCGTTCAGGCAAAACTCAACGAGGCAATGGCTGCGGTATTGCAAAAGTTTGGTCAAGCGAGTGGGGTTATAAAACCGCATGAGATGAAGGACAAACTGTCACTGACGAGGAGGATTGCAGCACTTGAGGACGACCTCAAACAGAAACAGAAACATGCACAACATAAAGGTCAGCGTTTAGATACTCAAGTAGAAACTTCGCTCAAAAAGTTTTCTGATCTCCCTTCCGACAAATCGTCCTTCCCATCGTTATTCAGTTTGGATATAGGTGTCGACTGGTAGCATATTTTGCTTCCTCCTCAGTAGCTTTTATTAGTGTGATTTTACTTCCTATGCCACTGTGCGTGTAGTATTGTAAGAGCGAAAAATTTAGAACATTAGATAACTTTTTTGTATGTTATATGACATGTACATTACGTGAAACCATGTCACTCATTTCCGTCGGCCGGTCGGTCTGTCTGTCTGTCCGCGAATATTTGGCCCGTCTATAACTTGGGAAGCACCACTCGGATTTTAATGAAATTTTTACACATGGTTGCTACTATCCCAAGGACGAGAAAGCTTTGTAGAAGGAATTCAACGGTGATCTTAAATTTAATCTAGACCTTCACCTTTAAGGTTAATTATGATGGTCAATTTTATTTTTTCAAATCGAAACCCCTCTTTTTAATGCTGACAATCGAAAGAACAGAAAATTTTACGTATAGACTCAATTAAAGTCCAAGGTCAGGATGACCACTAAAGGTCAAATGAAGATCATGCTATTGGGAAAACCTCTATACATCTCACAGGATTAGTGATGAAAATAACTATCAAGGTCAGGTCTATATATATAGTTGTAATCCCAGTTCTTGGCGGTTACGACATCAACGCCATATGAAACACGAGCTACAATCTCCAGTACGCATGAAGTTGGTAACACATTTGAACATAAAATTTCCCGCTCTCTGCATTGTCGTCATCAAATAAGCGTTTCTATTTGGAAAAAGAGTTGATCTTGAGCTAACCTTGAAGTTGAAGTTCAAGGTGAAATCTGAGATGACCGCTACTTGTAAAAATTTACTATGACCTGACCTTACTCGTTATTTTCGTCATGATCTCGATTACTAGATTACTAAAGTTTTCCCTAGCAGCACATTTTTTACCTTTATTTAACCTATTTGACGTACAGCGGTCATCTTGATCTTGAATTTTAATGCATATTCGAATGTGAAATTTGCTGCTCTTCCGATTGCTCGCATAAAAATATTAGTTTCCATTAAAAAAATTAAGTTGACTTTGGGTAAGTTTCAACGAGACAACCACGGTGCTCTTTACAAATGATGTTTAACCGATACTGTTCCTGCGGGATTCTTTTTGGAGGGTGAGGTTCAAGGACAAAACCAAGATCACTCATCAAAATTTAGTAAATAACTGACCTTAAATGTTATTTTCATTACTAATCCTGTAAGATTCATAGTGGTTTTCCTAGCAGCACACATTTGACCGTTAGTGGGCACCATGATCTTGGTCTTCAAGTCGTATTTGAACGTAAAATTTTCTGCTCTTCCAATTGCTGGCATCAGAAATAGGGACCTTCATTAAAAAAGAATTTAACCTTGAAATGACCTTGAATGTGAAGGTCAAGGTCATATCCAAGGTCAGCGTTCTTTTGATTGTCGGCATCAAAAATAGGGGTTTATATTTGAAAAAATTAAGTTGACCATTAACCTTAAAGGTGAAGGTTAAGATCAATCAAGGTCACCGTTAAATTCCTTTCTGAAACTTACTCATCTACCTTGATCTTTTCCAAAAATAACTTAGCCGAGAAAATACAGAGCCGCTCCAGAACTTTTGTGTCACGCTGTACACGGGCCATTTTTTTATACTGAAGCAGCTGCGCAGGCAGAAGCCTAAATGCCGGGACACCGCGACTGCAATGATGATCCCAAAGAAAACACTTGGAACAAAGGAGCGGTCGCATCGACCAGTTCTGGACGCACGAAGTTCGACACGATTAGGATGGGAGGCCAAAGTCAGGCGAGTCTGTCTGGCAGGCACGTAGCTGCCGTTATTGACGAGATGTGATCGTGCCAGATCAGGTCCTTGGTGATTTGGACTCCGACCAACCGAAATGAATGGCTCTTTGGCAAAACTCAGCCATCCATCGAAACCGGGTGAGCGCTAGGACGCTTTTTCGTCAAATTACAGTACTTTGTTTTAGAAGCGTTAAACTGTACAAGATTGTTGCGTCCCCAAGCAGTGATCACCTTCAGGTCTCTCGTCAGAGAAGAAGCCGTGGCTAGTCTTCTTTTTTCCAGCTCAGCGGCAGAGATCGGCTTGTCACTCTGAATTCCTGGTCATCAGCGAAGATGTGGATTGGGTTGATCGTGCAGGAAAGGAGGTCGTTGATATGTAATAGGCGCGGTGCGGAAGCCAAGACCGATCCCTGGGGAACACCGGCGTTGACGTTGAGGGATGAAGAGCAGAGCCCGTCAATTACGACGGATATCTAGCGGGCAGAGATAAAGTCAGCCAGCCATCAGCAAAGCTTTTCTGGGAGGCCACAGGATGGAAGTTTGCTGATCGAACGCTTTCGTGATGTCAAGAGCAACGGCACGAGCCTCACCATAAGACTGGTTGAGTTTACCCCATAATTGCGTGACGTAAGTTAGGAGGTCCCTGTTTATCGCTGGTGCCGGAAACCATACTGCCTGTCGCTAATCAAGCTGTGACGTTCGAGGTAGTCCAGAATCTCGCGAATTATGCACCTCTCCATCACCTTACTTGTAACAGAAAGCAGAGCTATAGGCATACAGTTGTAAGGGTCGGTCTTAGATCCTTTTTCTGGGATGGATTGGACATGAGCAAGTTTCCAGTTTTCTAGGAAAGTGCCGGTTTCATAAGATATCTGGAAGACATGCGAAAGAACTGGAGCCAGCTCCGCTGCAAACCTCTTAAGTACGATGGCAGGAATCAAGTCCTGCTCAGAAGCTTTATTGATGTCGAGCGACAAGAGCACTCGTCTTACGGTCTTATGCCTGAATGTTACCTCCCACATAGTGTAGGGAACCCTTTGAATTGATGGCACATGGGCGTTGGGGAAACGTCCATGGTGGAGTTGGCAGTAAAGATCTTGGCAAGCACTTCCGCATTAGCCTTTGAGTCGGATGCAATCATTCCATCCTAACACGTAGGAGGTGGAAGGCTGCTGTGTGAGAAGTTCTTTTCAATCTGCTTGGCCAGCGTCCAGAAAGACCGACTGCCATTGCGCTTCGACATTATCCAGTGCCTAACTTTTATATCGTGCTGGTTTTTGGCATTGCGAACCGCTTCGTTATATTTGTTTCTGGAGTCGACGTCGGCTTATCTGTTCTCTACAGTGGGGTTTTCTAAGAAGGTTCTGTGTGCCTTGTTAAACCAGCTTTGGACTCTGGTTTAGGCACTTTCACTGTATGAGGGATGTATTCCTCCATTCCGACGCGGAGAATTTCGGTTATCGAAGAACAGGCAGCCGACGCGTCCGCGATAGTAAAACAGACATCTCTCCAAGGAAAGGTAGAGAAAAAGTCCAAAGAAACCTAACATCCACAACACCATCGTGTGCGTTACCCAGGGGGGCAGGACAGCAGTGCTGTAAGGGACAGGATGCGTGGTGTGAGAGAGATCCAGCAGGCTACTGACATGTGACGAGATGTGGGGAAAAAAGGTAGGGCTCGTCACCAGCTGGCTCAGCCCTTGAGTAAGACCGAACGCTTCAACTGCACGACTGCATTGGTCGTGTTTGAGCCCAACCAAAGCTCATTGTGGGCATTGAAATTACTGAGGAGAGTTACCTCTGAAGCGGGATGATTGATGTTGTGGAATTCGATCTTGACGGCGAGGTATTCAAGTAGGCCATCCCAGTTATGGTCCGAGGAAGAGCGATAAAGGCAGTAAATAAATTTAGGGGATGTTTTAGAGTTGAGGCGAAGCCACAGAATGTCCATCCGGTCTCATTCCAAAGACACATCTCTGGAGCAGGAAAGACTGTTGCGGAAAAAGCCGCAACTTCCCCGATCTTTCTCAGATTGGAGTGCAGCTCGTAATTTGGGAAGCTAAGATGGTTAATCGGTACAGACTCTGAGATTTTTGTCTCCGCCAAGAAAAGCATGGCGGGACGATTGAATTGCAGGTAGTAATGAACAGCATCAATGTTGCTGATAATTCCGCAGATGTTCGTGAATCAAATTTTATCTTCGATGTTGTTCCCTCGAGTTCACCCTCCACCCGGAAAGTCCCACACAGGAGTGAGTTTACGTCTGGAATTCTTAGTACTTGAGGGATCCATTATCATTAACTTCTTTGTTTGGAAGATAACCGACTGCATGCCTCACACAACTGGCAACGTCCTACTCCGCCTACACTGCATGTATCATCGCATGGAAATATGCGGAAAATTATGACACCCTGGGAAAAGCTAGCGGGTGGTACCGCCTCGGTCGACTGGTCCTGGTCTACCACCTTCTTTTTGTGTGTTAATGATATTAAATAGACATAAAGTCTCCCGTTAAGACCCATGCCCAAAATGAACGATATCTCGCTGCAGCGATCCTGCGCTGGTCCCTGCTAAGCAGATGTGGAAAGGGACAACGTTTCCGGATGGACTGTAACTACCGGTGGGGCAGGGAAATGATGCCTTTAGACTAACTGTATGGGAGTGTTTGACAGACTTAATCCGTTTAATTCCTCTGTTGTACGTGTTCGTATCCGATTTTTTCTCAGAGAATTTAAATTGCGCTGAACTTAATCCTTTATGAACTGATGGCGTTGCGTGGGAAGTGCAAGTCAACCTACTTGGCGCCATTTTTTTAATATTACGTACTTTTATTTATAGTTAAATATGAGAAGCAGAGGTTAGGTGAGTTACGAAAGACGTTGGATGAAGAAAAACAGAAGAATTATGACCTACTGGGTAGAATGGACATAATATCAAGGAATGTATCCGATAAACAAAAGCTAGCTAAGGTGGAACGTTATCTGTAAGTGGACATTTGAAGTAAATTCAGCCCAGTAATAGACTTAAAAAGACGTTAAATACAAAAAAATGTTTGCGGTGTAAACGATCAATTTTGAACAAAAAGTAACATTTTTTCGTATCCTCCAGTCACCGACGCCGAAGCTTCAGTGCGAAATTTCGATGCCATACCTCTCCAAAGTTCACAGTGATAACTTATTGTTCATTGCGCTGCTTACCCTCTATGTTCACCAACAATGTATATGTACACTAGTTTATTTCTATTTGCCTTGTATCTATAGTTTTTCTACATTTCTCGACGACTACTGAAGCAAAAATGTTGTCAAGTGACCTTTCATTTCCATTGTAATTCTTATCAGAACACCAAATCTGACTAAAATCAAATGTAGATCAGGAAACATAGACATCGTGACGAGGATTGTCACAGCATCGATCTAGAGATCTGGGTGAACTGGACTAAACCGAACTGCATTTTCTTCTAGTGACATAATAGATGAAGAAAAAACCAAAACACAAAAAATGAAAGTGGAATTGGACCGAGAAAGAACGCGCTCTTCTGAACATGTGAAACAACTACTACAAGCCGGCAAATCAAAACCAACTAGAAGAACTTCGGATGGTTCAGAGGTAAAGGACTAGTTTCTTTTTCGGTCCCAAGTGTAACCCTTATTATTATCTACAGGGTGTTAGGGAAATAATATTCGTAACTTTAAGAGGTGATTACTTCCATTATTATAAGCAAAAAAGTTCAGTATAACCTATGTTCAAAAATCAACCGTTTCGGAGCAAAAAAATGCTGAACTTATTATGCTTATTATTTACGGAGAGGCTCATTGCAATTCTGAAGAGGCTAGGCGCATTTATTAAGAACGTTTTTCTGATCGAAGGCTACCAGCTAGAAGAATATTCGTAGAAGTATCCCAAAGACTTCTGGACACAGGGAGTGTAGTGTCTAATTGTAACAATCGCGGAAGACATCGTGAAGTTGGAGTGGAAACCGAAGAACAAATTTTGAAATTAATTTAACGATCAGATGAGCACTTGCCTTAAGGAAGTTCGATCGAAATTACATGAGGGGGCCAGTCCAAAGATGTTTATTATGTCACCACGAAGTCCGCCACGTCGTGATACCAGCCACAAGGTTTTAAAGCAAAAACCCGTCTCATGTTACGCTCGTGTCCCTGTACATACCGCTATGCTTCCCTCCTAGAATCATTTGATTGAAATTATTCCGTTTTGTTCATAACCCATCAGGGTAGGGCCTGGGAGGGAGCCATCTTTGAACTGGACGCCTCATATAATTTCGATCGAACTTCCTTAAGGTAAGTTCATTTGATCATTAAATTATACTTCGGCGTCCAAAGATCTTTAAAGATGTGTGGGTTATGAAACAAACGGAAGGGGATGCTTTTGAGTTCCTGCGATAAAGTATTTATTCTCATAAATGGGAGATAATGATATTATATTCAATCAAACAGTAAGCTATACAGGATATAACATAAAGGAAATAAATAATTATTTCTATACATTCAAAACCTTTAGTGCAAACTGGTCTCTATACATTAGAGGCAGCGTATAAAATTTTGCAAAGGTTTCAGAATTCTTACTCTAGCCTGCTGAATATCTAAGAATATCCGGTGGAATTCAGGCTCTCCTAGCTGCGAAAGTTGACGCAAGGCGGCTAGAATCCGGCTTGAGTATGCTAGTGTCCATACTCAAAGTTCGTTTGCAGGCGAATCTGTTAGGTTTTTGGGTTGTGATGAACAAATAATCGTCGTTTGGGCTCCTCAATGCAGCAGTTTCTGTAATATAGGATATCAGACAATTCGCTACGTATAACTACTGAGGCTTGTAATTGAATCTTGAAAGTATCAAGTAAGGTTGTTTCGATCTGGGCCCCGATGTTTTAATCCTGTCATCTATTAGAATTTGAATACCTTCTTCAGTATCTCGTATATTGCTAATTTTAATTATCGGTATGGTCTGCAACCTCTGCTCTGTTGATAACAGTAATAAGGTTACCAGTTTCATTGGACGTTGTTTCATGGATCTGATAAAAAAGTCCAAGACTCGTTTGGGGTCCCAGATAAAATTATATCTTGGCTGCTGTTATCTTATGCCATTCATGAATCTGGCCGCTACCAGTGTAAGCCTCCCTGCTAAAGGATGTCTTCCGTTGCTGAAAGGAGAAATCAATATGCCAGGATGCGGCTCAAAGAAAAGAAGTTCTCCTCTGCAAAGCCTAATGAAAAGTAGAGACCATGCCTGGGATGGGCGAAAAGAAACCACTATTACTCCATTTGCGTTTTCAGTTATTATTTATAGTTTCACTCTCAAACTTACGGAAACTGGTGGGAACGCATAAAAGTTCATGCTTTTCCAAGAAAGAGTAGAGGCCTCTCATGCAGATGCTCCAGGATCCTTCAGCCATGAGTCATATCTTTCACATTTATGATTGTTTCCGCTATCCAGTTAACTTTTGTATTGATATGGGAGGCATATATCCATATCCCCCGAATTTAACACCTCTGTCATAGTTGCTTAGTCAGATCATTAAGTTTCACGGGCTGTACGCTCCCCTTGCGGATGACATAGGCAACTGCAGTGGTATTATCGCATCTTATTAAAATATTGCGGTTTTTCGAACCCTTGGCAAAACATTCTGGAGTTGAGAATATCGCATGCAACTCCAAAAACTTGATATGATTATCTTTCTCCGATTTTATTCACCAGCCATGCCTAGTTTCCCCGTTGCAAGCGGCACCCCAATCCGAAAGGGATGAGTCTGTCAATAGTTCCAGCTCAAATGAATACTGCTTAATGTCGTTGTTTGCTAGATCTAATTATTCAACCACCATGATAGATCGGCTTGTGATTATAATGAAAGCGACATATTTGCATTGTAATCGATGCTGTGTTGTCTAAGAGCAATCAGTTTATTCCTTTCGCAAGATATTGTATATAGCCATCCCTATTTTATGGCGGGACATGCTGAGACCAAAAGGCCTACGAACTGGCAAATTTTTTACATTCTAAATATTTTTTTACCTTGAAAAATTTTTATCCACCTCAAGATTTTTTGTTTCTTTTCGCAAGTTACCTCGAGCTTCACTGTATAAGTGTTAAACATGAAGCTAAAAAATTTGCAGGTTTTTGAGGGCACGAGGGATCTCTTATCCTCATTGATTACAAACCCGAGAGATTCACATAAGTTTACTTTGCTTTTGGTGTGTACGATTTTGGGCTGTTTCGCCGAGGATTAAGAAGCCATCCAAGTGATTTACACATAAAATGCCCATGAATTGGAGTTTCTGCGCTACTGGCTTAAGAATTTTAGTGAATGCATAGGCAGCAGAGCTAAGGCCGAAGGAAATACAGGTGAATTCAAATAAGTGGTCCTCAAATGTAAAACGCAAATACTTGTGAAGTTGCGATGCTACGGATATAAGAAAATATGCATGCTTTGAATCAATCGATGTAAGATAATGGTTATTTTGAATTAACCTCGACACTATGTTTGTCCTCCATGTTAAAGTGGAAGGCTTCAACAAATTTGTAGATTTTTTTTAATTTATAATAAAGCGCTTCTGACCGCTGGCCTTGTCAGTTAAAAAGATTGTGGATAGGGATTGACCACTCTGTGGGGGACATGTCACAATCGCACCCTTTTGCCGTAGACTCGCTACTCCGGCTTTTATTAGGTGCTTGTCTGCAAGAGAGAAAGAGAATCTATATATGTTCCTTTGTTTGGGAACATTGCTTATCGGAATTCTGTAACCCTTAATCCACTGTAGAATAGTTCTATTTTGGGTTATGGTAGTGCATTTCTCATAAAACTGCGCAAGTCTACCTGTAAAATGATTATTAGCAGTATAACTTACCTTATTTAGTCATTACCGAGAGGTCTGCCCTCGGACGACGGGCTAGGCGACTCCGGTTTACAGGCACGTGGTAGGAGGCACTCCTTCCGTGACCCTCCCCCATTTTTTCTGATCGATTACAGCTCATAGGCACAGCAGATCTCTGTTGTGAGGAAAAAGGTTGGGCTGAGTATCTTTGCTTGTCGACTGTATCGACTATGCTGCCTTAACAACATCGCTGACATCTAATCCGAACAACAGGTTCGTTGGGGACGATTTTCCAGCAATTCCCTAGTATTTTGGTTCATGTAGGGGTATGTAAACATACGTCGTGCCATCGTCGAGTCATGGAACAAATCTTTATAAATGCTAGACATGGATTCTGTGCATGACAGAATGCTATCAATACCTTGTCCCAGTGCTGAAATACCCGCTCCGAGCTTTGACTGAAACTCTGATTGTCTTTCTTTGCATATTTTCTGGAAGGATATTTTTAGTTTCCGGATTTATTATTGGAGGAGCTGGAATGGTATATTGGACGGTATCTTATAGTTTTGGGCTATGGAATTATACTCTATGTTTGGCAGTCCCTGTGAGATCATTTTGGACCATCAAGCGGCTAGCACTGAGTGCACTTTGAGGTTATCGGTCTGTTTCTCACTTGAGTCATCTCCCAAAACGCCCAATATATCCTCTGGTCGTCCACGTCATTATCCAGGACCAACATGTCCTGTTCATGAGGTTTTGTATGGTGCCTGGACCATCGGCGGTGATTGGCGAGACGCTCAGGTCTCGCGCTACACCATCTCCTAAGTGGAAAAAACCCGAGCGTGAGGTGCTTGGATCCTCAGCGGTGCGTGGCGAGACACTCAGGTCTCGCGCTACACCATCCCCTAAGTGGGAGAAACCCGAGCGTGAGGCGCTTGGATCATCAGCGGTGCGCGGCGAGACGCTCAGGGCTCGCGCTACACCATCCCCCAAGTGGGAAACATGAATCTCGGCTAGAACGCTTCTGCTTTTTGTCTCTTCCCATATCTAGCTGCAATAATGAACCGATTAAAGAAAATTAGTTTGAACTTACCGTTGGCTGGCCGGCCGTCGATGTTAGCTGGTCGAGCACAAGAAGAAGAATGATTGTAGGAGGGAAGTATAGCGGTATGTAAAGGGACACGAGCGTAACATGAGAGGGGTTTTTGCTTCAAAACCTTGTGGACTACGTGGTGAAATGATAAACATCTTTGGACTGGACGCCGAAGTATAACTGACGAGGATTCGACACGGAGTACGAGAAGTATTGCTCGTCAAGTCGGTTTTTCACACTGGATTGCACATCGGACCCTTAAAGAGCAGTTATTGTACCCATATCATGTCCAGAGGGTTCAAGCTCTTTCGCCTGAAGATTTTCCACGAAGATCAAATTTTTGTAATTGGTTTTTAGGTAAACACCAAAGAAATCACAATTTTGTAGCGAACGTGTTGTCAAAAGATGAGTCTTGTTTTCCAAGAAATGGAATTTGGAATTTTCACAATTTTCATAATTGGGCGGACGAAAATCCCCATGCAATTGCACAGAAAAATTCGCAGTATCAATTTTCTGTTAATATTTGGGCTGAAATAATTGGTGACCAATTAATAGGACCATTTTTTGCCACATCGCTTGAACGGTGAGAGCTACTTTTAGCTTTTCTAAGAGACAATTTGACCGTTTTGTTGGAAGAAGTGCCATTGCCAACAAGAATGAATATGTGGTACTTGCACGATGGTGCTCCAGCACACGCTAGTCGAGTAGTTGTGGAACATCTCAATAATACCTATGGGAATAGGTGGATAGGAAGAAATGGTCCAAATGCCTGGCCGGCTAGATACCCCGATCTTAATCCATTAGATTTTTTCTTCTGTGGATTCATGATGAAATTAACTTACGCCTCTGAAATAAGGGATGAGAATGATTTAAGGTAGCGTCTTTTGGCCGCCGCTAATGAAATACGTAATATTATATGCCTGGAATTTTTCAACGAGTTAGAGAAAATTGGGTTTGATGGTGTCAAGCTTGCGTAGATACCCATGGTTCCCATTTTGAACATCTATTGTGACTAATAATCCATTTAACTGTAACTTTATGTGATTTACGGATGTTGTTTTTTTTCTTTTTTCGTGCATCGCATGGTTTTAAATAAGTGACTGATATGCGTGGGAATTGGTGGTGTGTATCGCCACGTACTGGTAAGATCTGTCTTTTTTTTTAGTATATGTACTGTACTGAAAGCATTATTGAATAAAAAAAAATAGCCACAAAAAATTGCGTAAAACTATTCAATATTTCAAGGCATATTTTCAACAAAAATATTTTACAAACGTAAAGAATTCGATGTATCATCAGCTGCGGTCGTTGTGCGCTCGTGTCGCGGTTGCGTTGCAGCGTCGCCAAATGTTTGAGAAAATTTAATTATTTACGACTTGCTTTTCTCGAAAACGATTGATTTTCGGACATAAGTTGTAATGAACTTTTTTGCTTAGAATAATGCAAGGAATCATCTCTTAAAGTTATGAATATTATTTTCATAACACCCTGTATACTGATCCCTAGTTAGACGCGCCAAAAGTGACAACAAGCATTATTGATTAATGTATAGTTGTAGTCACCGTTCTAGGCCAGTAACCCTTTACATATCTCCATCTCCCTCATATATACACATGCAACCTACCCATGCGTGTGAACGTTCGTTCGGTAATAATAATAATAATAATAATAATAATAATAATAATAAGTGCATGAGAATAATACTAAATAAAGATAAATATACTCCAATTAGGCAAATGCTTAGCAAATTAAAATGGCTCAATGTAAAAAAATTTATCAAATATCTTGTAATGATATTCATTTATAAAGTAAAAAATAATATATTTCCATCAAGTCTAACTAATTTAACATCATCAAATGTCGACTATCATTTACATAATACCAGAAATAAAGATGACTTCCATTTAATGACCAAAAAGTATAATATATGCTACAAATCTGTATTCCATCAAGGGTTGATTGAATATAATAAATTATACTCGGAGATAAAAGACCAGAAAAGTTTGACAAAATGTAAAGTAAAATTGAGAAATCACTTGTTAAATCTACAATTATAGGTTGCCCAGCATTTACATCATACACCATATGGCTTGAATTTACTAGTTCTAAGTTGTTTACAATTATTCTGTTTATGTAGCCAAATGTGCTAAATAAATCTTTCTACTACTACAAATAATAATAATAATTTATTCACATTAATTACACATTGTGAACAAATGGATATGCCACAAAAGGAAAATATCCTTGTGTGTAGATATCATGCTAACACAACATACATAATATAACATTTATAATAAACTGGTAGAACTGAAAAAAATCTATATAATAGAAGTATAATATGTACATTAATTTTGGATTGTATACTAACAATGAAGAAAAGATATGTGTTAGTCTTTTATAAATTACATCATGTTTATATCAGTTTTCAAAAGCCACTCGTATACATCTATTTATAATAATGATATTCTGTTTTTTCTAATATATTTTAATAACATTATTTTCAACATTATTTCTTTTTTTGGTGTTGCAATAATTATACATACATTTTTTAGTTGTGTGTATCCGTCGCGAAAGCTTTGTCGTTACGTATGAGTGCCCTTCAATCATATTTGTCAGAGTGACAGCTTGCTTAACATCGGCGTGCAATCTGACTTGTCCTGTTATCAATCTCCAATATGAAATTGTACAATGCCCGGAAATACGATTAATGGAGAGGGCCGACAGCTCGTGCTAACTTTATTAGAGTATTTTCAGGAAGAGAAAGAAAACAGCGGTCCCCTGTTACCCACTTCATGCGTACTGGGGAGAGTAGCAGATGCGCTGAAGATTAATCTGCGCAGTGTTCAGCGAATAAAAGAAGTAAAGGACAACATATCACGGCCGCTGCGCTCAATCTGGAGCTTAAAAAAAATGAAAATATACTACGCCTCGGATTCAAGTTTAAGGCGTGTCATACTATACCCATGTTTAAGTAAATTGAGGGTAAGACTATACTTTAGTGCATATCGCAAATACTTCATTTCTTACTCTAAAATGAAAAATTAGGATGTAACATTTACGAAAATATCATTTTTTCTTTAAGGAGCCCTCTGCTTGCTATTCAATAGAACTCTAAAGTTGCATGTTTGGTGGTAATACTCTAGAATAGAATACTGTTTTATAAGCTGTCTTTTTTTGGTTTTTGCACAAAAGGATACTCTAAATTATAAAAATATAACATACACTGCATTCTACTAAGGAAAATAGATGTGAAACTGTAAAAAATCGTTATTTTTTTGCAAAATGTTCAAAACCAGCCGTGTTATTACACATTAGCTTATTAGCTGTGTAGAGGTGTGGTGCTGTGATTTGTTAATGTCTTCTTGAAATTCCTTAACTATTTTTTCCGCGTATTTTCAATGAGCTCAAAGTTTCTGCATTTATAAAAAATATTTCAAAGTACGAATCGCATCTTCATGACAATCCTGTGCCGATGGCACATTTTTGCGCTAGTACATGGTCAGATCGAATGGCTACTACATCGAGTGGGCTGGTCATGTGTCGGTGGAGAAGGGCGTGTTGGATAATGGGAGAAGTGCCGTTTCAGTTGGCAAGATGGTTTGTTCGTGTGTTCACTGTACGTCAGTACTTTCAAAATGTCGTTCGAACACAACGTGAGTTTCGCGTTCACTATCATGTTCTACGTCATGGGACAGTACCAAATAAGGTACCAAACCTTAAACCACTTTGAGACGCTTGGAAGCATTCAACACAACAGGTAATGTGATGAATAAAAAACCGCAGGGCGAAACCGTACTGTTAGAATCGTTCCGTTCGTTTGCGTGCCAATTCCTTAGGGATCCACGCGTCCTCTGTACGTCGCATCTTGAAGAAGGATTTAGTGTTCCATCCTTACAAAATCCAAGTTTGTCAACAACTGTTGCCAGGGGATTATGCGCAACGTTTTAATTTTGCACAGCTCATGATTGAACAGTTGGATAACAATGACATGACATTGTTTATGAGTGATGAAGCACATTTTCATATACATGGATACGTCAATAAACAAAATCATCGATATTGGTCTCCTGTGAATCCCCAACAGTTGCATGAGCACCCCCTGCATACCCCGAAAGTTATGTGTGCAGTAGGCCCAACGATGATTATTGGCCCTTATTTTTTGAGGACGATGGAGAAACAACTACTGTGAATTCAGAGCGTTACATCCACATGCTGAACAACTTTTTTTTCCGGAACTTCGACGTCGACGTGTCCATCTCAGAACAGTGTGGTTCCAACAAGACGGAGCAACATCTCTTCGATGGAACTTCTTCAGCAAAAAGTCCCAGGACGTCTCATTTCATGTCATGGCGATATTCCATGGCCCCCTCGCTCCCCGGACCTGTCAACGTGTGATTTTTTTATGGGGCTACCTGAAATTGAAAATTCACCAAAGCAAGCCTCGGATCCTCGTCGATTTGAAGGAAGAAATAAGAAAAGTAACCCAAATTTCTGCACGGATGCTGGCCGATACGCAATGGGTTCATTTCAGGAGAGGCTTGATTCTTGCATTTCGACTCAAGGGCCCCATATGGCCGACATAGTTTTTAGAACGTAAATTTTGTTTTACTCAAAAAATAGCATGTATTTCTGAGTATTTTAATATAATAAAATATTTTTCCCATACTTATTTTGACTGTACTACTCATTTAAAAAACATTCGTTCTTTCTGGCGGACCCTGTATATGAGTAAGAATTTGCCAAATGAAATTAAGGTATATTACTATCCATGTTTTGGCAACATAGCAACTAGATGGAGAGAGTATGATAGTGATGGTGGTGTAGTGATGGGAATATTTATCGGAAATAAAAGGAATGACTACTTAACAATGAACTATTTTCATCATTAAAATAATGCAAAATTGCATTATTGCGATGAACAGTGTCATAGTAATTTACAGTGTATGTTATATTCATATAATTTTGAGCAATCTTTTGTGTAAACAAGAAAAAACAGCTTATAAAGCAGTAGTATATCACAGTATTACCACCCAAAATGCAACTTTGAAGGTCTATAGAATAGCAAGCAGAGGGTTCCTTAATGAAAAAAATGATATTTTCGTGCAACTTACATCCTAATCTTTCATTCTAAAATAAGAAATGAAATATTTGCGATATGCGCTAAAGTATAGTTCAGACAAATTATTAAGATCCGCCCAAGGTACGGACCCTCAATCTGTTTACTTATTTCATATGACGTTGAAGACGTAACTGCCAAGAACGGTGACTACAACTGTAGTTTACCTCAAGATAGCCAACCATATAAAATATGTAGTGTATCCTGGCATCCAATAAGGGATCTGAAAAATATTAGCACCATTTATGAGCCAGTAGCAGAACATGAACTTACAAATATCAGTCTCAGTCAGAAGTCTCATAGATGGCGCTATGGTCTTTTAGAATTCTTTTAGAATTCTTTTTGGGTGCTGGGAAACGGGGAAACAGTCTATGGTTGGTTATCTTGAGGTAGAATGCGTTAATCAATGCTCTAGATCTAGAATATTTCTACAGTCTGGTGATGTTGAATTGTCACTGCTTTCAGAGCTTACGTACGGCTTCATTGACCAACGAGCTGATGTTGAAGATTGATGTTCCTAGTGCTCCAACTAAGTCGAGACGACGAATCGCATCCCCAGTTTTTCCTAAAAGTAGGTCCCGAGGCCCCTCAAGAAGTCTCAGTAACTACCGAACTCCTCAAGAAAAGCGCAGTTGCACCCCCAGCTCTACGAAAAGGCGAAGTACCTCGCCAGGCTCTTTGGCTCCAGTGAAAGACGTAGACTACCAATCGTTGATTTCCTCAAAGAGTAAAGCAAGATCAGCGACTTCCGCTTTTTACACTGACATAAAAGCAGGTGTCGGTCACTACAGTTGCGTCACTAGAAAGACGTTTTCTGCGAAGAGCGAGAAATTTAAGGAAAATCCCGATGTCGACAGCAAACCAGGTGCGGAACACACTTGTACTTCAAAGAAAACATCTTCGGCGAGAGATTCTTACCATTGATGTATGATATTTCGAAGCACAAGACGTATCAAATACGACTCAGTGCTAATAAAAAGGATCTAATCTGAAATCACGTATTATTATTTCAACTTCTCCCATGTAGAGATGAACGTCACAAAATACATGTTTTGCGGCAAGTTAATTTTTTAAATGAATAGCACACCTTCCATCTACCAACACGTCGATTAATATTCATGCTACAGTGACTACAATCCTGTCCTTCGGGTACCTAGAATATCGCTACCTCCATGGTTCAACTTTTCCCAACAGCATCCGTAGAATAACCTCACAGATTGATGAGTGTATAATGTTTTGTGGGTCCGAGGAAAAATTTCGGATAGTCTTCTAGAGTAGTAGAATAAATACATTTCAACCTTAGAAGATTTCAACAGTTGTCTTGCGTGACCATGTTATCTTTGATATATGTTGATATTTGATGATTGATGTCAATCACAAAACACATCAGAACAATGTCAATATAACCTAGACTTTTGTTTTGGTGGTAAAAACGCAAAAATATTTAAAAACATGATTTTCCTATATTATGAGAGGAACTATTGAAGGAGAAAGTGGATAAAATAGTACTTTTGTTAAAGTTCATTATTCAAAGTTAAAATGAAGTCTAGTTTCATATTTCCTAATTTAGAAAACTTGTGGTAAGTATTTATTTTTCCTGGTTCTACAGCGGATCATATGCAATTAATCAACGTTATAGTGAACTTCCAGGAGCACCTAGTGATAAAATTATAGTAATATCAATCATCGGTAAGTCCCCACTTAGGAAGGCTGGACTTAAAGTGAAATCTGTAGGACGGATACCACTAACAAGTTATCAAAATGTTGAGGTAAGTAAGCTGATTACTATTATTCGTATCTAGAACTCAGGATTATCGCTTATGTAGCTTTAAATATTTACTCATATTTCATTAGTAATTAAGTCAAAAATGTCATCCCTGTTCAACTCTGTACATTGACTTGGAGGCATATGCAAAAGGTGGAAATTGTTTTTTCAAATATATGTATAATACATATATAATAACACTTTAATAGAATGAAATACCTCAGGCATTAAAATCAATGAATTACAATGAGCTTAAAAAACAAATTAAACAATTTATTTTAGAAAAATACTCACCTACATAGTTTGACCACTCACCTCGCAAAATGTTTCCTTTTCTGTCTAAATTTATTTATTTATTTAATATTTAATAGAAAATATATACAAAAAATATAAACAAACAAATATATAACAACAATATAATTCATCTTCATCAAGAACATTCTGATGACAGAAAGATGCATCTAGATGGTTCAAACCACCTGTACGTGCTTTCATCATCCAGGCTTAAAAAATGTAAAAAAAATCCTATTTGTTGGATAATAAAAAACAATAATCAACCCCAATATCCTGAACAATAAATCAATCATACTATGATACAAAAACATCATTAGAAAAACCTTTCAAATTGTGCAGCATTCTCAAAAATATATTCTTTGCAGCTGATGCTAAATGTTTTAATATTTTTCATCCTTTTCAAGTGTTCTGGCAGTGTTATATGAGCCCCTTCCCACTTCAGTTGGCCCAAATATTGAAATCTTAGTTTTTTCTTATCAAACACAAATAACAAAAATGTAGCAGGGTGTTATAGGTTTAAAATATCAACAATGAATATTTTGATAATATATAGTAGAAAACACCAAATTTATCACTCCCTTATCAAATTTGTAGCATAAAAATAACACATGCTGCAATTACAACATATCAACCTATTTTCATTTCAATGCAAAATAAGGCTATAACCCATAGGTGGCTGTGAAAAATAAAAGCAATGACAATTGTTTTTATTAATCACAGCTGTCAGAATACGTTTAAAATAGTTTTGGGTAGTTAAGGTTTTCAAAATAGGTAGAGGATTTTTTCATTTCTTGTTACGTTATTAATTTTAGCAGTTGTGTTCTGTTGGAAATATAATCCCTTAGTAAATCATAAGCTACTCCCTTAATACCACTGCTGTGAAGAATTTCGATTAGCTTATCGTGAGGAACCGTGTCAAAGCCTTAGCAAGGTTCAAAAAAACAACAATACTTTTGTTGCCATCATTCAGATTCTTGACAATGTCAGTTATTAATTTCTGCATAGCATCCACTGCACTGTAAAGAAACCCGAATTCATTATCTGATAATACATTATTAGTGTTAAAAAAATCCATTAATCGAGTTTTAGGACATTTTTCAAATAACTTTGCAACATTTGTTATTAAACTTATAGGCCCGTAATTTCCAATAGAAGTAGTGTCCCCTGATTTATGTATTGGGATAACTATTGACGTTTTAAACTCTTTCGGAATAATTCCAGTTTCCAAAATTAAACTGTAAATATGTAATAATGGTGTTAAAATTTCAAAATGAGTTTGCTTTATAGTTTCAACCTGTATGCCATCATAGCCAGGGGTACTATTACTTTTCAAAGATGCGATATGTTTTATCAGTTCATTCCTTGTAATGGGACTTGAGAAAATAGAATTCTGGATGGGGTGCACTAATTTACACTCAGATTGGGGAGTGGTAATTGTCCGCGCCAAGCTAACAACCACATCAATAAAACATTCATTACAAAAATTTACCATTTCAATAGAATCAGTAAACTGGTTGCCATCATTATCATTTATAGAAATATCAGATTGACCTTTAATTTAGTTTAGTTTAGTTAGTTTATTACGATGATCCTTATACTGATTTTCCAAAGACAAACTATAATTCGCTAGAAGTCTATTTTTCATTTTATCCATTTTTTTCACAGAAACAATAATTCTATTGCTTATCCATGGTTTTATTTTTTTGGGATTGATACTCTTGTGGCAATTGTTTCTGTTGCTTTCAACAGCAAGTTCCTGTAGGTAGTCAAAAACAACGTTACAGCTATTTCTGGATCATTCACACTAGTTACCAAATTCCAATCACAATCATTCAAAAATTCCTTAAATTTATTTATGTTTAGTTTGTTTCTTGTTACAACTTGCCCAACCTTTAAAATTCCAGAAGGTTGTGCTTTATTAGATATACAAAGCACTGTTGGACTGCGATCCGTTATTTCCTCATTGAGTATATAAGAATTTAATAATAAATGATTGGTTTTCAATTTTTGTCTAATAAATATATGGTTCAGGCAAGTTCCCGAAGACAGTCTAGTAGGTTTATTGATAAATGCGTTAAAGCAAAGAGAAGACATCATTGACAGATACTCTGTCACCAGGGTGTCCTTATTATCCAGAATATTTATGTTAATATCCCCCAGAAATATTTCAATATTAGCAGAACTATTATGCTCCAAATACTTTAATCATACATTAACATGTATGATTAAATTTTTATTATTTACTATTAGTATATTTAGGTACATTACTTTTATATATTTATAATATTATCTATATATTGTTGTAGTGTGCTATTGATGGCTCATATGATGAAGAAAATCAAATACTATACCTACATGTACAAACTTTATTAGACACAGATATATTGATAAGATACTATAAAAACTTGGAAGATAATCCAGAATATGAAAATGCACATTTCTTCTCTATTTATGATGAAGTCAAGAGTAGTTTTGCCAGATATTTGTTGTTTTTGTTCTATGTTAGCCATATTGTCATACTGTCGCATCCTGGGTATACCCTTGACAGTAGTTATATGCAATATTTTAAGGCTGTGGATAACTTAAGGTAAGATAACAGGTGCTTCAATATATTTTTTTTATTTTATGAGAGCATTTGTACTTTGAAGTTCATGTTTTAGTCAAAAAATGGTTGATAAAATCAAAGATGCACTTCAGTCAAATGACGAAATTGGCTCTGATTTAGCAGCAAATGGCCGATTTTGTACACCAAGGCTAGTATTCTATTTTGAAAAATGCCCAAAAAATGTTCAGAATTTGAAAAAACTTGAACACAATCTAGAAGACAAAATATATCATATTTTGAGAAAGACACGAATAATCAGCACTATGGGGTGAGTTTTTCTACATTTTTTTATGGAGCTAAAGGTTTTGTCTTATTAAGTGTAAATGGCAACACTGCCTTAGCAGTATTTCAAACTATTTTTGACCAGTCCTTTCCAATGAAAACAGTAAAAGTGACAAAAAGGATCCCTAACCCACATCTTTCTCAGGAAACGAATAATAATATCAAGGAATATAGGGACGGATTGGATGTTCTATATGTTATAAGCAACAGTGACAATTCCTATAAATCTTGCTATAACAAAGCCAGAAAGGAGTACAACCTATTGTTAATTAGTTACCCAATATAAGTCATATCATAGACGTATACAAGAGTCAGATAATAAATCAAAATGTGTGTGGAGTATATTAAAGGAAATAAAAGGTCAAATAGAGAGATGACTGTTGTACCTGGTAATCATGAAGTCATAGCAAATACTTTGAATGATTTCTGTATTAATGAAGTAATTAAAATATTACCACAGGCACCAATACCTAACCATTCTGACTTTTTAGACCATGTGCAAGTGTATGCTACTAGAATATGTTAGTGCTCTAGAACTAGCAGAACTGGGCAAAATACTTAAAAATAAAATGAGTAGTGGTGATGATGGCATTCCAGCTAGTATTTTAAAATATTGCTTGGAACAGATTCTGGAACCTTTGGTTCACATAATAAACAACTAACTTAAGTATTTTCCCTGAAAAAAATAATTTTACCTATATATAAAAAAGGAGATAATAGTGACTTGCTAAATTATAGGCCAATAAGCTTACTTTCTTTTGCGTCACAACATGGGTTTGTAAAAGGGAAATCCATTAACACGGCGATCTATTCTTTCAGCCACAAAATCATAGAATTCCTTGAAAATAATATGACACCACTGTGTCTATTTTTCGATCTCTCCAAAGCTTTTGGTTGTGTGGATCATTCTCTTCTATTGAATCAACTGGAGGCATACAGCATGAGGGGAAGTGCTTGCAACTGGATTAAGTCTTATCTGACAGATCGTAAGCAATTTCCATTACAAAGAATGAAATATCAGCCGTTTCATCACAGTTAGCGGTAGAAAGAGGTATTCCACAAGGTAGCGTCTTAGGACCTCTCCTCTTTTTGATTTTTGTGAACGATCTGTGTGCTAGTATTACAAGCCCAAATAATGTGGACGATCCAATATGCTGATGACACTAGTGTACTGGTCTCTGGCTAAGATTTCAAACATTTAGCTGAAAGTACTTTGAGCCTCTGAGAGAAAGCGTTTTTGTGGTTTGCTCGTAATGGATTATCCCTGAATACCTCAAAAACAAATGCGATTGTTTTTAAGCTAACGAAAAAAATCGACGCTACAAACATAACTTTAGCCGAAAGAATAGAAGTCCTGCTGACAGACTGTGGGAAATTCTTGGGAGTTCATATTGACCAAGCACTTTCCTGGGCTAAACAGATAGAACATCCAAAAAAAAGGTTAAACGACGAATGTTATAGCATTAGAGTACTAAGTAAGTACATAGACCTCAAGACACTAAAAATGGTATATTACGCGAATTTTGAGTCCATTGCACGTTTTGGAATACATTTTTTCGGACATAGTAGCCATACCAATAGGATCTTTCTAGTGGAAAAGCGAGGGCTGAGGTGCATCCTGAAAATATCCTCTAGAGAGACTTGCAGAGTAAAATTTAAGAGTAATAAAATTGTAACTGTAGCCGCAATATATATTCAAGAGATTCTAATTTTTACATTTAAAAATATTGACAATTTTACCGGTAACCCACGAAGTCACTATAACACAAGAAATATAAATATAAATCTGTATCCAGTCCATCATCTCACGCTTACCGAAAAAAAGTTCCATTACAGCTGCACTAAAATATATAATAAGTTACCGCAAGAAATTAAAAGGTTGTCGGATATAAAAGAATATAAAAAGAGTATTTGTCAATTGTTAATGCACTTAGAACCTTCAAGAATATTTTGAAATATAAAATCTGCATTATGTTATGTTGTCTGTTTGTTTTTTCTGCCTCGATGATGCTGTGACGTATATTTCACCTAATAGTGTGTAATACACAGTAATCATGCACTGTTTTTTTGAAATAAAGATTTATGATTGTTATTATTATTTGAAGGACAGTACCAAGCCGCTGTTGCCATTTACACTGACTTACACTCCCTGTGGTGTTTTTATTTATTTTTAGAGGATCTTTGTTTGCCATCCCTTTAAATGACGAGTTTGTGCATATTTCTCAAGAGCTTGCTACAGATCCATTAGATAGTATGGTAAAAGGTTTGTTACAGGACTGTCAACCTGGAGGTGCCATGCAGGTATATTAGCAATTTTTTACATTATACATCCACCAAAAAAAAGCATATAAATAAAAAGACAGTATGAGTAACACTACGAAATTTCTTAGTGTTGTCTTTGCACCTAGATGAGAATATTTTAAGGCTTGCCCACTAATACAAATCTAAAAAAGTAGTGTATATATAATATGGTTTTGACATTGTCCTCGTATTTCTTGTCAACCTGCTTGACCAACTTTTTTAGATTGAAGTACCATACTCCAGTCAGTTTCACCGTGAAGGGAGGCTAAAAAAATTCCTTCAAGTTTACATCCAACAAGCTAGAACCAAAGGATTTGATGATTGTGTCAGTTCTGGGAGACATCAGCATTCTCCTCCATCATATTTTGAGGTAAATATGCTTTATGGGAGGTTTATATACGCTTTTAATAGGCATAATCGTAATCTGTAATCATAAACATAAGCATAAGAGTTGAAATTTTATATAAATTGTTATAATCGAAATCATAGTTGAAGTTCATAACTTTTAACTCATAATTATGCTAATGGCTGAAACGTCATTTTAATAAATCTATAAGTCAAAACTGTCACCTAATCTACTACTATTACTTGATAACTATACCTTATTTCACGAGTATCCATCACGGTAGAATGACAGACGATTATCTAGTAATATCTCAAAACTACCCATATTGGGACAGGACACATAATTCTGACGGATCCGTCAATGCCAGGTAGACAGAGCCATATTTTGTTTTGATTTGTGTACGCCACAGATTCATTTTGTACTTGCTAAAAGATATTTTATTTAGAAAAGTCCATTTGCATACAAAAAACAAAACCCTACAAACAAGTTTTACTACGTTTACACACGATTCATTATTGCCAACGTTGCAGACTAACACAAAAATGTCACTTGCTGATCAGTTGTTCACCTCAGTAAACTTCAAAGCTTAATGAAAAGTCGTGAAATAGGGTAAACTGACAGCATAGCTAACCTACAATTAGACAAGACATGACAGAACTGATACTGTGACCTAAACCCAATTTCACGAGTATCCATCACGTTTTGACGCCTACAGAGGTGAACAGCAAGTCACATTATGTAATTAGTCTGTAACGTTGAGAATTATGAATCGGCTGTAAATATAGTAAATCTTGCTTGTAGCGTTTTTTTTTTGTATACAGATGTACTTTTCTAAATAAAAGAGTTGTTTAGCAAGTACAAAATTAATCTGTAGCGTACAAAAAGACAAAACAAAATACCGCTCCGTCTACCTGGCGTTGAGGGATCCGTCAAACTTGTGTCATTTGTCGATATGGGTAATTTTGAAATATTACTGAGCAGCTTTCTAGTGTTTTTGAATTGAGAGCTGTATGCACCCGGAGTGTGATGCTCCTGAACTGCTCTAGTAAATGTGTACAAGCACGCGACGATAAAAACCTAACCTGTTTTTTGATGTTTCGCTTTGATATTGACAATTTGTATCACACCGCCAAACAATGAAAATGTAAACACATTTTGCCTTCATTTTCAGAAGCATTGTCTCTTGTGATCTTTATTATTCAGGAACATCTCAAATGTACGTTGTGAGCCTGGGTCATAACATCAGTTTTTTTACCATCCTCCATTGTCGGTATCGGTTTAATGTGAGGTTAATGCAAAAAAACGATGAAAACACATAACCTAAAAATCTTGATTCTTGACACATTGTCATTTTCGTTATCCCCACTATTTCGGAGCGTATAACACCGAATAAAAAGCTGGTGCATGAGGGGCAGGGGATTTTAAAAATTAGTACCTCAGGTGCATGACACTCTACTAGAGCACTGGAATGGTATTGACAGGTGGTGGGTAGCTCCGAGCTCCCAGTAACAGAAATGAGGCACTGGAAACCGGCTCTGGATAATCAGCCGTTATTCTACCGTAATGCATACTCGTGAACACAACATCTATCACCGAATGGAGAGTGTTCCAACATTATTATTTTGTTTATTGTTCAATAAAAAACTTTGTATACTGAGATTTTCTTTTTTTTTCTATATTAAGCACAACAAAAAAGTAAGGCTATTTTCTGAATGCTGTATTATCTTTCAAAAGCAAAAAAAACTTCTTATGAATATGATTAAGTCAGTTGTATACTAAGTGACATATAAATCCGAACACCCAGTTTAAATGGTTTTATTTTAATAAAATTTTGTATAAGTACTTAATGAAGCATAATAAGTAAATGATAAAAATTTCAAAATGATTGCACTGCTTTAAAGCCCTTTGACCTTTAATAATGTGTGGATGCACCCTGATGTGCTACGCATTCTCCAACGCGCCTAGGCATGCTTCTGATCAGGTGGTCAATGTCCTCCTGTGGTATCTCATTCCAGGCAACCACCAACTCCTCTCGAAGTGCTTCTAGAGTCTGAGGAGGACGTTGCAAATTGAGCAATCTCCTACCCATCATATCCCACACGTGGTCAATTGGGGATAAGTCGGGAGATCTTGATGGCCATGGTAACAATGTGACATCATTATGTTGAAAGAAGTCTATTGTGACTCTTGCAACATGTGGTCGGGCATTATCTTGTTGGAAAGTTGGATCTGCCAGGGTGTCAAGATAGGGTAAAAGATGGGGTTCTAGAACTTCGTGGATATAACGCTGCGCGTTCATGTTACCTCTGATGAAGATTAAAGGTGACCTGGAACCATAAGCTATAGCACCCCAAACCATAACTCCAACAGTGTGATGAACATGTCTTTCAACAAAAAACTGTGGATTCCTCCTTTCACCACGTCGCCTTCTAACCCTGGCACGGCCATCGTGCATGCCTAAACAAAATCGAGACTCGTCACTAAAGACAATACTGTTCCATTCCTGATCCCAGAGTGACCGTTGTCTGCACCACTCAAGGCGATTACGTCGGTGTTCTCGAGTTAAAGGGAGGACCCAGTGTGGCCGGTATGAAAACAAGCCAAAAAATTTTTAATTGGTCGGTAAACACTTCGCATGCCAATAGGTCTTCCGTGTTCTGCAAACCATTCATTTGCAGTGGACCTGGTAGTGGAGAAACGGTCCCTTAAGGCCAATAATCTTAGGCGGCGATCTTCACGGTCTGTTGTTCTACGGCGGCGTCCAGTGCCCCTTGCTCTTTGCGTCTATACTTCTTTGCACTCTAACTGCAATTGCCCGAAAAGAAAGTCCAGCTTCCCGAAGTCCCACTATACGGCCCCTATCAAACTCACTAAGTTGACGAAATCGTACAGGTCTCCGTACTCTAGGCATCGTAACCGATCGTAAAGGATGTCAAGAACCAAAATCCGCCAACGTTGATCCTTTACTGCGGCTGAAATATTCATTTTTAGAGCGTTAGTGAATTAAAAAAAAAGCAGTATAAAAACCGGAATGTCCAACTGATAAGGCTGAAAATTTTTTCACTTGTTATTTACAGTAAGATAAATACATTCACCAACTTTTATTAAAATAAAACCATTTAAACTGGGTGTTCGGATTTATATGTCACTTAGTATATAAACAGGCCCCAAACTTACAACTGTGTCTACGCTTACGACTATAATTATTAAAAGGTTGTATAAACTTGTAATTAGAAGTCCCATTTAGGATAGGTTGAATCATACTGTCAGCTGCGGAATTGACCGCATTCTTTTTTTTCAGTTACCTACATTAAAGGAGTGGATAGATTTTGCTAAAATATTACATTCAATCACCATTAAAAATAAGCTTGTCTCTTCATTGTGTATCGACACTAGATTTTCCGAGCAACGTTGCTTGAAAGTACTGCCGTTAGCATTAGCTAGGTACCAAGAAGGGCTTCCTTCACACTATGCCAAATCTGGGCATGAAGCAAGGTAGGTTAAAAAATGATTCAAGTAAATCATCTTTGTTCGTTATACCATAGTATCCAGATATCCAGAACAAGATTTTCACCTCCACGGTGAATCTTTGAATTGTCGCCGTCCAAACGTGTATGTATCGCGTTGTGCCCACATCGCTGTCATACACAGAGCGTGGCGTCACCGACAAAATTATGCTTCGTATCTGGCAAGATACTAATGTGATGCAGTATAGCTAGCAGATCTGCATTATAACAATTATTTGTCACACAAAAATGCATGTTTCAGGTTAAATATGGCATTTGCTTTGTTGAAAACTCAAGCTAGAGGTCCGGCATATCCTCAGTATGCTCAACAGCTAGAACTAGAATGTCAAGCATTCTGGGAAAATGGTAGACAGCAGTGTGAAGCTGCATCTATGATGGGAAATCCATGTAAACTTCCGAAACATGGAAGTGACAAAGAACATTTTAGTGGATTTGTTTATAAGTGTAAGTAAAGTATTAAGATACAGATCAGTCAAAAGTATGGCCAATCTAGTAAGCTGTATTCCAATCACATTGCAATACGTAGTGTCAAAGCCAACTGAGTATTGTGCATGAAAATATTCGTCGGGCCGCACATCATTCAAAAAGTGCTGCCAGTCTAGTAGGGTGCACATACGAAAAATGCTTTGTTATTGTACTGATTTTAGAATTCTGTAATTATTAATCATTTTAAATCTTAGTGCTTCGTATGGTTCTTGACAGCTTTTTCGTGTGCTGTTTAAATTTTCTCGTGGGATGAATTTTCTTTCTATGCCAAGGGCATAAAGCAAATATTAATTTTCTCGACTTCAAATCAGACTTATTTCAAAATTTCAGCTGCGTGTGACTGCGGCAGAAAAATATGTCCAAGAGAAGACCCCTATACTATCAAACAAGCCAACTACACGTTCTACCAGCAAGCGGCAAAGGAATGTCAATGCTCGAAACTAGAACGACTAACCTTGCCAGTGTTCGAACCGTCAGTGAAGGAGTTCAAAGAAGCAAACTTGAAAGAATGGGAAGACACTGCATCAGAATCTTCTGATAACGCCGAGAACTACGCGCTGTGTGATCTGCCGAGACATTGGTCGGCACCTAGTACTGTAGAGTACTTGCCAGGGATGTTGACTCTGAGTTCTCCAGCTGGGTTGTTGCCCGAGTTTCAGAGCTGGTCGCTTGTATGTCTTGGCGCCTCTTCGCTTTACAGCCACAATTTAGGTATCTATTTTTTCTTTCAATTCTAATGGATTGTTTGAACTAAATATCTCCTGTCCTATGTTTATATGAAATTATTTTTAATTTTTCAACATGTTGAACCTGCCCTTCCTCACAACGCTCTAAACACAATGTATGTGTAGGTGTCCAAGGCAATGTAGCCTCTAAATGGATGAACTGATCTTTATTTTTCTTTTTTGTTTGAAAGGTAGTTAAATCGAGTAGGTTCTTTTCTTTAAAAAATGGGAAAATCTGTTCACTGTTTTCATTTAATTTTTTTAATTTTTAGTTCATATTTGCATCTTTTCAGGATTATCCGAATCCCACCATCCTGGTTTTCTCAGCTCTACAAATTACTTGTTGCCATGGGACGTTACTGTGTATCCAAATTCCAAGCAGAATTGGCCTCACGTTAATAAATACGCTATCAGAGGTAGAAGAGGACGTCAAACAGGCAGTTTGCCACAGTTTACTGTCAAAGTTTTCATCGGTGTTGAGTATGAGTGTACTTCTGGTCATAGGTAGGCGAAGAAAGGTGCTAGGTTATTTCTTTAGAGATATGAAGCATTTTTTACCATCCTGCCTTCTCACTTTTGTACAAGTCCCTCAATGCATAACCACAGCTATTACATTGCAATTCCTTATCTCAAATTGCGATTTCTTAAAGCTACTACACACAAGCCGGCGGCAATGCCACCGGGTTTATGCCGAGCGGCTATGCCGTCGGCAATACAAGCCGCGCAAAGCCGCCAAGCATCATTCCGGTTGTGACAGTCACATAGAACGCTAGTGAAGTACATATTTTATGGTTGGTTGGTTAAAATGAATAAGGAAATACAAAAGCACGAGAAGGTTTGGGTTGCACCCAAGTTTACAAAATAGAAAATGGCGAAACGGTACTGTAATGACAGAAGAGTATAAAAAAGATGATGTGGGGTGTCAGCGTTTGCGCAATAGCATGTTTTTTGGGTTTCTGTACATCGTCTATGCCTGCACCAGATTTGTGCAACTGTTCGAACTTCTTTTTTTCCCGAAAATAATGAGAGGTTAAAGTTTTTAACTTTCTCTCTACTTCGCCTTTATCAAAGTCAAATACACTTGCAATTATGTTCAGTGCATCGCTTGTTCCTATTCTTATAGTCTGCATTTCTGGGATTCCATAATATATCATTTTCATGAAATTTTTCAATTAAGAGCAGCACAGCTTCGTCGTCCCAATTAAACGACATTTTAATTTGTTTAAACACACAAACCGCACAACACTACCGCTCGAATGCCAGCAAGTGACGCCGGCATGCCGGCAAGCCGCGTAACCCGCCGGCATACCCCGGCGGCAATGCCGGCGGCTCCTTTGCGCGGCAAGGCCGGCGGCTTTCTATGCCGCCGGGTGTACGGAGGCTTAGTCGGTGGCTTGCCCGGCGGCACTGTGTGTAGCAGCCTTTAGGTTTGCTCAGAATCAATGATCAAATAATACTGAACTTATACTAACTTATACTTACTCGTTGTTGCGGAGAGTAGCAGCTAAATGCTACCTTTAAGTTGGGTTGTCACTGCGCGTCGGATGAAACGTTTCGGAGTGAGAGGTGAAAACAAGGTGAGCCACCAGTTTACCCGAGACAATGATGCCGGTAACTCCGAGTGCAGTATTAGCATTTGCAGCAATGACGATGATTTTTTTGAGGAAGAAAAAGAAAAAAGTAAAACAAGACGCCGATGGTGGAGCAGACAAATATTTCATCGGAGATCTCAATACGGAAATAGACTACTGAGAGACATGACAGCTGAATCTTGCGAAGATATAATCAGGAACTTTACTAGGATGACTACACAAGATTTCGACCATGTGATGTCACTGGTCGATCCCAAAGTAAGAACCTCTCGCTCCTGTAGGAGCCCATCAAAGTTTTCATTTTTGATTTTAAAATATTGACAGGTTGCTGTATTTTTGCACTCGTTTCCTTCCATGCGTCCTCTCTTAATTTTGTTATGATGCGCCTTATCTTTGGGGTCCCATAACAATCGGTAATTTTGGTAACGTTCGATGAGGCGTAAGCTGTTCTCTCGATCCATTTTTAGCGCGAAAACCCACGGTCCACGTGCACACTGTCCGTAACACGGAAGGTGAAGCTCTTTGATGTGCGATCCAAAACCAACTGGCGTTGGCTCACATCGAAATATTCGCGAAACAAATTTCGGGGGAAGTATAGACGATGCGAGACTTGTTTCGCGAAACAGTTTCGCGCAGTGACAACTCAGCTTTATACTCGGTCATATTTACTCCGTCATGTCTTCTTCCAAAAGTATTCTCCATATACTTTTTTACGAGCATGCAACCCTTAAACCATGCTAGCGAAATGCGGGTTGCAGTAGTTCAGGCAAATATAAATAAAATGACCGTTGAGTGATTCCGCCATAGGTGGCGCTCACGCCGTGTAAGCTGAACAGCCTTAGTACCTAAAGTGTCTTCAAATGTAATTTTCTCCCCGTCAAAACAAACAAAACATTATCGTCCGTCGCCCCATTATTATTAGTGAATAATTGTTTTATGCATGGAAAATTCCCATCAAAATTAAAGATATATACAAATATGCGGCCGATTAATGTCTTGCCAGATGTCGAGGAGCTGCTCGAAGGGATAATACTCGAACAGATCATTGAATTTATTGGAGAAAACAAGACTTTGACAACATTTGCTGAATGAATGTACTGTAAAAGTATTTTTAGATTATAAAAGGGCGTTTGAGACTATCGATAGTGAAAAATTGAATTGAAGTGATGAACTTTCATTACTATGGTTTTAAAGTATCAGTATTAAAAATTTTACAAAATTATTTAGTAAATAGAGGTTAAAAAACTAAAATTGGAAATATTATGTCAAGCGTTAAAAAAATATGTCAGTAGGAGTGCCAAAAATGAGTAACTTAAGCCCATTACTGTTCATTATTCATTACTGTTCATTATATTAAAAGGATATCTCTGACATTTTAGAACACTGCAGCATTTAAATATTTGCGGATGATACATTGATATAAACATTAACACAACTGTTAAATAGTGATATTAAAAAATGAATCGGTTAAATGCTAATAGACACAATTTACATACCAATAAAACAAAGTGTACTCGTATGTCAATAGGGAAGCATTTAGGTGACAATGCAATTAGGCTCATGATTAATGAGGAAAAAATTGAAGTAGTCGAGTCTATCAAATTTCTAGGTATATATGTGGATAGTAAGCTACTGTTTCAAGAGCATAATGAATACATTATTTCAAAAACTATAAAAAAAGACACAGAGCTTCCCATAACCTCAGTATGTATTCCACAAAATTGAGTATAACACCATAATTCTTCTATTTTTTATATGCTGTTCAACGATTTTGTTTGCAGCAAATGAAAACATATATTCAAAATTACAAAGTCTACAAAATAAAGTAATGAGAATTATTTTAAATAAACACATATGCTAAGATTAGATCTTTGTTAGATGAACGGCAGTGGTCGATTGTAAAAAATGTATATGTTATTTAGTTCTCATTTTCATATTCAAATTATAAATCACTTATTACCACCACATTTAGAAAACTTCATTATCGTAACTACGAAAATGTAGAGCGATGTGATTCTAACCGACAAGAAAGTAAAATTACAGAAATTTGATTCAAATGTGTAAAAGAATCATTATACAAAATTGACATTGTAGCATTAATGGTAAAGAAATGTTCAACAAACATACAAACAAATCAAGACGGCATTGGGTGGTCATGTTTGATTTGATGCTGAAGAAATGATATTTGAACAGAGTAAGTGCGAATTCTGCAATCGAAGCTTTTACATTGCGATTTTTTATGTTATAACCATATCAGCCAAATGTGTTTTATTCACGTTTGAAATAGTCTATTCTTAATCATTACAGGTTTATGTTAGCCGCTCCTGATAGAATCTTAAAAGCAACACCTGGTAGTATAGTCAAAGATACTGGCCACAAAATAGCAGAAAGCGATTTGCCATTATATTATCCATGTCCCTGTCGGGGCGGAAAGTTGGCGCAACTGTTGAGGCTCCACGTAGTTACGCCTAAAGCGCCAGTCAGTTGTACGCTCAATCCCAAGGTATTTTCTTCTATGAAACTCTTTATAGAGACCTCCATACCCCGTATTCAAGGAAATATAATTAGCAACAAGCGCAGCGACAATATATTCAAACGGGATCGTTAACTTAAATCTTTCAATTACAAGCAACTTCAAGTTAAATTTTCAAGCTAAGTTTCAAATTACCGAACACTAATGTTAACTAGTTAACAATGCCAAGACACCCCTCCACTCTCAGTTATTTTTTTTTCTCTGGCTTTGGTAGCTAGGCAACCAGGCGACTAGGCCCGGCAGACCTACTGGCCCCCTGACTTTAACCATTGACACTGATTAACGTATTCTACGTGAAGATATCCAACTAGTCGTACATACTGTATGCCTATTTTAGTTGGCCATCTTCAGTTGGGATATGTTAATCAGTGCCTGAAGGTAACCAATTACATTAGGCATCAGAGAGGTGCTAAAGAGGGATTGAAGCTTCTAGGGCCATCTGGGAGACAGTAGCAGAACCGAACAATCTAACTCTTCAACGTAGATTTCTAAATTCATTGTTGTGTTCTGCTTCTGTCTCATAGATGGCGCTTGATCTTTCAGATTCCTTTCTGGATGCCGGAATACAGTATATGATTGACTATCTTAAGGTAGACTACGAAAATCAATGGTTGTTGCTACTGTTGACTCGTTTAACTATCCTAGAGAATAGTGTAGATGATAATAAGGTTTGTACATCGGATCGAAAGTTAAAATAGGCAAACTATGACTTTACCTCTGAACCATCTGAAGTGCTTCTATTTGGTTTTGATTGGTCACTTTGCAGTAGTTATTTCAAATTTTCAGTAGATTGTGTCCTTTCTCGGTCCAGGTAGAGTGTTTGGTGCCTCTCAAATGCCTATTTTAATTGGGCATCTTCAGGTATTGATTAAAGTATGCCACCTGACGATAGTCAATTAACATAAGTATTAGAGAGGCACCAAAGAGAGATTGAAAATCCCAACGCCATATGTGAGACAGTAGCAGATTCAGACACACTAACCCTTTTCCAAGCAGACTTTTAAATTCAGTGTGTTCTGCTACTGTCGCTTAGATGGGTCTTTCAGATCCCTTTCTGCGTGCCGGAATACTGTATATAGTTGGTTATCTTCAGGCAGAATATACCCTATTTCACGAGTATCAATCACGCTTTGCCGTCTACTGATGTAAACAGTTGGTCAGCAAGTATCATTTTTGTGTTAGTCTGCAACGTTGGCAATAATGGATCGGGATAAATCTAGTAAAACTTATTTGTGGCGTTTTGGCTTTGGTATGCAAATGAACTTTTCTAAATAAAAGAGCTGTTAGCAAGTACAAAATGAATCTGTAGCGTACAAAAAACCAACACAAAATTCGGGTCTGTCTACCTGGCGGATATGGGGAATTTTGAGATATTACTAGGTAATCAGCTGTCATTCTGTCTTCAATGAATACTCGTGAAATAGGGTATACGTTAATCAATGTATAGAGAGAGTCCGTTTTCGTTTTTAAAGAACATCGTTTAGATAAATAAATATACTTTATTCTCTGAAGAATACAATCATTATTGATGACAAAGCTAAATTAAAACTAAACTATAACATAATTACATATGTGGATCTTAAGTAGGTGCATTGTAGAACTTGCACAAGGTATAATATGGTTTACATATTAAACAGTTTTTAAGTTCAAATTGTTAATTCCTTCAGGGAGACACATTCATTTTCAGACAGATTATAAATTATTGAGTCTCTCACAAGTGATGTTCTGGTACTACTAATTTAAGGTCTTGTTTTCGTCTAATATTGTGACTTATTTTTAATGATTCAAATTTAGACTTATTTTTGAAAATAAGAGTTGCTGTTTCAAAAATGAACAATAATACCAGAGTCATTACTTTAAGATTTACAAATAAATCCCTGCAAGTAGCTCTAGGGTTGCTTTTAGTTATACAATATATGTAATAGTTCGTTTTTGTGACACCAACCTTCCAAGGGAACCCTCAACGTCCCCGAGAGGTGGCATTGCTGACAGCTAAACTCAGTGGTGGAGGGGTAGTCGCAATCATAAGAGGTTGGCAGCGCCACGGCTTTCCGTTAGGTTCGGTATTTTCTGGTGACTAATTAATGTTTTTAAGAGCAAATGTTTGACGGACCGTTCTGACACAATTGATGAAGCTGTTATAAAATTTTAAATTTATTCACAGGTACAACCAGCTGTGGGTTCGCCTATTTTCGTAAGTACCCTGGATGGTCCCATAAAGTTGACTCAATCGGCATACTGGATCATGAGATTACCGTACGTTTATGTAGCTGATAAACAACATTACTCGCAAAATCCTTCTGCCAAACTTCTCAAAGGTGTATTTGGTATTACTGAAATTGATCAATAAATGCGTAAGTGACTATGTTTGTGTTTCTTATTCATACCTTTTTAAACACTATATGGTCTTTACTAGTTCGCAGCAGCGCCCGTTCATTTTGCATTAGTGTATAGGGGATTGGTTTTGGAGAGAGAGAAATGCAATATTCAAAGTATTGAAACATACTTTGGCAACGGACATTTTATTCAACATGTTAATGCAACAATAAATATTAAAACATAATCAAAATAAATAGTACGTGAAGTCTATCCCACAGCCTGTGTGGCTTATCTTAACATATGTTCTAGCCCAATAACTAATTGTTCACAGTATTATGCTTGATACAAAACAAAACAAATCTAAATCAAGATGATCACACTAAGAAAACGAATGTCAGAATTTGTTTTACACCAGGACACCCCGGGTGCTATGAGGATACCAAAGAAACTTCGTTAATCAGATTTTTGAATTGCCTACCCGTAGACAGAACTGGGAAAAGCCTAATCTTGTAGATTGCTCCACAATCTGGACACCCTATGAATGAAGGAGCCGTCATATCGGCCAGCTCTGGATGTACGAAGTTCAACACGGTTAGAATGGTAGACCGAAGTCAGGCGGGTCTGACTGGCAGGTAGATCGCGCGGCGGCATCATGGAGGAGAACTCTGAGAAGCAAAGCCCGTTGGTGTAGCGGCAGAAGAAAGCTAGAACGCGGACGGCCCACCAGTGCGAAAAGGTCCCGAGACTGCCGCGCAGGCAGCATCATCGAAGCGAGCTCTAGGGAGCAGACCCCGTTGGTATAGCGGTAGATGAGGTCTAGATCACTGACGGCCCGCCGGTGCGAAAGGGTCCCGAGACTCTGTTAGAGAAGAGTCACCGATCAGTCGGACAGCTCTTCTCTGAATAACATCGAGCATGAATAACGCAGTCGGGGCGGCAGCACCCCAAACGTGTGTGCAATACTCAACGCTAGGTCTTATCTGAGCCTTGTATAGAGTGAGGAGGTCATGTCGAGAAAAGTGCTTCTTAGCCCTAAACAAATAGCCTAGCTTTTTCCCAACAGGTGCCGCTATTGACGAGATGTGTTCCTGCCAGATCAAGTCCTCGGTGATCTGGACTCCGATCAGCCAAAATGAACGACTCTTTGGCATCCAACGTGACCGGATGAGAGCTAAGACGCTTTTTGTTCGTCAAGGTACAGTACTGTGTTTTGGAAGCATTAAACTGTACAAGATTGTTGCGTCCCAAGCAGTGATAACCTCCAGGTTTCTAGTCAGAGAGGAAGTCGCTGCTAGTCTTCTTTTTTTCCAGCTTGCCGGCAGAGATCGGCTTGTCGCTCTGAATTCCTGTATGTAGAGTGCTGCCATCAACAAAGCTGTGAATTGGAGTGATCATACAGGAAAGGAGGTCATTGATACGTATGAGGAACAGTGTCGGAGCCAAGACTGATCCCCAGAGAAAACCCGCGTTGACGTTGTGGGATGAAGGGATATCTTACGGCCAGAGAGAAAGTCAGCCACCCATCTGCAAAGTTTCTTTGGGAGGCCATAGGATGGAAGTTTGCATCAAGAGTGCAGGGTGCCACGGCTAATCGGCATCATAAAACTAGATGAGTTTACTCCACAATCGCTGGTGCCGGAAACTATACTGTCGCTAACCAAGCCGTGACAGTCGAAGTAGTTCTGAAGCTCGCAATACTTATAACAGTGCAGCCCTGTAGTTATAGGGTTCGGTCTTAGATTCCTTTTTTGGGATGGGTTGGAGATGAACAAATTTACAGTTTTCTGGGAAGGTGCCGGATTCATAAGATATCTGGAAGAGACTCGAAGGAACTGGAGCAAGCAGCGTTGCACACCTCTTCAATACAACAGTAGGAATCAAGACCAGAAGCTCTTCACTACAATGGCAGGAATCAAGCCCGGACCAGAAGCTTTGTTGATTTCGAGTGACAAGAGCTCTCGTCTAACGGTCTTATGTCTGAATGTTACTTCCCGCATAGTGTAGAGAACCCTTTGAATTGACGGCACTCGGGCGTTGGACGTGCATGGTGGAGTTGGCAGGGAAAATCTGGGCAAGCACTTCCGCCTTAGCATTTGAGCCAGTTACAATCGTTCCATCCAGGCACGTAAGTGGTGGAAGGCTACTCTGCGAAAAGTTTCTTTCAAACTGCTTGGCCAGCTTCCAGAAAGACCGACTGCCATTGCGATACATTACTCTGTCCCCAACTTTTATATAGTGCTGGTCTTTGGCGGACCGCTTCGTTATAATTGTTCCTGGACCCGACGTCGGCTTGTCTGTTCGCTACAGTAATGTTTTGTAAGAAGGTTCTGTGCGCCGTGATCTTCTGCTGACAAGCAGTGTCACACGATTTGTTGAACCAGTCGTTGGACCCTGGTTTAGGCACTTTCACTATATTTATGAGGGATGTCTTCCTCCATCCCAACGTGGATAATTTCGGTTATTGATGAACAGACAGCCGCCGCATCCGCGTCAGCGAAACAAACAACTCTGCAATGAAAAGTAGAGAAGAAGTCTCTGAACCCTTCCCAGTCGGTATGTTCATAATACCAAATTTTGCGACCTGGGCGAGTTTCTACTGCCAAAGCGGATTCTGACCGAAACCTAACCTCCACAACTCCGTGATCTGAGATACCTAGGGGAGACAGGACAGCAGTGCTGTAAGCGACATGATACGTGGTCAGAAAGAGATCCAGCAGGCTATTGGCGTGAAACAAAACGCGAGGAAAAAAGTAGGGCTCGACACCAGCTGAGTCAGTCCTTGGGAAATAGCGAACGCTCCCACTGCACGACCTGCTGCATTGGTCTTGTTTCAACCCAACCAGTGCTGTAAAGTCTAGTTCTAGAAATATGTTAACATCCTCTTGACCTTTCATTTCAATTATGTCTAATGACTGCAATGTCCAACTAAAAGTCTAATATTTGTATTTAGTATGTGCGCAAGTAGGTAACGAACGCTACCTACCAATGGTTTGCCAAAAAGGTTTTCATCTTTATCCCATACGATGAAGATCACCCTTACGCCTTCTGGCTCATAACTGCTATACGTTCTGCGCTATACACAGAGACAATCAATTCACTGTCGACCCGTCAAGAAATCGGAATACGAAGTTTTCACATGTCAAATCAGCAATGGATTTGCTCCTGACCGTCTGTCTCCAAGACATATACGGCACTGATGAGTTGCTAATGATCACGAAAGAGCGCTGTCTGCATGGTTACAGAGACGGAAATCCAACTTGTCCATTTCAGCCAAAAATGTTACCTTTTGTAAATCTGAACGTTTACTCGGGTTTTTATGTATATAAAACAATATAGGTGGAAATTGCACAAGACTCTGGGCTGACATTTCTGATACTTTTCTATCGGTAGCATGAATTTGCATAAAGGTATTGTAAAAACTACAGAAACTTCTCAAAGTACAAACTAATTTGAACAAATATACTCGGAGATTGAATGCATAGTTGCTGATTTTTTAATAACCAGGTTGACTACTTATTATACGATTCATGGATAATCTTTACACATTCGGTCCTGGGGTCTTAGCACCTCTACCGGAACCACTGTTTCCTATAACTGTACCAGTCTACTGATAATAGTTGTTAGTCAATTTGATCTAGCGTCATCAACAGCGCCTCTAGCGGTGCCGCAGGGCCACAGGGAAGTACTGGCTACCGCCAATTGTCACTTGATTATATAGTTTATTCGTTTATATAGGTAGTATCAATATATGTTATCACTAGGTTAGTGCCGCTTGCACTTAAGGCTTGCAAATCTCTGATTATTTGGGCCAGTGTCATTATTAGCGCCTCTAGCGGAGCCACTGTAAATTAACGGGTACTACTGTCGCCGAAATTGCCATGCAAATTACATCCTTATTGAAGTATCAAATTAGTACGACATAGAATTCCGAAAGTATTACTTTTTACTTTGTTAAATGCGTAGCAGTGCTACATCAATCACGCTGGCTATATATAGAGGTCGTACCTATACAGTTTTTACAAGTTGATAGTACCCCAGTTTTATAATTCATCAAAAATCATTGTCTATTTAATTTAATGTCATCAGTAGCGCCCCCTAGAGAGAACAATGAGAACTATTGGTACCACTGTTGTCTCTGTCGGCGGTACCACTCTTAAATGTCATAATTGTCCGTGTTGTGGTCGTTGGCATGCAAGAAACGTCCTTGCATTCTTACGTCCTTCCTAAGATTAGAAAGTAGCTTTCTAATCTTAAGATTTATCCGTAAGGTAGCGAATTTTCTTTACAATAACAATAGTGAATACATTTTTATTGTCTCTGCAATATTCTAACAACAAAATATGTCAATAATAAGTTGAAATCTGTGTTCTGTTTTCTTGGGTGTGAGTGATTCGTGTATTTTTTCAGTTCTTGTGATACTTTCACTATGGTATCTAGGCGTAGAATACTGTCAAGATCTAGGGATGATCTCCATATGGATACGTTTCAACCCCCTGAAGACGAGGAGGATGTTTGGTACCAAAAGGACAAGTTGTACAAGGACCATATACAAGAAGTACTGAACAAATGGACACAAATTGACGACGAAATATGGGCTAAAGTTATTGTTCTTGAAAGGAATAGAAGAGTGGCTAAGGCTTATGCCAGAGCTCCTGTGCTCACTGTGAACGATTCAAATGATGGATTTGATGGTTTTAGAATAGGTCTTTGCGGTTTTGAAAACCCCATGAGGGATCAAAAAACAGAGGAATACAAAAGACATATAGGACATGGAGTCAAAATTAAAATGGATGATGCTGGAAATATTTTAATCAAAAGAGTATCCAAATGCAACATCTATATAAAAAACACAGCACTAGACAATGAAAATGCTATAGGCAATGACATTTTAAAACTACCAAACTGTGCCTTGGAACCAGACAAACCTGTGAAACTCTTTGATATGAAGAAGTTCCAGTCCAATGTAAATAAAGAGTTGCGAAGAGCATATCCAGACCGTAGAAGGTTAGAGTGTCAATGCCTTAGTGCAATAGCATTTGTTAAAGTAGAACCTGAATTGCTTGAGTGTCCAATTTGGGTGTTAATTATAAATATTGTCGCATTAGATATGTTGAAAAGTAAGCTGCCACCAATGCAGAGGATGATGGATATCAAAAATCGACCGAAAATACCTGTTCCAGATGAAGATCCTTACAGCATTGCTGGGACTGATAGTGGACTAGGTAAGGATTGTTTTTTGCACATTTTTTTTTAATATAAAACCAATGACTAATAGGATTCATAACTAAAACATAAATTGCTTCTGATTCTTTAAAATTAGAATGCTTCGTAATAAATAATGTTGACTGTAAAATGGACATTTTACAAATTTTTCGAAAAAATATAAGCTTTTTTATTTGTGGTTATTCCATTGCTATGCTTGGAGTCAAGTCAACTGACTCATCAGTCTTTACCATGTAATGATGTAAATCCATATTAAATTACAGGTAAATGTAAATGTTAAGCACTTCCTATGAATTTTCTGACTAAACCCTAAAGTAGAAAATAAAATTTTTAATTTTTGGCTACATCCCAAAATTCAGAAACCTAAGAAAAATTGAGAAACAAAATTTGGGAGACTTTTCATCTTTCACTCATTACCTTGTCTTCACTGAACTAGCGTTTACTAAGCTTTTTACTTCCCATGCCACTGATGAAGAAGTATTGTAAACACATAAAATTTATAAAATGAGATATTATGTTTTCTGGATATTACATGACATGTGCGTCACATGGAATCATGACCCTCATTTCTGTCTGTCTATCTGTCTGTTGAAGTCTGCTCACTCCTTGACCTATATAGTACCACTCTGATTTTGATGAAATTTCCACACAAGGTTACTATACTATGCCAAGGACCAAAAGCCTTGTAGTATTTGATTTTAAAAAAAAATTATTGGGTTATATTTCAATTGTTTGCGTTAGTATATTTATACATTTGCAACCCAGGCAATTCTACACGCCTGTTAGTACATATTTCGCATATCATAGATATGTGCCCTTAAACTTAAACCAAACAATGGCATATTTTCAACAGACGCGTCGTGTATACATCGTAGTAGTATGGCAACCTATATGCTCAAAGCCCTGACTGCTTACCGCTGCCGCTTATAATAGCATGGCTCGCTACTGTGGTTGAATAACATTGTCAGATTGTCAATATTTTCAGAAAGGCAGGAAAAAATTTCTAGAATTATCAAATGGACTAATTGTATGGGCCCGTTTGGCTGACCTGATCCCTTTACTCATTATATTATACATATTTGTAGCTAACTTTTCTTGTGGAGTGCCTCACTTGTGCTGATCTTATGAACTGGTCACAGCATTGCATAGGAAGCGCAGAGTCAACCTACTTGACGCCATTTCTTATCTTTGGCATAACCTTGTGTTAAAATTTCATCAAAATTACAGAACAGAAGACAGATTCACGAAGATGAGTCACATGGTTTTTTAGCGATGTCATGTAATGAAACATCTAAAAAGGATAATCTCTTGATTTCTAAATTGTATGCCAATTGGGGTGGGGAAGCTACGTTCGATGGAGCTTCTTTGCTAATTCTCTGATTTCAAAAAATATACCAAACCAACCTGCTAATATCGCACATCATATCACAACATAAATTGATCAAAACCTTAACATCATTGCTGCAGCTACTGAGGAAAGGGAAAAGACGGCAATATATCGTCTCTATCAGCTATAGATGTCGGAAATAGTTAAATGGATTTACCTTATTTTTTTCCCCTGGGTAACATTTTTTAATGGATTATTCTGAACACCAAAAGTCCATAGAATATTCTGTATGGAGGGATGGACGCGTATGTGGCCCATACCGCGTTTTATTAACAATTAAACAACATTGCTTTAAAATAAACTAAGCCTAAAACTTTAAATAAGATATTAGGGTTTTTAATGATTGGAAGTGGCTATTTTTTAGGGTTTTTCAAATATTAACTCGCTTATACTCGAAATCTCCGAAAACTCCAGTGAAAATTTACTAAATGCTCTTTTTGTTCAGAATGATTTAAAAACAAAAAAAACTTTGTTTGGAGGGAAAAAAGAAAGTTTTTTTAACTTGAAAAATATTTTAAAGAATTTTTCACGAGATTACCGTCTGGCAACGACTTGATACAAGTTAATGAGCAACCACCAAACTTGGTTGTGGGAAAAATCGAGTTGGAAAATTTCTCCCATGAATGCGAGATTTTCACCTTGCCTAATAGTAATTTAGATTTTATGATCGTGTGAATGATTTATTGGCTCTCAAAATAACCTTAACATCTTAATAATAGTATGCAGTATACCCGCTTTTGTGAAAGTTTTAATAAGTCCTAAAATAGATCTGCTTTCAAAACACATAGTAATTCCCTGCTCTATTTCTTTATGTATACTGTTATGGTTGAACTGATCAAGCATTGAATTCAAATGATGTCTACTGACATTGAATCCTAAAGTATGCATAATCCTGCTTATAAATGCATAAACTGTATGTTTGTATACATCAACATTGTTGCTGCCATGTTAGAATAGTTCACATTGACTTTTCAATTATAGCATAGGTTTGATTAGTGAGGCTAATAATATGTGGCTTTGATGCGCCTTCAAAAGCAGAAAGCTTGGTATTTGTTTAGGGCTTTTTCTCTCTAAATGTACATATTCTTCAAGATAGCTAATAAGTATTGTAATGCTCTTATTACCATAACTGCACTATGCGTTACCGAAAATATCAAGTTATTTAGAAAAATCCTTGAAATATAAAATGATATATCATAATGTAAAACGTTTTACTAATTTAACTTACTTCGTATCTCTATCCATTCTCAAGATCAAAATATGTATTAGGGGTTTTACATTATTTTTATTCTTTTATTGATTAAGATTTTTTCTAATTTTAAAACAACACATTAAAACTCAAAAACTTACAAGAATCAGAACCAATTACAAAAAGTTCGCCATTCTATCACTTTAGACATTTTTAACGGAATCTATATTTTTGATTAACTGAACATTCGGCTTCGGCAACAGCCGAACGTGGGCTTCGGTCAAAAAATTTATTTTTTGTCGGACGCTACTCAAGATACAGAGCGATACTCATCAACTACTTTTTTAAAAAAGGAGAATCTTTAATTTGAATATTAAATTAACATAATAGTGATTGAGAAAATAGCTATAGGTCTCATTTCGGTTTTGGCGGCAGGCCTCATAGGGAGTAGTAGTAGTAGTTATGGTGGCGCGGAGGCTAAGCCTGGCCACTATGCCACCTTTGACCCTTTTTGCCGTCCCCGTAGTACCAACACAGAAGTACTCTACAAGCCATCTACTGGTAAGTTATACTTGTATAATAAACCAGGTCCAGTGATGAGATGTACCTATTAATATTGCACGTGCGTAATATAGACAACAAAACGTCCATGGCAAGGAATTAACTTCCGAGGCGGAGATTCGAGCCCCGGGTTGCTAGCTCTACGCGCTGACCCCCGAGCTACCGAGGCTCTCCGGCCTCCATATGTATTCTCCAGGAAAAACGATCTGAGATATGACCCGCCAAGCCAGATAATAGGCCAGTAGAGCAGCAGACCTGCAGAAGGGGCTGCTTCTAGAAATATGTACGTGGAATCGATGTTGGTATCACTTTCATGGACTTTTCACCCCCTAAATGGGTACTTAAAGTATAAACATTTAACACATGTTCGTGTTTATAATCTCTTTCCTTGCATAAATCTAGAATGCGTATGCACAAACTAATTCATGCACATAAATTAAACATAACATAGTTCTACCTATATCATTAACAAGTATACTGCTTATAATATGGTTTGGACCTTTACGTAACAGCTACAGTGAGAGAATGTTTGTTCACTCATGATATGTCTCTCTTATAATTGCTGATAGATAGTAATCATATGTAAAATATTTTTATGTAATGTGGTAGTAGTGTCCTCAATAAGACTTGTAAACTGAGCAGCTCATTTTGCTTCTGGGGGAACCTGTTAACTCGTAAAATGGTATTTTTGTAGCTGATTCTTGTAATTTCACTTTCTGCACAGATTGGATATCGTTAGTGGTATTTTACAATTAGTTCCACATTTGCTTATTAACAGGGGAATAAAGCACTTGAAATTTGGCTCACACTATGGGATCTCGGAAACAGTAAGGTCAGAATTTATAGAAATGCCTTGCAAAAATTTGTATTCTAAATTGCCCTATTCCCTGGCCCAAAATTCGAGCCACTAGTGGCCAATCGCATCCACAGTTTCATCTATTAGAGGAGTCCCGGGCACCATAAGCTTTCAGCTATTGCTACAGGAATGTTAATGATTTAAAATTAAGGAAAACATGAAATTATTTATTATTATTTAGGGCTAACAATTAATTTTCTCCGCATGAGCTCCTCACTATATACAAGGCACATATAAGACCCAGCCTAGAGTATTACTCACACGTTTGGGGTGCTGCCGTCACGATTACATTATTTATGCTCGATGCTGTCCAGAGGAGGGCCGTCTGACTGATCGATGACTCTTCTCTAACAGACAGTCTCGGACCTTTTCGCACCGCCGGGCCGTCCCGAGATTGTGGAACAATCTATAAGAGGAAGCTTTTTCCAGTTCTACTAACCTTGAGCAGTTCAAAAATCGGATTATCAAAATTTATTTGGGATTCTCATAGCACCCGCGGTGTTGACATTTAGGCTTCTGTCTGCGTGGCTGCTTCGGCGTAAAAAAACTTAGCTACTTGAAGCTATCGAGAATATTATTTAACAAAAATATGCAAATTATCCACTTTGCCCCATGGAAAACCGAGAGAATAACGCATCTTCTTCAGTTTTAATGAATAAAGAAATAGTTCACCTAAACATTGGCAAATTCACCTAGATTGAGAACATTTTGTATAGTTCGGGGGAGTTCAGACACGACCCCCCCCCCCTCCCTCAATGCGCCTCCGGACATACAAAAACTGCTACAGCGACGTTTTTGTACGGTTTGAAACATAGCCAATACTATAGAGTGAATCTACATGACAACCTATTTCCAGGCACCGTAGGCTACGCGGGCAGTAGCATCGGAGGCCCGCCTTCTCACGTATCTCTCCAGCATCACATGCAACAACGGCGAAGTGACAAGCCCCCCAAGTTACCACCACGGGATCCGCAGTACCCCCATGACATTCCGCGACCCGACTATGATGACTATCAACGAGGAGGGGGGCTCCCTGGACCCTTCAGGACGATGATGGGCAGTGTCAGGGATGGAAGGGGAAGTGAGAAGTTTGAAGAGGATCCGTATTATTGTGGGCTGAGAAGCAGGTAAGGTGTCAGGGATCTTTAACCTATATGAGAATGTTTCAAATGCATGTAAGTGCCTGTTTGCCTTTTTTTGCCTCTCCGCTATTGATTAACCTATATGTACGTGTCGACCACCATCATTTGACGCCAGTGTTTGCCATCTCTCGGAATGTTGCTGCGGGTTATCCGATTTCTTGTCATTTTTTTGTGAAAGAAATGGTAAAATAATAATATTGGAGAAAGGTATTAAGTATATATTGAAGTAACCAAATACAAAATTTTCATAAAAATGGCGTCTGAGAAAAAAGGTAGCTACGAACATGTATAACAAAAAATTAAATGTTTATGTTTTAAAAGGAATCAATGATGAGTGACATATGCGTATGATTACTGGGGTTGGAGGCGTATATACGAGTATATACTATCGTCAAAAATTGAGAGGAGGATAGAGCAAGTTTTTATAGTAATAAAGTAGACGTATCTAAGGAAATGAGGGTATCATATTTATACACGTTCCTTGAGGATTGAGAGCCGTTTGAGCAATAATGTTTCCTTAGTCTTAAAACAAACCAAAATGCTTCCTTGAGATACATTCGTGGGAGGATTTAACCGTTGCATTTCATAGTAGGCTGTACCAGTTGTGATCACACGTCCGTAAAATTTGGAAAATTATCGAAATTTGCACAATTTTAAAAACATGTAGTTTCAAAATTTTTGGAATTTTCAAAACTATCAAAGTTTTGAAAATACTGAAAATCATGAAAATTTGAACTGGAATTTTGACAATTTAGAAGTTCTGAAAATTTTAAAGTGTTCGAAAATTTTGACAATTTAAGCGTTTTGCAAATTCTGAAAATGTCGAAAAACTTTCCAAATTGTCTAAATTGAGAATTTTAAAAGTTGGAGTTTTGATAGTTTTTAAAAGTTGTCTGAAAACTATAAAGATTTTAATAATACGAAATTTGAAACTTCTGAAGATTTTGAATATTTAAGTATTCTGAACGTCAAGTGAATACGAGTATAACACCAGAAACTGTGGTTTTTATGCTGACAGAACTCTATGATTTTCTGGCCCAAGTGAACCACATCATTATATATATATATATATATTTTTTTTGAGACGTGGTCATTGTCGTCTAGACCAGTTAGGTGAAAAATTAAAGCTTCCGCTTTTTGTTGGGTACTTCGACAAGATTTAAGCAAAGAGGACTCTTTATACTTTTTTAATTCTCTCTAGCTTTCAATGGACTTTGCCATCATCATCAGGAGCTGCAATTACAATGATAACAGTAGCAACAAAGGTGTAAAATGAATTTAAATTGACTCAACTTACAGTAGTATGTGAGAATGTTGCTAATTGTTGTTTACGCATATGATGAGGGAAACGTCCAGTAACATGGTGAGAGCTGAATAGGTTGCACAATAGTCAAAATTTATACAAAACATGACAAGAACACGTTAAAACAGATTAAAAATTATTTTAAAAGTTAGAACATTACATCGTGAAAACCACCTGATGATTGCACAAATTGGTGGTCATGGAATGATGAATTGATGAGTGACATGAAACCCTTTGACAGAAGGCCGAAGGATGTCAATGTCAGTATTGAAAGATGGAACGAATTGTGGGCGTGTGCCAAAAACGTTGCCAAATCACTTCAGATGAAGAGATTTACAGAATTTTATGATGGAATTAGTTAAACCGACCAGAGGCAGTTGAATAAACTATATTATTATTAATGGGAATTTAAATTAACAATTATTAATAAATCGTGAGGAGAGAATTATTATATTTTGAGTGGAATGAAATTTACTGGTGGAAACGGCCAAAACACAGATTCTAATTATGGTTGTGAAGAGTTGAAATTTGGGGAGATATGTAAGTTCTCCAATTTTTCGCAGTTTAGCAGATATGAGTAAATGACACTCAGTTGTTTAACATCTGTCTTTTTGTTGATACAGTTGTTATTCATGAAAATGTGGGACATTTCCAGGAATAAACGTTTGGAAAGGTGTTTTTCTTTATCAAGAACTTTGATACTTGTGTAATTCATAGAATGCCCTGTTGTGTTAACATGAGATGCTAGAGCGCATCTTTCAGGATGAAGCCTAGCATCACTTTTGTGTGATGTAATCCTTCCTTTAAGAGATCTGGAGGTCTGACCTATGTATATTTGGTTGCAGTTGTTGCAATTGATGGAGTAGACTGTGTTGGTTAAGCCAAGCAGCGGGACTTTGTCTTTCATTTTTGAAAAAATGCAGTTTATAGTGAGGACGGATTTGCAAGCAATTCGAAAGTTCAAAGGACTGCACAATCTGATAAGCTTAGGGGTCAGTTCCTTGATGTAGGGCAGGACAGCAAAAACAGGTCTGGAGTCCGGGTTGGTGCTAGTACTGTTAGGATTGATGTTATTATTGGGAATTACATCAGTTCCGTTATTGGGGGTTGTGCGACTATTACCTGCATCACCAGAGTTCGGCAAAATATTGGAAGGTGAACTAAAAATGATCTTGTTAATCAGACACTTCGGATAACCATTATTGATGAACAGTTTTGATAGTTTACGTAAATTTGAGGTGTGGAAGGTATTATCTGAGATGCTGATTACCCTTGTTTTCATCTGTTTTACCAAATTGATTTTAATCCCTAGTTTATGGTATGACCTAAAATTGAGAAACCGACCTGAGGCCATAGGTTTCTGGTACCAGTCTACCAATAAACTGTTGTTGTTGGTGCGAATGAGTCTTGTGTCTAGAAAGGGGACAGACAGGTTCTCATCTTCTTTTTCAATGGTAAATTGGATGTAGGGGTCATAGCTGTTGAATTCTCTGACAATACCATCCAGACCTATGGAAGGGAGGCATAAAATAATGTCATCTACGTATTTTTTTATGAAGAAGAGGTTATAGGGTAGTGTCGGAATAACTGTATCAAGCAGATCATCCATGACATATTCCGCCAAAATTGGTGACAGAACAGATCCCATAGGACAACCATGTGTTTGAGAATATATTTTGTTGTTGAAAGAGAAATAATTGTTATGAAAAAGGAATGTTATAATGTTGGTGAAAGATTCTAGAGATATGTTGCAGTGTTGACTTATCTCATTCCAGTGTTTATTAATAGTTCTTGTACATGCATCCAGATAGATGTTGCTGAATAGCGACACCACGTCAAGACTGGCGATAATATGATCGGCTGGTATTGTCAATCTATTGAACTGACGAGAGACCTCAAATGAGTCTTTGATGTAGTAATCATTGTCTGCATGTGCTGATTTTAGTGTTGTCGATATTAATGAAGACAAAGCCTGGGTGGCTGAACCTATTGATGCAACTATAGGTCTTACTGAGAGTACAGGTTTGTGAATTTTCGGAAGTGCATAAAATTTTGGAGGGACAGAGTTATAAGTAGTCAAAGTTCTTTTTTGTTCTTGGGTTATTTGTCCAGTGCTGAGGAGTTCCTTAACAATGTCATTACTTTTCTTTTCCACTTTAAGTGTGGGATCTTTATTAATTTCATGATATGATGGGTCATCATTGATGAGATTGTTGCAAAGATCTAAATAGTGTTGTTTAAGCATTATTACTGTAACATTGCCTTTGTCAGATCTTGTAACCATAAGTTCAGGATGTTGTTTTAGAAATGTTCTGGTTATGTTTAAAAGGTTGTGATAAAAGGAATGTTTTTTATTAAGATTGTTATTATGATAGTAGTTAGTGATGAGGTTAGTGGAACGAGTTGTGAAAATGTTTCTTTCAGTGTCATCACTTATGGAGGATGCTATTGTGTCTACATCCGCTAAGATTGATCTGATTGGAATGTCATTGTTAACAATCGGCTCTACACTGAACTTAGGCCCTAAGGAAAGAAATTTTAATATGTCATGAGGGATGTCAATGTTACTGAGATTTTTTATCCAATTTTGTTGAGTGTTGAGGAAGGTTTTTTTGGTGTCATTCAACAATCTGTCAAACTTACGAGTGTTGGAGTTTTTTATGTTATGAAAGATTTTATTGTAATGTCTGAGTTGTCTATATTTGAAATTATCAAAAATTAAGGGAGAAGTGGAAGAAATTATGTCACTTTGGAGTGAATTGAGTATGGAATGAAGTTTTTTCAACTGTCTGTGGCAGGAAGATATCTCAAGCGTGAGTATTTTGTCACCTAACCTGTGCAGACGATTTTTCATCCCATCTTCTATTGAATGGCTTTCAATAGAAGATGGGATGAAAAATCGTCTGCACAGGTTAGGTGACAAAATACTCACGCTTGAGATATCTTCCTGCCACAGACAGTTGAAAAAACTTCATTCCATACTCAATTCACTCCAAAGTGACATAATTTCTTCCACTTCTCCCTTAATTTTTGATAATTTCAAATATAGACAACTCAGACATTACAATAAAATCTTTCATAACATAAAAAACTCCAACACTCGTAAGTTTGACAGATTGTTGAATGACACCAAAAAAACCTTCCTCAACACTCAACAAAATTGGATAAAAAATCTCAGTAACATTGACATCCCTCATGACATATTAAAATTTCTTTCCTTAGGGCCTAAGTTCAGTGTAGAGCCGATTGTTAACAATGACATTCCAATCAGATCAATCTTAGCGGATGTAGACACAATAGCATCCTCCATAAGTGATGACACTGAAAGAAACATTTTCACAACTCGTTCCACTAACCTCATCACTAACTACTATCATAATAACAATCTTAATAAAAAACATTCCTTTTATCACAACCTTTTAAACATAACCAGAACATTTCTAAAACAACATCCTGAACTTATGGTTACAAGATCTGACAAAGGCAATGTTACAGTAATAATGCTTAAACAACACTATTTAGATCTTTGCAACAATCTCATCAATGATGACCCATCATATCATGAAATTAATAAAGATCCCACACTTAAAGTGGAAAAGAAAAGTAATGACATTGTTAAGGAACTCCTCAGCACTGGACAAATAACCCAAGAACAAAAAAGAACTTTGACTACTTATAACTC